ACAATTCTACTGGACATCATGTCCAGTAAAGATCTTTCACCATCCGATGCCACGTTTCTGAACATCTTCATTGCACGGAATGTCCCGAAGTACCCCCACCACATTGAAGTCGCACCCAGTGTTCTTCATAACATTCTTACTGCACTCGCCACCCAGCCCGAAGTGGAAACGCGAGAAGACCGTCAGCTCGCGGCAGAGTATCTCCTATCAGCTTACACCCCCCATGATGGAGACCGAGTTCTCCAGCTCTTTGAAGATGCTGGATTTTATCGCATCTTACGTAGTCGGTACCGCCACGAGCGACGCTGGGGTCCCCTCCTCACTGCGTTCCTTCATGATCCCGAGCTCCACCCTTCAGAAATATTCAGCGGTTTGGAAGAAGCTATTACTAGTTCGGCGAGAGACAACAAAAAACAGGTTCCTGGCGATGTCATTAATGTTCTCACTATTTCACTGGATCAACTCTTACAAGCCGACGTTCTTGCAACTGCGTCTCTTCTAGACAAGTATGCTCCTCAGCTCCACGAGACGGCACTTGAGAGACTCCCCTTGTCGGATGATCGTGACCAATTCATCTACCTCAACCACCTGGTCCCTGACAGTGAATATGATCAGTATTCTACCACCTCCAGTTCCCCAACTCATATCAACAGCCGACTTCGCCACCGCTTTATCAGCTTGCAGTGTCGCTTTGCTCCTTCTGGTGTCATTTCCGTCCTTAAACGTTTGCAAGACGGCATTGACTGGCCGACAGCATTGGGTATATGCGAGGAAGCAGGAGCGTATGATGCTGTCATATGGGCCGTGAATTATAGTGGGCAGCCACGGGAAGCCCTTTCAAAGGCCGACGTGTTTGAGAAGCAACTCACGCTAGATCTCGCGCGCACGCTAGCCTCGCCAGTTCCTGGTTCTACGGACTCAGTCAACAAATGCTTGAATGACCTGCAAGCCATCGGACGGCGCGGTATATCAGTATGCATGGAACATTCTAGCTCGTCTTCTCCTGCAGAAGTTCCTCTCGAGGACATTTGGTACCAGCTTCTGGCCAGCCAGATCCATACTGTGCAAACCCTCTCAGCCTGCTGTTCCACTGGCAAAGGTAGCGACGCAGAGCTTGAGGGCGAAGTGTTGTCGACTTTGCGGGCTATCGTCCAAGAGACGTTTGCGTCTTTGGTTTCTGTGAGCTCGACCCGGGCAGTATCGTTTCCTCGACTGTTCAAGCGTTTGGTGGATCCTGCTATTCACTCCGGCACAACGGGCATCCTATATACGGAGTTCCGTACGATCCTGACTGGCATGCTGGAATCGTACCGAACGGATGGAGACATGTTAATCATCTCGAAACATCTCATTGACCGGGATGTCTTCGATTCCGTAGAACTATACACAAAAGAGAAAATGCGTGGCTGGGCCCCATCTTGCGGTGTATGCTCATCGTGCGGTCAGAATTTACTTCCTTCTCAAGCAGGTGTCGAGAGCGTTCAGATTAGACTTTCACGGACAGGGACTATATACCATCTCAGATGCTCAGCTTTGGATTCCTAATGGCATGTTTTGTACCTAATCTATAATCTTGCTACTGCAATCAAATAGTGATCGAAACTATTACTCCCAGTCAAGGGTACAAATTACGGATAAGTGTCAGAGATCGCCATCAACCAACTCAGCTCGAACCATTTGATCCAGGATTATAAAGCTGTCTACGGATTGCATCTCGACCCCTAGGGCTTCGCCTTCTGTCTTGAACGCTTCAACGTCCAATATCATCTGCGCACGGATGCGTTCTTCGTCCTTTCCGTCATCTTTTCCAGCAGTAGCAGATCCGAAGATAGATAGCGTCGACTTTTTCCCTTTCTTCAGTCGTCGAAGAGATTCTTCGGTCTTCTTCATCGCAGTCAAATACTGTATGTACCTTTGAAACCGAGTTAAAATCATGTTAATCGTACCGGAAGAACATACTAACCGCTGACAGACACTTTCGACTACATCAGTTGAGACATCCCTCAACAATTCCTCCTTGAGTCGTTCCCCAGGACCACCGATAGTGCCGATTCCAAAGAAGATCCTTACCGGGCGGAGGATGGTCGGTGCAAAGTAACTTGGTTCGGAGGGCAGTCGTTTGTTGGACATTGCTCTAAACTGCGAAGGAATAGACCGAACTGGTAACAGGGCATCGCAACACCGCCTGGATAATATGGCTGTGGCTTGACTGTACAATGACGTAGAAAGAGCACTGAGCTGCTCCAGTTGAGTTCTCAGAGCAACTGCAGGTGTTGAGTTGAGCAGTGTGAGGACAGACAGCATCTAGGCTAACCTTCTAGCACCTCCTCCGCTGTGTCGTCTTCTATTGACGTGTCGGGAAGCATCATGCTGATCTCTTCTCTCCACAATTGCAAGACTTGGCTCATCATCGCCCGAATATCAACGAGAGCCGTTGCAAACTGCCTTAGCAATATCTCGTCAGCAGCCGTGCTTTCAATAGTGGCTTCTGGCGTGAGCCCAGGTGTTGAAGATCTTGGAGGGTTGGCAACTGCTAAGGTCTATAAAACATGTCAACGAACGCTCTGGCATCTATCAAAACACATGCCTTGTCATTGATAATATTAGCAGCAGGTTTTACTGGAGATCCTCCTGCAGGTGGCAGTGAGCTCTCCAACCATTCCCGATATCGACTGAGGAGCTAGAAACGTGTTCACCTCGACGCCTGGCGACCAATTCAAAGGAAGTACCTGAAGAGTAAATTTCCAGAAGCGATGTGCAAGGTCGGGGATGTACACTTCCGCACTCCAGCACGAAGAAATTGCAGTGAAAATGTCGGCAGCCTGCGCCGTTACAAACACGTTGCGCCCTTGAGAACGGTTAGCTAGGGACATGTGCTGAAACCAAGTCAATGGTAATTCACCAGGAGTGAAGTTTGGCGCTTCAGGATCCAGGACTCGCGATGACAACGTTTCTTCCAGCTTTGTGATGACTTCTTTCCACCGCAGCTGGAAATATACAGAAAGCTGCCAACGTCGCTGAAATGCAGTGAAAACTGGATGGGAACGCAAGTTTTGCACAGAATGCGTGGAAGGAGCCAAAAATTCGAGAGAACGGATGAAGGCCTGCGTTGTAGAATGATGCTGCAACCAAGGGTCGACATTTAAGGCATCACAAAACAAGTTCCTATAGAACCTTACCTTGCGGAACTCGTTTGGGTTTCCTGGCGCAAATACAACAGTGCCAAGTTCGTCCATTATTGCCTTACCAATTTCTGCCCACACCACATTGGTCATAATCTCGAAGCCATCCACAGAAGTCTGTTGTGCGTCCCCCAGGTCATGGTTTCCAAATGCTATACTTGATTGCGATTTAGTTGAACCCGCCTTAAGGGAAACTCGTTCGGCAATTTCCATGATGCGCCCAAAATCTCGCTCAATAAAACGAAGAATCTGGTTGTATAATTTTGCAAGCGCATCGTTAGATTCATCAAGCAAGTGCACCGGTCCAGAAACGTGTAAAGCTTCAAAGGGATTTTGCTTAGTGGCGAATGCAGTGAATGGGGTATATGGGGTACGGGGCAATAGCGCGCTCCCGTATGATTCTGTGCGGGTAGAGAGCGCGACAGGAAGTGGAGTATGTGGTAACACTGGTGAGAGTGGTGCAGCCAGTGCATCAGGAAAGATAGTCTAGATGCAAAGATGAGCAACTTCTTTCTGAGGAAGAGCATAGTACGTATCTCATACTTTCTTGATAAAGGCCTGCATTACGTCTCTCCGCATGATCTCTTCAGCAACTCTCCAAAGGTGGAGTGAATCATAGATCCTCAGGCATTCAGTTAAATCAACATAAAGTTTAGCTCGTTCGAGGTCTAAAACTTTTCCTGTTCTGATGTCCGTCAAAGAGCTCAGGATCGCAGAGAAAATATGGTCCAGATCAGATGTGAGAGTTGATTGAATGCGGTCAATGCGCTAACCCAAATAAAAAACCATTTCTATCAGAATCGCACTACGAAAGAGAGGTTGCAACAAACCCATCGTATTTCATCGATAAAAGCACAATCTTCTTCTTTTGCCTTCTCGATGTGATATAGAAGTTGAGTGTACTCGGCAGTGACTCTGGAAAGGTGCTTGGCGCGGTTGCCTTGGCTCCTGGAACTCTATTAGCTCGTTTACACCAGCAAGAGAAACATGAATACTTTGGATCGATGGGTTGTCCTGCAGAGGCCGGAAGATGGAACTGATAATTGCTGTTGTGACTTTCAAGTGATGATGTAGTAACCTGAGAGATGAGAAGAAGACTTTCAAGTCTGGTCACAGACTCTGATATCTTGAGCAAAAGATGTAGAAGTGCCTGAAGACCAACACTTCAGTTAGAATTTGGACCCCATAGATCGAGTACGAACCTTCTCTTCGCGTAAGTGGGTGCGGGCATCGAGCGTCTCTTGAATGCTATCTTGCGTAGCCTGGAGGCCAGCTCGCGACTCCTTGCATAACGAATTAGCGGGACAATATGACGCATAGCGTAATGGTAATACTCACCAAGATGCGTTTCCGTAAGTCGTCGAGTGGGAGCTTAAGCTTCTCCAATCTCGAGCCTTCGCCTCTCAGGTCTGTACTTAGACTGATGAATGCCTCGTAGTCATCATTGATGAGCAACACCAACTCCTCCTTCAACGAGGTAAGGTAGTCTCTAAGCTCTGAGCGCAAGTCTTGTAGAGATGTGTGGGATCGGGAGAGCAAAAACTCTTCGACGTTAAACACTTCTGCAGTTAGATGAGGGTTATCATGCGATAGTGGGACATAAATTGGCAGCTCCGTCGAGGCAGTAGCTTGAGGGGCGTAGCTAGACCCTGTGAGCTCACGCGCAACAAGCTCTTCTGCTAACCGTTCCAATTCATAAGGGTCGGGAGATTTGGCAACGGCTTGGGAGACGCGCGAAGACATATTAGTATGGTGTCGGTCAACGCGTACTACTGTCTACAACGCGATCCCACAAGAGTGGTCATAAGGTATAGTATGGTGTAGTAAAAGTATACGTAGTAATTGCGATAACTTAAGATCAATAACTATAAATATGCTTACAGCAGAATTCTATCAGTATCGCGTACTTGGTACTTTGGTATGTAACCAGTATCTACAGAATAATCCCAGTGTGAGTGTCTGTTGATCACGTCCATTGTACCGGTCGCAAGTTTATCATGATTTCTCCTCCAATTCGCTGAGAAATGCTAGCCACGTCTTCTTGTCAATTACGCCTTCATCTGAAGAGTGCAACTTCAGCAACACAAACGGGAGTGAATGAATATCCGTACAGTCACCATCAGTGTCCGTCACTATAACATAACGAGCACCAAGCTTCACGAAGAATTGGTGAAGGAGCTCCAAAGGTGAGTTGGACTGAATCATCAATGGCGCCTACGTCCATTTAAGTGTCTGTACACCATAAAATCAAACGAAAGGAAATATACCTGGTCCATGTATACACTGAAGTCAAATGGATCGTCTTTATTTTGCTCCTCCACCCAGGACGAATATGAAGTACCCATATCCTCGTGCATATAGGTAGTGTGGAAGCGAACTTCCTCGGTTGCTCCCTCCGCTACGACGGCTAGATTTTTGGTTAGATGTTGTTTGTACAGGAAAACGAGGGTATCTACTGAGAGCATGCTCTAGTTCGCTAGCGCCAATGTAGCCAACCAGGCGCATACCATCTTCGTCACGATTTGGCCTGAGAATGGGGAAACCACCATCATCATGCTCAGCATTCAGAAGTAATTGCAATTGGTCCCGAAGACTTTCAACGGTATTGTGTCGGTCAACCCTGATCACATCCACATCTCGATCGGTCTAGAAGTGATATTAAGTCAGATCTCAACAATGAGTACGGTGCGCTTACCACTTCCTTGATGGACAGATTTGACCACAGGTATTCATGTTTAGCATCTAGGTACGGAAGTTGAGATAGCCTGTGAAAAGTGTCAGGAGGACCGGTGAAGTTCGGACTAGGTTCTCACTCGATCACCAGGTCATAAATTCCTTTAGGCTCCAGGGCATCGGCTACGGTCTTGGCAACAAGAACGGACATCATGACAGGGACAGCATACGTGAGGGTATCGGTCAGCTCGAACATGATGACCGCTAACGACACTGTTGTTCTCTGGAGATCTACAGTCAACTTCGTGGCACCGAGGACTTGGAGCCGGTTACTCACAGTAACACCAGACAAGGCCGCTGCAGCTCCCACCATTGCGTAAAGACCAGGCACGACACAATCCATGTCACCCTCGCATACAGCAAATACAGTGCTGTCCGGGTAATGATACTGGAGCCATTGCACAGCAATACCAACAATCCGTCCAGCGCATGCACCTACTCCGAGTGTGGGTATAAAAATCCCAGCCGGTAGTTTGATGCCAAATGTAATTATGGTCAGGAAACCTTTGACTATCATGGCAACAAGGATCGCTCGCACGACGGGCCAGACATGGTCGAAATTACTTGGATCCAGGACACACAAATTAAAATGGCTGTTTTTGCTGCCTGTGCGACATTCTGAGAAGAGGTTATAAACAAGCTCTGTGCCCCCCATGCGTGCATAAGGGTTTAAAAAGCACAAAACAGTGGTTACGAGAGTCACCTACGTCATTGAGAAGGTTGTATAACGGACGAACAAGGTGATGCTCACAAGAACGACTTCTGCAATTGGATGCGCTTTTAACCATGTTCCACCACGAACGTCACGACTCCAGCGGTAGTTCAACTTGGAAAAGTAGGCGCCGTATACTCCCTGTATCTTCGTTTAATTAACTGTCCTCCAAGAGAGTGAGATACGCACTCCAAGAACTCCGAGTAGGATAAAAAATATCAGTTCATATGCATGCCAATCCTATTGGATATAATGAGCGAGCGACCAGTCAAATACTGCGTGACAAACCTTGTCATAAGTGACCTGGAACAATACAACTTTACCAGTTCCGAAAGGATTGAGGAACCGGAGGGTTACGGCCGCTATCATCGCGCAGAAAAAGCTAGGAAATTGGTTTCAACACGGAAATTTTGGAATATACGGTGGCTACCTTCTCCACATAACCTTGAAATACCCAAAAAGAGATTTAGAAACTGATTTATGCACAATGTAAAGATACTACCTTTGGCGGGAAGAAGTAAGAGACTTCTTCTAAGCTAAACAGGGTACCGCCGATAGGTGCCCCAAATGCAACAGCGACACCTGCCGCGCATGCTGCACTCAGTATCTCACGACGTTTGGCTGGAGAAAAGCATGAGCATGGAAAGAAAATTGGACACTGGGAATTAACCTTCGTTATTTTCATACTTGCTATGATAACGACTAACGATGTTGCCTACGCAACTCGCAATGTGGACGAAAGGTCCTTCCTTGCCTGAATTTCAGGCATCAGTACTCATGTGCCAAAAGTAATCTGCCAAGTAATCACCAAGAGACAATCCTGAGCTAACTGACAAAGCCAGTCCAAGCGCTTTAGTAAATAGCACACGCCCGCCGAGATAACCATGGATGACGAAGCCTACATCAATGGAAGAAATTGAAATTGAGAGACAGCCATTCATCTTTGGCCCTCACGAACCAGATAAAATGGTCTTGATCTCAGGAATTCCGCTCCCTGCAGCCTGTTATTGCAGATAATAATCAGTGAGCACTCCGCAGCAAGACTTGTGCGTACGTAGTACATTACACCACGCTTAGGCTGCGAAGAGCTCGAAGCGGTCTGTTCACCACTCTTGTTGAAATGCGGAGATAGAACTCCGGATTCTTTACGAGTGATGAAGGACGTTGACGCCGTGAGATAGATTGTGAGGAGCGATGAAGTACCGGCCAATAAAACCTAAGAATCCATGAGATGTCGCATAACCATAACTTGGCAACACAGCCGAGAAACCTACCGCAATAATTGTATACGTAAGATACTGTATAGCACTTTCTCCACCCCCCAATTCGCTGCCCGTCCATGACGCAAAGACATCCGACCAGGTCCTCCAAGCGGGACAATGGTCATCCAAAGACCCGTACTCATCGGGCAGAGGACAGCAAAAGTGCCGTGCATGCCACCATGTGGTCTTGCAGTAGCCTTGCTTCATGTCAAACAGCCATTGCTCTGCACGAACGACAAGAAATGCAACTTACGGCAGTGAGGAACCCGACGACAGAGACGATGATCCATCCAAGGCTCTTGTCGAACACAAGTCGGACTCTGGAGCGAATGGACTTGCCGCGCCGGAGCCGGGCAAATCGGACCGAGTCCTTGATCGCATCATGAAGCCAGTCAATTGAGGAGAACGAGGAGTACCACACGCGGAATCCGTTGGTTCGAACATCGATGTCAGTGTCCGCGGTGTCGGTATTGAAATTTACTAGTTGGGCATCGTAAGCAGATATAGGCCGCTGCTGGGAAATCCGACTGCGGAGTGTGTCTCGTGCAAATGTTGGCGAGAAGGCTGATGGAGAGTTTGGAACAGAGACGGCCACACTTCGCGTTATAGGAAGGCTTGGGAGGGTAGGTTGACGATGAGGGACCCAAATATCAGGTTGGGTGCACGCGCGGCGCGGGCGAACAACGGGCAATGTCCCGTAACTGGTGCTGCTGGGAACTGCGCGTAACGCAGTAGTTTCATCGTCTGCTTGATTTGTGCTATTGGCAGTTGAGCAGCTACCAATTCGTTGCAGGCGTTGCCTGCGGTAATCGGTATCAGATGGGCCACTCAGAAGTCCAGAGGGAGGACTAGATTGGAGAGATGAGGCGGAATTATTTTGGGGTGAATTTGACATCGTCGCTGCGATAGAATATTCTGGTGTTAGCATTACGGAAGTGCACCATGTTGTGTGAACTCATACACAATTGCCGCAGTCGATGTTGACACCCTTGAAGAACTTGAAAGAATCTATCGCTAGCAGAGCCTGTATGTCACAGTGACTTGTTTCACGGCTGCACAAGCTTTCTTTTCGCCTGCCACGCTGTCACTACAGGAGTCCCAACCCTGATTTAGGAAGAAACAAATTGATGTGTCACCACCAAACAAGACCAAATAATACAGCTGAAGAATTCAAACTCTTACACTGACAACCACTCAGAAATGGCAAACACAGGGCTTGGTGTGCCAGTCAAGCTACTCCATGAGTCCTTAGGACATATCGTTACCGTAGAACTCAAGACAGGCCAACTTTATCGTGGAAAACTCGCTGAAGGTACCTTTATTTTCAAGCATCACTGTTATAGATCCTTTCTGATTCATCTACACTGCTAGCCGAAGATAACTTGAACATCTCACTCAGAGATATAACAGTGACAGGACGAGATGGCCGTGTATCACAACTAGATCAGGTATATATTAGGGGAAGTATGGTCAGATTCTTCATTGTGCCGGATATGCTGCAGAATGCCCCCATGTAAGCTGCACATGATCAGATTCGAGATCACCCTGACCTTGTCTACTTAGGTTCAAGAGAGTTGGTCCAAATGCTATGCGTGGAAGAGGTATTGGTACTGCACGTGGTCGCGCAACTATTATGAGAGGTCCGTTCTTGTGTTTTTCTGTGTCTTATGATTCACTGACTGAACAAACTCTTTAGCAAACGGTATGGTTAATTTTTTTTCTTCTGGAATCTGTGATCTGATTGAAACTGATAGCTCGTCGGGGACGTGGCGTCCCTGCCCCAAGAGGCATCAGGAGGTGATGTGATGACGTTCCTGCGACTGCGGTAAAAATGTACATATTTTCATAATTTTGTAACTTGTGCAACGCCAAACTGTTTTTTTGACTGCAAAGGTTCCTTCGCGCAACTTTTGTTTGCAAGCTAGGGGCTTGTCCTAACGCATGCATTCATCTGGAAGAGCCTACTACTTGCGTTGACGCTTCAGGTTTTCTTGAGCACTGAGGCGAGCTCACTCGTTGCCCGAAAATAGGGGGAGAAATTTCAGAAATGCTCGTTTACTACGACTCTCGAGTTTCGACTTGAAGATGGTCCTAGGTTAAATGAATATCTTGACCATTCAATGCAGGGCATGTATTCTTCCTTGGTCCCCATCAATCAAATTTTCAGAAGGAATAGGCTTGGGTTATAACGTTAAGCAAGACTGTCTGCGCTTCGAGGTAGTAAAGTCAAAGCAACCACAACAGGATGCTATCATGATTTTAGTTTTAAAACAAGATAGAGTAAATCTAGTCGTAAGTGGTCTGACTAGAAGTCAGAGACACGCCCTTTGAAACTCCAGTCACCGCCGTCATCACTCCACTTCCCGACGGGTTCCCTCTTCGGACCTCCTTGTTCGCCCGTTCTGGGGTTGACATCACCGTCAAACTCAGGCGTTACCGGTTTACGAGCGTCTGGGTGTAACGACATTTGTGCCTCTGCCTCACCGTGGGAGAGGGTGGGAGATGAGAGAGGCATTTGGGCACTACGCTGGAGCTCTTCGAACTCCCGTTGGAGTTCGCGTGGAAGGGGAGGAGGTGATGGTCTATTCAAGTTGGATGAACTCATTCCCCGTGTCCCAATGATCAGGCGTTGTTGCGGGGCTGACTTAGTGGTCAGTGAACCGAAACGAAGGAAGGGATGGAAAGATATGCGGGATGGCATAAGGGTTTCTTAAAGTTTACCAAACTCAAGCTGGGCTGTGGCAGGTGCCACGTCAGGAAATACTTAGTTACTGATTGTTCGTTTGGAATGCTCACCAACAAAGTTCTACGTCCACCAATGACAACGCCTAGGCCCTACGGATGCAGTGGTAATGAGGTTGCTCTAAGCGTGTTACTTTGTTAGTACGAAGTCTGGATGATCACTGGTTAGACGACAGCCTGGATGTTCGTACCTGACCTGAACGAAGGACAAAGTGATACAGTTTTCAAGAAGATGACCCTTGATGCAGCCCGAAAAGAAGATCCCAGCAATGTCCTTTAGTGTTCGAAATTTGTGATTCAGCGATCCCGTTACCGGCGGCAAAACCTTTTACAAGAGGTCGATCAGCGATCGCGCAGACTGCCGGCGGGTGCACAGGAAGTCATAATTATGTAATTCTGGTACGAATACTGAGGGGAAAAACACTTGGAGGGGATTGGCGCTTGCATCATTACGATTTGTAAAAATATCAGCTTTGCTGCTTACGGCACCGGGTGTTTTAAAGTCCGACTAGCAGCACGTGAGAGCGAATGCATGTCAAGGGGGGAAATAACGTTTGCTGACCAAAATATTTAACCTGGTTTGTCGTGAATTATGTTTTCCAGTCTTGATCCTTTCTTCTTGACTTTCACACCTTTGAATTACAGACTCCCTTCTGTGACCAATATTCATTCTAGGTTACCGAGCATCAGGCCAGTGTTTGATTGTATCTCTGTGACCGTTTTATTTTAGCTCCCTCAAAGTGCTATCGTGGATCTCCCTGAATCATTCCTCTCTTGTCCCTCCTTTCGATCATCGTTTCCTTGCGAATCCGCACACACTTCTTCATATGCATCCTACTCGTCCCTACTACTCTTCAAACGTCTATTCGTCCAATGTCGTAGATATTGGTGACCCTTATGTGGTATCCCAGCAGCCTATGGCCAGCACGTCTATGGTCACTCTGCAGCAGACCCCATCGTACTCCAGTGACCAAGGTGCCTACAAAAAGCGAAAGATCGAGCGGGCTTGCGATGCCTGCCGCCGTAGAAAGACTAAATGTGATGGTCCACGCATGCCTGACAATATCTGTACCAACTGTGTACAGAATCGCAAGACCTGTACTTATGTGTATGTCCGAGATTATCATACAAGTGAAAGTTGCTGAACGATTACGATTCTTACAGTGAGGCTTCAAAGCCTAGAGGTCCTCCAAAGGCGTATGTGCTACCCCCGTTCTCTGACTAATCATGCCAATAGAACTGAGATCATGTGCAGATATATTACCGGTCTTGAGGACAGGTTGGAAAGAATGGAAGCACTTTTAAAGCGGGTGCGTAAATCTCACGTTTATTAATCCCGCCCGGCATGATGGGTGTCTCGAGAATGTATCAAGGTTATCTAATGCAACCAGACCTTCACGCTCCATTACATGTCTCCGAGAAATGATGCAAACTACAGTCTATATTCTGCTATCTGGCTTGTCTTCTCTGTTGCTCCTGTCTGACTGATGATTATTGTATAGCTCCGCCCTGAGGCTGACTTCTTGGAAGAACTTGGTTCACCAGTTGTCCGTGATTCTTGGAAACATGATGCAGAACCCCAATATCGTCTTTCCCCAGATGAAAAATCGACATCTCCAGTTGCTCATTTGCGACCTCGTGGGTCTCCTTCTGTCGGTACTAGTCGACCCCCTGTTGGCAAATTTTTGCCTTCATCTAGCGTTAGTGTCAGGAGCCGGCGTTCCGCGGGCACCCCTCGCACTGATACAGACTTATCATCGGACGCGTGCACATCCTCGGAGAGTGAAGAAGTCGGCGAATTGAGTCTTTCCCGGGGCATGAAGCGTCTAACCTATTCGTGGGCTCGAGCCTGCCCAGGAACATGGCCCATTGGTGGATAATCAAGTTCGCTTCCATGGCAAGAGTAGCTGCTTCAAACTCATCGAACCGACCCGAAAACTTCGCGATGAACACATCAACCGCATATCCCAAGACTCAGGCTTGACTGATGCCGAGAGTGGATCGGTTAGTCGCAGTTCGCCGGAATCGGCGAGTTCTGCTAGTTTTGCACCGATACGACGGCCAGAATTCTGGACCACGCCTTCAGTAAGCATTCATTCTCATCGGACATCAAAATTGCTCATCGCTTGTTCTAGTGGGAATTTGCTTTCGAAAGCTTCCAAGACAGGCTCGAGGCGCTCTCCCATTCGCTAATAAAGGAATTCCCCCCACCTGACTTGACCGACAGTTTGATCAATTTATTCTTTCTCCATATCAACCCTCAATGTCCACTTTTCCATCGACCGACATTTGAGCGCCAATGGCGGGAGGGTCTTCAAGAAACAGATCCGTGGTTTGGATGTCTGTGCTTGGCGCTATTTGCTGTTGCCAGCCGCTGGTCCGACGATCCCCGTGTATTGGATGGTACGTATGGCATACCCGAGGCAGAGATATCCGGTGAGGATTGTAAGTGGCAAAGAGCAGGATGGAAATACTTCAGCGCAGCAGTTGGTACGCCAGCAACGTCGTCGATTTATGTTCATGGATCTCATTCTCTGCAGATGTTCATCGTGATTCTCGCAGCTTGTTTCACCCCCCTGGCCTCTTTGAGGTACAGACTATGTCTGTGAGTAACTTTACGAAGACAAGAGTGATTCATAAAAATATACTAACTGCCATAGTTGCTAGGCATGTTTCTACGCGGCACTGCTTATCATCCAGTGGGATGGCTCTTCATCAGTATTGGCCTCCGCAAAGCTCAGGATGTTGGCGCACACCGCAAGAAGATTTATGGAGCAAAGCCTAGTGTTGAGGAAGAACTGTGGAAAAGAGCATTTTGGGTACTCGTGCTATACGACCGCATAGGAAGCGCTGCTCTTGGACGACCATGTTGTTCTGGAGAGGAAGAGTAAGTCACACGATTTTTACGTGACCCTTCTGACGCATGCTTATCCAGCTTCGATGTCGACCTTCCCCTGGAAGTCGATGATGAATACTGGGAAACCAACGATCCTGAGAAGGCATTCCAACAACCACCGGGAAAGCCATCAAAAATAGCAGGGTTCAACTCCTACCTAAAATTGACTAAAATCTCGGCATACGCTTTAAGGACCATTGTGCGTTTTCCCACCCCGTTGGTATCTTTTACGAACGACTAAACCTTTATTGGCGTAGTATGCCCTTGATAGGTCCAAATTGTTGGTTAGTGCCGCGCGTCCGCGGTGGCATGAAGTTTTGAATCGCCTTAGTGCCGCAATGACTGAATGGGTCGACTCAGTGCCTCCTCATTGTTAGTGATCATTAATTACGAGCGTCGATCCATCTCACGCTTTGATTGCAGTACAATGGTCACCTCACATAGAAGATCCATTATTCGCCAACCAGTCGGTTACGCTGTACACCACCTACTACCTCATCCACATCCTCATTTACCGTCCTTTTTTGCCCGGTTCACTTCGCTCCCTTTCCAATGCTCCCCCACACGCAAACATGCCAGTCCCCTGTATCGGTGTCTGTGTCAGCGCAGGAAAATCCTGTGCGAAGATACTGCGGGCGCAGATTCAAAGGGGTATATCGAATATACCCACGCTCATCTGTGGGTCACATATGTGTGCTGCGATTCTTCTCATGAACTTTTGGGACTTGAAATGGCAAGAGCGCGAACAACTCCAGTCTGGTGGAATGGAGGATGTAAAGCCAACATTTGCGGTTGCGATGGCAGAGCTCCTTGATGACGTCTCCTTCTTCATACAAGTGCTTGAACATCTGAAACCGCGATGGAGAAATGCCGAGATGTATCTGTACGTGACGCGATCTATTGTTTGACCGTTACCGAGGTTTCCTCCAGAAAGGACCTTAATGCTTCAATGCCACACGGCCTCAACGGCTCTGGAAGCGGTGGTCAGAAAGGTAATCTATCACTCCAAAGCTATGGGGGCAAAGACGGCGCACGCACGTTGTTACCGCTACCAGAACATCACACCCATCCTCCGGATTATCGCCCCAATCCCTCATCAGTGTATCATTCTGCACTGCCGCCGGTCACTACATACCCATACGTTCCACTAGCCGAGCCCGTAAACGCCAGTCCTCAGTGGTTCGACTTTCCGCACCTTACCAGACATCCAGTTCCTGGGGTGCTACCCTTGTGGGCGTCCCATGGACCAACGCACGGCGGGGCCACATCTTGGAGCAATCAGCTGCAGACTCGTCCCTCGTCCTTGCAGTCTTCTCATTCTCACAAATACGACCATCCTGCCATTCGTTCTCTAGAAGCTCCGAACGGCTCAGTCACTAGCCTCGACTCTGGAATAATGATGCCTGCGAGCCTTGTGCACGGATCTGATACAAGATTGTCATCTAACGAGCACCCCGTGTCACGTCCGCAGTTTGAATCTGGAGCCTGTCCACCGTTCAATAATTATACCCAGCATAGTGGAAATGGCCAAATGCGTGCCAGCGCTACGCATCACACACATACCACTCATTCAGAATCAAGGTCTGCCTTTCATTTCGTTGACATTTACCCCGCTCAAGTCGTTTTTCGCCGTAGGTTCGGGTGGCCAGCAGCCGAGTGGGAGCAAACGTATGGACCTCGTTCATCGATTGCCGGCCCTCCTCCTCGTTCCAGTAACACCCTGCACCCCAAAGGGAGTGAATACTCGCAAGGGCACATCTTCTCATATGCCGGGCAGTATTAAGATCGATGGGTAGATAAGAGTTTCGGTGCCTTATGTATATAACGACTTTCCATGATCAATTCCATGACGCTTGATGTCGAGACTCCGTCGACGATGTATTTATCTTCTAGTTTACATACCATCCGTCTTAGTTTTCACTGTAGATCACATCTCTTAGATTTTACCGTATTTTTTGCGTGCAATCCCTTGTTTGTAGGAATATCACAGCCTAACCAGAGAGCAACTATGATTTCTTTCAGCTCATTGTAAATCATGAATATTTATCACAAGCACGATACATGGACTCTGTTGCAGGTATTTCTGTACAGGCCCAAGACTCTGAGGTACATCGAGTGAATGGATCACAGGCTTCACATTGACTCTTCCCCGCTCGCGAGCTACAACAGCTGATGTGAAATAAAATAGCGCTGGGGCTGCTTTCGGTGGTCCTGACTCCCGAGGCCTGGGCCCAGTGAGAGGTTCAAATAGACGCCGGGAAGACGAAATACGTTAGCTTATCCCAATTCGTATTCACTATAACGAGAGGCGCAATTTGTGGATCTGCGGTGGGAATAACGTCGGTTGCGTATTGGTTGCGTAGTACGAGATACCCTAGGGGAAGCGTCTGCAGTATCAAACATTATTACATTAAAAATACTCATGCCAGCATTGGTACGTGATGGACTAACAGATTGCAATGATATGAACTCACTACGAACAATATCATATGGAGCTGACATCCCATATGTTAACCCCCTGTTCCCATTGAGGGAGGACAGCAGCTGTGGCACGTTTCGCTATGATTAGGGTATGGGGACGGCATCCAAGGCACTTCTGTGTACTACTAGCAGAGGTACTATCAATGACCTCGAGGGCAGAATCAGTACGCCACTCTTCGATCTCTTTGCGATGTGCCTCGCTCCCTGCACCCGTGACATAGATGACGAGAATCTTCAGTCTTCCTTCCTCCAAAACAGGTTTGATCATCTCCTTGACGGAGTTAGCATTTCCATGCAAACCGTGCCTATATGTAATCGCTAGATGCGTGAGATAAGATAGTTCTCGAAGGCGAGCCACGCTCTCGGACGTCGTAGCAGGCGTAAGTTGGATTCTGAGATGGGTGACTGAAGGAGAGATGATGGACATGTCGATGCCATCTCGACAAGCGAGAGCTATTAGGAATTGTTCGTGGGGTGCAATAGGAAGGCGAAATGTCGTGATTTCTGGTGGCGCGACGGGCTGCTTTAAGCTCCGGGCGCAATGGAGGTATGAAGGCCCAGAAAAACCACAAACGAGACTTGTGACACCAGTGCACTTTTTCAGCACCTCGTCTATATTGCTGATTGGACCTAGTGCGGTGATGCTCAACCTCTTCACTAGATTATGCGCAAAGGCATGCGGTTTAGAGTTGGGGCTAGCAATAAACGCTACGAGGGAGCGACTGGATGAAAGGGAGACTGTGTGGTAAAGGTTGCGTTCGACATGATTGTGCACCCAATGCGAGACAAGCGATAATGCTACAGCAGTGGGGCGGTGACTAGAGGCTAGTGAGAGGACGTGGAGCAGGAGTTCAGGCGGGAGAGTAGCAAAAGGCGATGCCATGCGTACTGGCGACTAGGGCCTAATGATGTGGAAGCTGGTCTTATCCAAGGGTGGTCGTCTAAGAACCTTTATGCTTGTGGACCGCGATATCGACAACGTCACATTACTTCTTCAGTTTCTCGAGTTGCTCCACCTGCTCCACTGATGCTTGTGACGTAGCTCGATGGGCGCCTACACAAAAGTCAGTCAAATCTACGGAAAGAGATGGAAGGTCACGAAAGAAAGATTATGCGGCGTCGCTCTATGGTCTAGTAGCATGCACTATACTAGTAGATCAACCAGAAGATCAGTTGAATGTACTCAATTTGGAACGTTAACGCGTTAACGGTCAGAAGCTTATCATGCATGATCTGGCACCCCGGAATTGTTGAAAAGACCTGCACCATGGTCCATGAGGTCTCTCGGCGGCAAATCGGACCGTCGGCTCGTATTCCCTCCGCGACAGGAACACACGTTGGGCCTGTAATACTCGACAGTTTATCGCTCGTCCTGCACGCTCAAAAAATAAACTAGCGAAATAAACTGTCATTGAGTGGGTTTTTCCTTGGCTGTCATACGACACAAGTGACCGGTAAGATTAATATTACTGGCGGGACTACATATGTATCACCGGTGAGAGATGAGTGAATTCACCGGTGCTCACAAGAGATCAGGAGCCCATGCTACGTCACTAATATTGCAATTATAGACGGATATAAATTTAAAATGACACTGCTCCTGCGAAACATAACATGAGAAATATAATTTGTTGATAAATGGAGACCCGTGAAATGCCGCTTGCGTTGGCTGAAACCTTACTTAGCATATTCATTTTAGCGACGTGATCTAACAATTGCCTTGGTACAATATTAGCGTGTCTCATTTGTATCGGTACTTTGTTGATCAGTCAGCTAAGCACTGCAAGCAGCGAAATTGGTCACTGAAGGTGCGCAACTCCGAACTAAGTAAATCATTGCGCTCACCTGTGTTATATCTTGAGAATCTCCCTGTGGACTTTCAAACTTAACATCGCCTTTTATTGGAGACTCCATAAAATCATGAGATCTTTCGCTTTTAGCCGGAGTCAGGGCCTGACAGTAAGGGGCCAGACTCAGTAGTCATGACTGTGGTTGTGTACCATGGAAGTTGCCGGTAAATTAGGAACATGCAAACGCATGACGAATTTTAGGGTGCTAGAAACCTTGACAAGTAGGGTAATGGCAGCTTGAGATCTGAAGCTGATGAGTTGAGAAGTCTAGAATGGCATAATCAAGGAGTGGGATTCACTGAGGAGGCAGCACATTTGTGCGAACCTTGTTTGAGCATTCTCGTTTTCCCTCATCATTCAAGGCTTTCATGCTTTAACCGGACCTATGAAGGTTCATAATTCTAAGTTAAAGCCATGCCTAGAGGGGGGGGAAGCAGGAACCGGAGGATTTATGTGTCGAGTGCGAAAGGCATCTGGCGAGAATTGCCGACCAACTAGGTCGCCGGGGTGGCTTCGCTGATAATATTGGACGTCCGTGCTAGTGGCTTGTGGCACAAGAATTTGAGACAGTAGTATTAGGCGAGGTAGTGCCTTCTCCCGCTGATGGTACGTTACGTTCCAGGCATTTGAAGAAGCAATGCATAATGATCCTCGGAAAAGCACACACTTTGACCTCGTGTTACGAAGACGTCCACAATCGGAATCCCGCAGAGACAAAATCGGCGTAGCGAAGTGTACTAAAGGGACGGGTCGTTCTTGATATGGGAGCATTCCGCATATTGTTGCGAGGCAGTGGAATTACTTGGTGCAGTTGTTGCATCAAGGTGATGAGCACGCAATACCAACAGAATATGGTAATAAACTGGAAGTTAACTACATAGTCGTGATAAATATCAATGACATAAAAACCTATTGTAACATGAATTCAAGACTTACATCGTTTAGATCTGAGAGCCCATGTTAAAAAGAAAAAGTCCGGTACGTTCAAGTTGTGGTCGATCGACGCGTAAGGCTTGAGATGTCTTCTAGAGGTGTCGTCGCCTGCTGCTAGTTTTCTCCCACCTACAGTGTAGGTATGACATTGGGTATGCCACACTGTCACCCCCGCTCCCCACAGCAGCATGCGTTGTGAACCGTGATACACTTGCAAATTTCTCAATGTCCAAAACAACGAAACCGTCACCTTTGTGTTCGTCAGAACTTCACATACCCAGGACGGCCTCTATCTCTTGCACTAATGAATATGTCCGGTGTTGCTTTCCGAGGACCTCTATGCGACCTGCGATTTGTCCTCATTCCTATCGCCTCCGACTATCTGCTCAACCCTAATCAAAAGACTGGCGTACATAGTGGACACCAAGGAATAAATATACTACCCCGCCCTGTCCTTGTACGTTTGAATGGGGTTGGTAGACTGATTGAAGTCATACAACCGGGCACGGCGTATAGACTGCCGACAACCAATAAGTACATGTGCGCAGGAGGCACTCGTCGTATACCGTGGCAATGGTCATTGATCAGGGAAGTGGTGAAACGGAGGATAGTGCGATAGTCAATGCCTGCCGTAAAGACCGTGACCTCTCTGGCTGCATTTAGGGCTGCCTTCTAGTCATCCATCTTTTGATCTGGCAGCAGCAAGAGCGCCATCATCGTTCCCCGACTTTTTACTTTGATGGGTTGGCCGTCTATGATTTGACATTTCTGCGATAGCCTGCTGGCGAGTCCAACTAGTCTGTGCGACAAATGCAGCCAGGGTCTAGAACAAATTGATGATGGGTCGTTGTGAATCAGGCTGGGTAAGAACCACTGTAAGAACACCTACCAGCAACACAGCGCCCATGATCACTCTCTCTTTCCACCGCTCGTCACTAGCTGTATCGTCGAAATGAGGACGGCGCGCCCTAGCTGACCATCGTATCGGATCTACTTTGTGAGTAGTTTCGACCGGTTCGCCAGAAGGAGATGCTTTTCCTCGAAGTATGTCGTACGCTCTAGAAATAGCTTGAAATCGTGCCTGCGATTCCTCGGGGGGATAATGACGAGCGACAGCTGAGTCCGGGTGGTAAATTCGGACAAGTTCATAATCTGCTTTGTGTTAGGTCGTACGAGGGCAGTAGTATAAGATGATACGTGCATCTCCGTTTCACATCCTCCTGGTTTGCACCTCGCGGTAGATGGAAAATCTGGTGTGGCTGAGGGTTTGTTTGTGTTGGATAGGGATAGGGATTGACACTTTTGGACGCGTACGAACGAGAGCTTTGCAGTGAAATAAAGAGGGTGTGCACTCGAGAACGAAAAATTGGCGCTCGCTGCATCAGTAAGGAGTAGGCGTCGGAAGATTGGATGAGAGATGCTGGCCAGCCAGCCAGCGTGTTTGCCTTAAGCCGGAGTGAACCAACAGCCTGGCGGTTCCTTTTCTTTTGTACGTACAGCAATTTATTTTGTACAAGCCGTGGTTGAATCTTCTCTCCTAGTCCCGTTCCGATCCGGTCGATCAGTAAATTGAAACTTTCAGACTACCGCGCTTGCACCTCACTACATCATTATACACTACACCAAAACACTTCTTATAGTATCGTACACACTCGAGTATGAAAAGGGGAATGGTAACGCACAAAAAGGCACATACGCGTGTGGGTACATAGGGATCGCAAAAAATTGCCGTTCAAGTTAGCTGGGATCAAGACTCACAACAAGACAACCATTATTGAAAGGATCCACTCCAACGTCCAGACCCAAACTGCATGACATCTACGATGAGAACCAACTTACGGGGGTACATTCGCGATGTACACACCTTCGCCCATATTCTTGGATTGCAGGTTTGATCCTGGCGATGTTATTTTCGGAGTGATTTCCCCTTCCTGAGCAGTTTTGCAATCAATGAGAAACCTGTTTCTGAAGTTGAGTGTGCGATGGATAATGTCTTACCTACGATCACATGAAGTGACAATTCTCCACAGTCCCGAGCCCCCCGAACAGCGTTGCCGAAGTATATCTTGGCTTCTGGGACAAAGAGTCCATGAAGATCAACTGTGTCGGGCATGAGTCCCTGGGAAAAGCGTCGGACAGTGGCGTGCTTCATAAGAACAATAACAAACTTGATTATTCTCTAGATGAGGCTGGAGGTAAGTTGGCAAATCCTGCACACTCCGTCGATCAGTCTCATACCTTGAAATATCTTCGTGCTGGCTACCTTATCTAAGCGCACCATGTTGGCTTTGTGCTCCTGACCCTTCAGGGAAAGCTGTTTAGCGAGCGCTCGCTCGTCACGAGCGAACGCTTCTTGGCTCTGCTTGAAATGTTCTTCCATGAGACTCCCTTCATTTCTGGCTCTGAGACGAAGAGAACCGGCGTCTTCGTGGGGGTTTATCACAATCGGCGTCGCAACAACCTCCGGTGCTCTTGGAGCTAATTCGGGTCCAGAAGAACGGCGTGATCGCTGTGTCAAAGAAGTGAATAGACGGCACTGGCAGATGGATCATGCTAAGACAGACCTGAGGGATGTGACTTCGGACAGGCTCGGTCACTGGAGCAACATTAGAAGATACGGGGGGCGTGGGTTCTGCAAAGATTCGTACGTTCTGTTGGCGATGAGGCTGAGAGGGTGTGTACTGCAAAGGTAATTGATAGGGATTGAGAGTATTTCGAAGAGGTGAGTAAATAGCACTGGCAGATGGATCATACTAAGACAAACCTGAGGGATATGACTTCGGACAGGTTCAGTCACCGGAGCAACATCAGGAGATACGGGGGGCGTGCGATGTGCAGGGATTCGTATACTCGGTTGGCGATAAGGCTGAGGGTGTGTGTACTGCGAAGGTGATTGATGGGCGGAAAGGGATTGGTAATGTTCGGCCACTGGGCGTAGTAGTGGGTAAGTTGATCTTTGCTGCTGCAAAGGTGATTGATGGGCGGAATGGGATTGAGTGTTCGGCCGCTGGACGTAGTGGAGGGTAAGTAGACCTTTGCTGCTGCGAAGGTGATTGATGAGCGGGAGGGGATTGAGAGTATTCTGCTGCTGGGCGCGGTGGCGGGTAAGTTGATCTTTGCGGCTGCAAGTCGTATGGTGAATCAGATAGTGAACATAAAGCCACGGATTGTGTCGGCAGTGGCGGGGACTCTTTCCTGCCAAAGAATATGGAGAATACTTTCCGTAGCATCCAAACTGGGCCCTTCAATAGGGCCTCGAGGATTGATAGTACAGAGGAGATGGACATCTGCACGATGCAGTGGGGGTGGAGACGAATCAAAGGCCTTATCAATAATTAGACTCGAGTAGCACAATGAGCGCTACGCCCACATCTATATTCCACGATGAAGGTAACATTACATATACACGAATCAAAGGAGAACCCTTGATCAGGCTGACCAAAGCGTCATCCCATGCGGACAGCCTATCAGAAGTTATGTCACGGCGGTATGCATGAAAATGGACACATGATCATTGATCGCACACACATCGATATTCTGATCAAGGGCGAGCGCGTAGCTAGATGTGTCCACAGTACATTGAATCAGAATGCCTGCGTTCTGTGGACCCACATCGGAAGAATATTGTTCCTTTTGACTAATGGTTTAGCTAATAAGCGGAAAGGTATACAAGCCATAAGTATACGTACCGTCTCATCAAGTCCTCTTTGATTTTAGCGAAATGGACACAGATCATAATTCTGATGCGAGTATAAGCCTTTGCTACAATGCCTGTATCCTTGATTAGTATGAATTCTGTGACATACTTATATATCACGTACCAACAATCAAGCCGGTCTGTGAATCCCCACAATGACTGCAGAGCCTCCTTGATAGTTTTATCCGAGTATTATATAGCCTCTTTGGCGTAGAGTCCGTGCAGATCCAATTTACCTGGTTGACCATTCTGTTCGCATTAGTAAATATCATGGAGGGAGCCCTCAACTCTCAAAAATCAGAAGTCCTTCATGGTGCGTTCATGCTGCTTGCCCTTCAACCCTGAGTTCCTTCAAGCTAGCTAGCGTACCGTTACGGCACGAATGGGCCCTGTTGCTCTGCTCGGAAGCATATAGACTCCATACTTGTGCAAGCGGGGTAAGGAGCATGTGCACTCAAGAATAGTACTAGTGAGGAATGGGACTCGCTGCCGACATGGTTGTGCACTGGTAGGTTTGACTCGGATTACGGCATGTGCATTGTACTGGCCAGGTAACTGCTGCTTACATAAGATTTTCATAGCCATAACACAAAATAAAAACAAAACAATAGGATAACCTGATCAGGATTCAGAGGACACGCACCACTAGTTCCGAGGTAATTTATATATCGGTGGGTACAAGCCGTGGTCGAACCTCTCTCCTAGTCCCGTTCCGATCCGGTCGAATCAGTAATTATTGAAGCTTTCAGACTGGTCAGACTACCTGCACCTCACTACATCGTTATACACTACACCAAAACACTTCTTATAGTATCGTACACACTCGAGTATGGAAGGGGAATGGTAACACACAAAAAGCACGTACGCGTGTGGGTACATAGGGATCGCAAAAAATTGCCGTTAAAGTTAGCTGGGATCAAGACTCACAACAAGGCAGCCATTATTGAGAGGATCCACTTCAATGCCCAGACCCAAACTGCACGACATCTAGGATGAAAACCAACTTGTGGGGTACATTCGCGATGTACATACCTTTGCCCATATTCTTGGATTGCAGGTTTGATCCTGGCGATGTTATTTTCGGAATGATTTCCCCTTCCTGAGCAGTTTTGCAATCAATGAGAAACTTGTTTCTGGAGTTGAGCGTGCTATGGATGATGTCTTACCTACAATCACACGAAGTAACGATTCTCCACGGTCCCGAACCTCTTGAACAGCGTCGTCGAAGTACACCTTGGCTTCTGAGACAAAGAGACCATGGAGATCAATCGTGTTCGACCTGTGTCTCTGGGAAAAGCGTCGGACAGCGGCATGCTTTATAACAACAACAACAAACTTGATTATGCTCTAGATGAAGCTGGAGATAAGTTGGCGAATCTTGCACACTCCATCGATCAGTCTCATACCTTGAAATATCTTTGTACTGGCTTCCTTATCTAAGCGCACCATGTTGGCTTTGTACGCCTCACCCCTCAGGGAAAGCTGTTTAGCGAGCGCTCGCTCGTTACGAGCGAACGCTTCGCGGCTCTGCTTGAAACATTCCTCCATGCGACTCCCTTCACTTCTAGCTTTGAGACGAAGGGAACCGGGATCTTCGTAGGGGTCAATCACAATGGGCGTCACAACAACCTCTGGTGCTCTTGTAACCAATTCGGGTCCAGAAAAACGACGTGATTGCTGTGTCGGAGAGGTGAGTAGACAGCACTGCCAGATGGATCATGCTGAGACAGACCTGGGGGATGTCACTTTGGACAGGCTCGGTCACCGCAGCAACATCAGGAGATACGGGGGGTGAGAGTTGCGCAGGAAATTGTACGCTCTGTTGGCAATAAGGCTGATTAATGAGTATTTTGAAGAGATAAGTAGACAGCACTGTCAGATGGATACTGCTAAGACAGACCTGGGGGGTGTCACTTTGGACAGGCTCGATCACCAGAGCAACATCAGGAGATACGGGAGGCGAGAGTTGTGCAGGAAATTGTACGCTTTGCTGGCAATAAGGCTGAAAGGGTGTGTACTGTGAAGGAGATCGATGGGCGGAAGGAGGTTGTGAGTATTTTGAAGAGGTAAGTAGACAGGCCTGGGGGGTGTCACTTCGGATAGGCTCGGTCACCGCAGTAACATCAAGAGATACGGGGAGTGTGGGTTGTGCAGGAAATTGTATGCTCTGTTGGCGATAAGGCTGAAAGGGCGTGTCCTGTGGAGGAGATTGATGGGCGGAAGGAGGTTGTGAGTATTTTGAAGAGGTAAGTAGACAGGCCTGGGGGGTGTCACTTCGGATAGGCTCGGTCACCGCAGCAATATCAAGAGATACGGGGGGTGTGGGTTGCGCAGGAAAATGTATGCTTTGTTGGCGATAAAGCTGAAAGGGTGTGTCCTGCGAAGGAGATTGATGGGCAGAAGGAGGTTGTGGGCATTTCGGAGAGGTAAGTAGACAGCACTGCCAGATGGATATTGCTAAGACAGACCTGAGGGATGTAACTTCGGAGAGGCTCAGTCACTGGAGCCACATCAGGAGATACGGGGGGTGTGAGCTGTGCAGGGAATTGTACGCTCTGTTGGCGATAAGGCCTATAGGGTATGTATTGTGGAAGATGGGCGGAAAAGTATTGAGAGTATTTGGTCGATGGATGCGGTGGCGGTGGCGGGTACAGATGATAACCTGATCCTTGCTGCTGCGAAGGTGATTGATGGGCAGAAGAGGACTGAGAGCATCTGATCGCTGGATGCGATGGCGGTGGCGGGTACAGACGATAAGTTGATCCTTGCTGCTGCAAAGGTGATTGATGGGCGGAAGGGGATTGAGAGTATTTGGTCGACGGATGCGGTGGCGGTGGTGGGTACAGATGATAAGTTGATCCTTGCTGCTGCGAAGATGATTGATGGGCAGAAGGGGATTGAGAGTATTTGGTCGATGGATGCGGTGGCGGTGGTGGGTACAGATGATAAATTGACCCTTGGGCGGAAGGGTATTTGGTCGACGGATGCGGTGGCGGTGGCGGGGACTCTCCCCTGCCAAAGATTATGAAGATTACTTCCCGTAGCAACCAAGCTAGGCCCTTCAATAGGGTCTCGAGGGCCGATAGTACAGAGGAGATGAACATCTGCATGATGGAGTCTGAGATGGAAACGAATCAAAGGCCTTATCGATAGTTAGACTCGAGTGGCACAATGAGCGCTACACCCACATGTACATATATTCCAAGATGAAAATAATATTACCGTAATACGCACGAATCAAGGGAGAACGCTGATCAATGCACCATCCCATGCGGACGGCTTATCCAGTAGTATGCATGAAAATGGATACATGGTCATTAATCGCGCGCACATCAATGTTCTTATCAGAAGCAGCCCACAGCAGTACATTGAATCAGGACGCTTGTGTTTTGTGGGCCCACATCGGAAGAGTATTCTGCCTTTGACAAATAGTTTAGCTAATAAGCGGGAAGGCATATAGTACAGGCCATAAGTATACGTACCGTCTCATCAAGTCCTCTATAGGGCCGCTTTGATTTTAGCGAGATGGTCCCGGATCATAGTTCTGATCTGAGTGTAAGCTTTTGCCGCAATGTCTGTATCCTTGATTTGAATGAATTCTGTGCCCATATATTATGTACCAACAATCAAGGGGATCTGCGAATCCCCACAACGACTGTAGAGCTTCCTCGATAGTTTTCTCCGAGTATGATATGGCTTCTTTGGCGTAGAATCCGTGCAAATCCAATTCGCCTGGTTGACCATCCTGTTCGCATCAGTAAGTATCATGGAGGAGCCCTCAAGTTTCAAGCTTCAAGAACCATCCAAGCTCAAGCGCTCATCACTAGCATCGGTAGCTTCCATGATGCGTTCGCATTCGCGCTTGCCCTTCTCTGAGTTCTTTCAAGTTAGCTAGCACTGACATACCACACTGTCGTGGCGCGCATGGGCCTCATTACCCTACTAGAACCATATAAACTCTGCACTCTCGAGTACTAGTGAGGAATGGGACTTGCTGCTGGCATCGGTGTGCAGTAGGTTTGACTCGGATTATGGTATGTGCTGGCCAGCAGCCGCATGTTTGCCTACTTTGTCCGCTCAAGCTGCCAAAGGTAACAGCTGCTTACATAAAAATTTCAAAGCGATAACACAAAACAAAGACAAAATACAGTCTTCAACCGGTCCCTGTAACGCAACATTTGAAAAATGCTCATTCTTCCAAGAACACATATATTCAACAAAAATTGTCAGCTACAATGTTTTTAACAGCATCCAAAGTATATACATGTGAAGTAGAATTAAGATCAGTGCAGTAGTGGGTGAGTTAAACATGGATTGGTGAGGACGTCTTTTTTTTGGTATTCCCAAGTCCTTGAAACACTGCTGTCACACAGGTGTCACATCACGCTCCGTGTTAGCAACTCTTCACTCGCTATTGTTATCGCTGCTAAAATCACCCTTGACATCCAGCCAGTTGGCTTCTTCATCATTGGCTTCACATGGGTTGTCATCCTGCCTCCAATTTTTTGGCTTTGGTACTGGTTTTTCAAGTGGACCAAGCACTGGCTTTTTCCAGTGTGTCCAATGTTTCTCTTGCTTGGCGAGGTCTTGCTCTGCCTCCCACTTGATTACTTCCTTCTTCCACTCAGTCTTCCTCATGGTGTTCCTCTCTTTCTGTGCCTTCTCTTCCTCTTCCCATTGAACTATCTCCTGGGATCTCTTCTCTCACGCCTGACATCACTGTTCCTTGGCAGCAACTTCTGCTTCCTGCTGTGCTTGGTGTCACAACACCTCTTTGAAAAATTTGTCACTTGTGAGTAGCTGTGGTATCCTGTCACCATTAAGCCTAACATTATCTTTCTCCGGTTTTTTTTACCTGGGTTTCTAGGTGCTGCCAAACTCAATCACAGTACAATCTTTGCAAGATAACTGTTGCCTGCAGCCTGACAACTTATTCCTTCAAGCATGCCACCTGTGCAGTCAAGTCATCAACCATCCTTTGGAGCTTCTGCTCCTTGTTCATTGATGTGGGGAAAGCTCATGAGGTGGCACCAACTGGCTGAGACTTTTTGATTGGTGAGATCATACTTGTGATGGGTTTTGAAGGCTGCAGAACTGATTTAATAGGTGAAGATGAGATGAGGAACCTTGCAGAGGTGTTTTCCAGGTTTGAGATAGCATTGTGGATGGTGGAACTTCTTATTCCCATGCCATGGAGTGTTTCATGGGTAGAATGATTGAGTGAGTTGGCATGAAAGGGGTTCTTGTTATCATCATGATTGGTACTAAGAGGTGCTTCTTCTTCCTCAGCAATAGAAAGGAGGCTACTGTTAGTACCATATTCATTGAGCTCTTCCTGGAAGAGCTGTGTGATGGCACGGAGAGGTGAGGGAAAACTGAGGGGTAGGTTTCCATGCTTCAAAGTCTCAATACTTGGTGCTAACATGTCCCCTGTGATGACGGTAGGATTATATGGCCAAACTCCTGTCTTTTGGAATGTGTTAAGGTCGTACTCAAAGGGTAATTAGATCTGAAGGGCTTCGGCCTCAGCTTGTGCACTGTGCCCCTTACCTGAGTATTGCCCCTTATTTCAGGAAGGCAAGACTAGTGCGTCTGGAAGGTCAGACGAGTAGCGTAATGGATCTGGATGACTTCCAGATGAGGGATGAGTATCGTAGGGCTAATCCGGATGAGTCCAGACTAGAAACTAATGGTAATGGACTGTTGGGGACAGAGGCGGATACGGATAGACTATAGGAATCAATCCTAAGTCTCAGAGGGTGACAAGAGTAGAGGTACTCAAGTCCAGAGGACAGGAATGAGCAGAACTAAGATGATATTCGAACTGAGGTACTACAGAAAGTTACAGGAGGTTATATACTATAGGTATCTAATGGAATGATCAATCAGCAGAGTCCAAGGCTATGTATGAAGCATGTGGATAGTCTATTGGTAAGTAGAAATGGATCACAAATCATGAAACGGAAATGAAACATAGGTAGCGGATAAGGGAGCAGGATGGATATACAGATAACTGAAATACCAGAGTTAGGGGGTTACTGAAAGGGGACAAGCACTGGTTGTGGATTTGGATGAGTTGTGGACTGGACCAGATGAGTGGACAGGTTGAATGATGAGATGTTGGAGGGAGATAAGATGCAGATAGGATCGGAGATAAGATGTGGATCTGAGAAGAGATAAGGGTCAGATCTGAGATCTGGATATGTGGATATGACAGAATGCAGCCTGAATGGTTTGACGTGTTAGAGCACGAACATGTGCTGCTCCGTAAATTTCAAGGAAGTTCTTCTTAGTTACTTGTTCACCCTTTTCTCTCTCCCATTGATCACATTCTTCAGCCCAGCACTTTTTGAGAACACCGAACACAGCCACATCCAAACCTTGATAGATGTGAGTTGTGTGGGCTGGGTAACACAATATGTGGATCTTGTGTTGTTGTGCATACTCAAGAAAGGCATGAGTATAGTGTGAATTGTGGCCATCAATGAGTAAGAGCTGTGCATGACCATTTGCTTTGTGGCATGTTTGCTTGTCAAATTGCTTGATCCATTCTGCCCCAATTTCACCATCTGTCCAACCCTTCTTCGAGTAGCTGAGTCTAACTTAAAAATTAGCAGGTTATGATTAGGACCATCTACTTATGCTTATGAAGCATTAAGTGGATTATTCTCGCCCCACTTGGACTGGTATGCCTTCCCCTTGAAAATGACAGCAGGGGGTAATGAAGTTCCATTGGCTCCAATAGTCACAATCACAGTGATATTTTCTCGGTTTCCACTTCACTGCTGATATTGTACTTTGTTTCCTGTAGTACCAAAGACTTTCTCCTGCAAGGACCCACTGTTTGGCTGGAATCCTGTTTTGTCGACACCCCAGATGCACTTGGGAGCAATAGGCTGCCTGTTGTCACCAGTCTGCAAGGTTGCACTGAGCAGCTCATACCATGCCTTGTTTGTGGTAGGGTTAACTCCATGACCACAGGCACAATCAAGAGTGTGTGCTCGATATCCATGCAAGTGGTTGGAATGCCTCTCAATGAAGCAATGAGTCCAATTTCTCCCCACTCCAGTTTCAGGGAAAGCTGTACTGAGCCATGCTTGACAAATTTCATCAACATGTTCTTTGAGCCTCTTGTGGTTCAAAGGAAAACCTCTCATAGCCATTTGTTGTATGTAGTCAATGACAGTTTCTTCTTTGCCTTCTGTCAACCATCTCTTTGTTGAGCTGTTAAACTTGCTGAGATTGATGCCTCCTTTAGCAAGACAGCTGAGAGTAACATGGCTAAGTGTGATCACTTGCCCTGTTTCCTTGAGATGTGTCTTCTGAATGTCGATACAAACTTGTCAGAGTCCTCATTTCTTTTGACATGGCTGCTTGTCAAGCTCAGCTTGATACTCGACAACAGCATGAGCCATCAATTTGTCCTTCTCTTCTCTGGAGATCTGTACTTGTTTAGTGAGTGATTTCAGCTGTCCAACCATTGTGATGGCGAAATTTGAGTAGTCATAGTTGCAGGATTTGAGTGATGTGAATTGTCTTACTACTTGGCACAATGCCTCATTGTTAACATGTGGAATGGACCATGGTACCCTTCACAGTGTTCACTGCAGTCAACCTTATTCCAGAATTGCATGTGGGGACTTGTTTGAGCTTTCCAGGTGCAAAGACGGGTCAAACAAGCAGCCAATGTGTCCATGGGAGCCCTTGAAATTTTTCAAGTAACAGGCAAACATAGTTATATTGCCATTTCCTGTGCATATCACAATTTTTTTGCCTGGGTCACTTTTGATTCTGAAAGAGGGCCTCTCAAAGTATATTAAAGAATCAAATTTGAAGGAATTTTGTGTAAGATTGAGCGAGAAACACCAACTGTTTCAACGAGTGGCGGCATTGCAGGGACCGGTTGAACACTGTAATAATATTTTGAAGGACAACTGGAGGCACCATCTCCAAGGTAATTTACAGAAGTATATCGGTGGGTCTAGTAGTTCTTTACCATCTCGCATACCCGGTACACTGTCATGATAATATATCCCGGAGCCAGTACTAGACATGGAAATGTGATGAGAAGCGACACGCACGTGGCCATACACGACTTGGAGGACATTTAAGCAATAATTTACTTTACACGTGCAAGTTGCAAGGCACATGGACATCACGAGAAAATTGGCATTCAGTGGGTTTACCTAAAACTCACAATAAGGCGGCCATCATTGCGAGGGTCCACTTCAATCGACAATCCCAAACTACACGACATCCGTGATGAGAAAAACCTACAAAGACACGTACTGCGACGTGCGTACCTTTCCCCACGAGCCTGGATTGCAGGTTTGATTTTCGGGGCGTTGTTATCGGAGTGATTTCCCTTTCCTGAGAAGTTTCACTGTTGCTGAGCAAAGCTGAAAGGTATCATTATGTCTTACCTACGATCACACAAAGTGACGATTCTTCAAGGTCCCGAGCTTTTTGAACAGAGATATCGAAATAGGATAGGGCTTCCGGGACGTGGAGTCCGTGGAGGTCGACTTCATTTCTGCGGTTCTGAGAAAGGTCAGATAGTGCTACCTAGAAAAGAACACAACAAACTTGGTTATTCTCTGTACAAGGCAGGGGTCCCAGTAAGCTTCCTGAATCCTGCACGTTCCTTTAATTGATTTCGTACCTTGGAATATCTTCGCGCTGGCTTCCTTGTTGAGGAGTATCATGTTTACCTCGTGTGCCTTTCCCCTCTGGGTAAGCTCTTTAGCGCGCTGTCGCTCATTCCTAGCTTTCGCTTCGTCCCTCTCCTTGAAGCATTTCCTCATATGATCTCCCTCCTGTATGGCCTTGGAACGAAGGGACTTATGGTCTTCGTAGGGGTCAATTACTACACGCGCTACAGATACCTCCGGCGCTCTGGTAGCAGGACGCTCATGTGGGTCAATCACTATGGGCGCTACAGGTACCTGTGGCGCTCTTGCAGCACGACGTTCATGGGGGTCATTCACTACGGGTACTACAGATACCTGTGGCGCTCTTGCAGTAGGACGTTCACGGGGTTCAATCACTGCAGGTACCTGCGGCACTCTGACAGCAGGTAATCGTACGCTTGGTCGAGGCTGATAGGGTGTGTGCCGCGAAGGTGGTTGATGGGCGGAAGGGGATTGAGAGTATTTGGCTGCTGGACGCGGTGGCGGGTACAGGTGGTAAGTTAATCTTTGCTGCTGCGAGTGGGTGCATTCACATGATCTTTGATGCTGCGAGTGAGCACATTCGTATGGTGAATCAGATAGCGAACATAAAGCCAAGGATGGTATCGGCGGTGGCGGCGGGGACTTTCCGCTGCCAAAAAATATAGAGATTACTTTCCATAGTAACCGAGTTGGGCCCTTCAATAGGGTCTCGAGGGCCGATAATACAGTGGGGATGAACATCTGCATGATGCAGTGGCCGATGGAGACGAATCAAGGGCCTTATCGATAGTACTGTGAGACTCGAGTAGCACAACGAGCGCTACGCCCATATCTATATTCCATGATGAAAATAACATTTCATATGCAGGAATCAAGGGAGAACCCTGACCAGGGCGCCATCCCACGCCCATCAGAAGTTATGTCACAGTGGTATACATGAAAATCGGTTAACCCATAGTGTGTGCTGGCCAACCAGCGTCGTGCTTCGAGTCCGCTCAAAGTACCAGAGTATGTACATGTTTACACTGGTAAATTAATGGTGAACTTCAACTACACGGTGGCATTAATTGATATCGAATACTTGAATAAGTACAGTATCGTACACACTTTAGTACATAAAGAGGAGGGCATTTGCATCAGCACAGAGCAAGCAGGTACTTTACACGAGTTGCAAGACACATGGACATCACAAGCCAAAAACCGGCATTTAGTGGGTTCACTTCAAACTCACAATGAGGCAGCCATCATTGCGAGGGTCCACTTCAATCGACAATCCCAAACTACACGACATCCATGATGAGAAAAACCTACAAAGACACGTACTGCGATGTGCGTACCTTTTACCGCGAGCCTGGATTGCAGGTTTGATTTTCGGGATGTTGTTATCGGAGTGATTTCCCTTTCCTGAGAAGTTTCACCGTCGCTGAACCAAACTGAAAGGTATCATTATGTCTTACCTACGATCACACAAAGTGACGATTCATCACGGTCTCGAGCTCCTTGAACAGAGATGTCGAAATAGGACAAGGCTTCCGAGACGTAGAGTCCGTGGAGATCGACTTCATTTCTGCGGTTCTGAAAAGGTCAGATAGCGCTACCCTTGAAAGGAACACAACAAACTTGATTATTCTCTGTACGAGGTAGGTTTCAGAGTAAGCTTCCCAAATCTTGCACATTCCTTTAATTTATTTCGTACCTTGGAATATCTTCGCGCTGGCTTCTTTGTTGAGCAGCATCATGTTTTCCCTGTGTACCTCACCCCTCTTGTTGAGCTCTTTAGCGCGCTGTTGTTCATTCCTAGCTTTCGCTTCGCTCCTCTCCTTGAAGCATTTCCCCATCTGATCTCCCTCCCGTACAGCCTTGAGACGAAGAGACCTGGGGTCTTCATGAGGGTCAATTACTACACGCGCTACAGGTACCTCTAGCGCTCTTGTAGTAGGACGCTCATGGGAGTCAATCACTACAGGCGCTACAGGTATGTGGGGCGCTCTTGCAACAGGACGTTCACGGGGGTCAATCACTACGGGCACTACAGGTACCTGGGGCGCTCTTGCAGCAGGACGGTCAATCGCTATGGGCACTACAGGTACCAGTGGTGCTCTTGTAGCAGGACGACTTGGCTGCTACGTGTCGAAGAGGTGAGCAAACAGCGAATACAATATGCTAGGACAAACCTGAGGGGTGTAACAGATGGGCTTGGGCACCGAAGCATCACGAGATAAAAGGGGAGTGGTGGCTAGTGGGGCGTATTTTGCGCTCGGCAGGCGATGAGGCTGATACGGCGAAGGCTGCGAACTCGAAGGCGCTTGAAGTGTAGAATATCTTGAAGGGGCCCCGGGATATCGGATTGCTGGACGCGGTGGCGGGAGCTGGCGGTGCAGTGGTTGGTGGTATGACCCTTGCTGCGAGATAATAGGCACATAGGGTGAATCTGATGGTGAACATATACCCAAGGATGGTGGCTGCGGTGGCGGGGAGTCATCGATGAAGGTAAAGCCCAAAGCTACTAGAGCCACGACCGTTAGCCCACAAACGATGTATAACGTGTTCGAGTCCATGATGAGACAGAAACAAAGGACCTGTTGTGATAGTTGAGATCTAAGAACTAGTGGGAACCCTGACCGTCAAAGCGCCGCCTCATGTCAACCTCATGTTTACAGCATCGGAGGCTATGTCAAAGTGGTATACATGGAAATAGATACAATACATCAATATCATGTCTTTGTTCCGCAGAATCACAGATATGAATGGGAGGCGAGTGTTAGCGTATTGCGACCGCAGTATATCGGATCAGATCCGTCGGGTAATTCAGTGGTTCACAAAAGGTACCACACTGGATGATCAAGCGAGCTGCACGATCAGAACACCTGCGTTCTGTGGATCCACCTCAACAGGAAGATTGTGCCTTTGACAAATAGTTTAGCTAATATGCGGAGAGGACCCACAAGCCATACATACTGTTTCATCAAGTCCTCTAGGGCAGGTTTGATTTTAGCGACATGGCCATCGGAGTGCAAGCCTTTGCCTGTATCCTTGATGTATGAGTTCTGTACCATAGTCAAAGCTCATTATATCACGTACCAACAATGAGGCGGATCTGTGAATCCCCCCGCTGTCGAGCCTCCTTGATAGCTTTATCGGAGTATAGTATGGCTTCCTTGACGTACAGTCCGTGCAGATCCAATTCGCCTGGCTTGCAGTCCTGTTCGTATTATAGAAGCATCAGAAACCGGCAGAGCCAAGGCTGCGCTCAATGATCATTAGCATGTAACAAACCGAATTGTTCTCTGTGCGATGCCAATGTCAAACTTCAAGCCAGACTGACACAAGGTAACCCAGCATACCTCTGAATATCCATGCACTGGCCTCTGCGTTCAGGGCTTCCATGGTACGTTCGTGTTTTTTGCCCTTCTCTGAGAGTTCCTTAGCTAGCGCACCCTCACGGCGAGAATACGCCTCGTGGCTTTGCTGGAAGCATTTAGCCATAGCGTCTCCTTCCTGGTTTGCTTTGGCGCGAAGGGACGTGTAGTGTTCATTCTGTTGGTTGGCTTGGTCCTGGTCCTATAAACGAACTGTTAATTTTTACGACACGTAAACTACTTGTAGCCCACTGGGCTTACTTGGTATCTTAAACGATCATGTCGGGGAGTAGGCCAAGCGCCTGGAAGAGGAGATAGTGGCTCTGTGGTGCGGGTTCTGTACACCAGTAGGCTTTTCGCCTTCTGGCTGAGACGACTCTCCGCAAAATGCTTTGACGATGGAGAAAAGAAAGTCGAGCAACCCCATGTTATGATAATTGAAACGAAGAAAAACGTTGTTTACGATAAGCCCAGTCAGTCAACTTGGCCCAGGGTTCCATAATAAGCTTCAAGCGCCTCAGAGGCAAATCAGCCAACAGTCCTTCTCAAGATCATAATGTGACAGGCCAGCTATGCTAGCGTATAATTGAACATCCAGAAAGCAGTCATTTGATTGCATACAATAATCAAGAAACAAATCGGTCGTGTATCATGCCCACTCCTACCACATAAGGTTAGTTCACATTCCCTTGACCGTCCACCTAAATCTCCACACCGACGAGGATATACGCAGGATCAACCTGGAATGGTGGTTTAGTAACAACGCTTCCCCCGACGTACATGAGTGAATGTAAGAGTTCGCTCAGACCGTGGGAAACCTTGTTGAATGCGATTATTAAAGCTGAGCACTGGAGTTGTTCGTCGGCCAAGTCGAGGAGAGCCACAATGCTATGGTAGTCATGTAAGCACCGATGTTATATTATAAAAAGCAACGCACCTTTCGCGAAGAGATACCGCTTGGGCGTTCTTGCCATCGACAGTAAAGTGTCTTGGTCTTTCCAGGGAGTTCGAGTACCACACCATCGAAAGAAGCACCCATATTTGGGGCGGCGACGATAACGCTCTTAGCATAAGGCAAAAGGCTCAATCCATCACGAGGAAAGATGGCCAAAAGAAGATCCAAAGCATCTTTTGAATGCTTGGTAATTATACCAGTGGCACAGTTGTCTTCATCGTCATCCGGTGTCAAAGGCGGGGTGGCAATATCGTAGGGCGAATCTGCTCTAATAGGAATGTCGCGAGGCGGAACCACAGATGAATAAGGCGAGTACGATGGGTGCATAAGTGAATCATTGGATGTGTTGGGAGACGATGAGTAATGCGAGAAAGAAGAAGAGGAAATTGAAGACGCCGGACTGCCTGTCACACAGTCTGACGACCCTCTGTCAGGAGGGCATTTAGCGTTAGGGACGTCAAACGCGCCACTGAAAAAAGTCTCAGCGCTTGAAATCAATAATGGTGACACTAATGACTTACCCCGGGTCCACCAGAGAACGTAGTAGAGTAGTAGTACATGTCGTCGGTGCCCTGCATGTGGCAGACAGCAAGTACACTAGGAGTAATGTCAGCAGAGAAAGCCCCATCCCCAACGGCTTGACAGCCGTTGCTGGATACCACAATCAGCTCAAAGCGAAGCACGAGAGAGGGTGAAGAGCATACGCGGGGCAAATACTAAATTGCTGTTTCAAAAAATTGGACTTGGATATATTCGACATGTTCTGCCAACTTGACTGGGGTTAGAAAACTGTTACGTAGTTGAGAGGGAATGCTAAAAGTCAGGACTATGACTTGAGGCTTTGGAAAGCGAAGAGTTGGAGGCGTGGGATGAAACCAGGGCTCGTATTTATCATCAGCACCGCTTTGCCACTCCACAACCCCCCGGTCACTCAGTAATGGTATCTCGCAGGTTGCAAGCACCTGAGGTGTATCTCACTAATTAAGCAGTCTTGACGAAACTGGACTACGAAGATCATGCTCTCATGGCTTTTTTGAGCTGGAATCGTGTGATGAGAACGTGTTACACTTCCACAGTGCAAATGAAACGTGTCAGGGGGGTCATATTACCGCTTCAGGGCAGGGCTTTTGCGGCTACATTGAAGCATACACAGTGGTGACACTACCATCGACAGCGAGCCCAACACCGCCGAACCTTCGAGACGTGAGTTCAATCCATGCCCTTGCACATAGCTGAGTATCCAGACGATTCTGCATGGCGGACGTCAAGTAATCGTATTTCGGATGGATGCATCGATGGACCATCGGATGTACTTCTACTGGTCTCATACATTTCCACCTCTCTTGACTTCGATTGTTTCCTAAGTACTAACTATCATCTGCACAGTAAAATTCCGGCACACAAATAATGGCTGACGCAGCACGCGGACGTGGTGGATTCGGACGTGGAAGAGGCGACCGAGGCAGAGGTCGTCGCGGTCCCCGCAGAGGAGGCCGCAAGGATGAGGAAAAGGAGTGGTCTGTATCCATCCATTCTCTACTTGCACTTGACCATATAACATATGGTCTCGCAGGACTCCCGTTACTAAACTCGGCCGTCTCGTGAAAGACGGTAAAATCAAATCTATGGAAGAGATCTACCTCTTCTCCCTTCCCGTCAAGGAATTCCAGATCGTCGACTTCTTCCTGCCAAAACTCAAGGACGAGGTTATGAAGATCATGCCTGTGCAGAAGCAGACCCGTGCTGGTCAGCGTACCCGCTTCAAGGCCTTCGTTGCCATCGGTGACTCTGACGGACATGTCGGATTGGGTGTGAAGTGCGCGAAAGAAGTTGCAACCGCCATCCGGGGTGCTATCATCCTTGCTAAACTCTCCGTCATTCCCGTGCGAAGAGGTTACTGGGGCGCAGCCCTTGGTGAGCCCCACACTGTGCCATCAAAGGTCAGCGGAAAGGTCGGCTCCGTTATGTGCCGACTGATCCCCGCTCCTCGTGGTACTGGTATTGTCGCTGCGCCTGCATCAAAGCGTCTGCTTCAGCTTGCTGGTGTCGAGGATTGCTACACGCAGTCGAAGGGCTCGACTGCAACGATGGGTAATTTCTTGAAGGCCACATTTGCTGCTGTATGTGAATTCTAGCTTTTTCATTGTGTTGCGCTTATATCTATTCTAGATTACGAAAACTTACGCATTCCTCACTCCCGACCTATGGCGCGAAATTCCTGTATCAAAAGTGCCTTATGACGAGCACAGTGCTCACCTACAGCTTACAGCTGGGAAGAAAGGGTACTAGATGTGGGGTTGACACGGTTTCTATCATGTATCTCTGAAAAAATCATATGCCCATGCATGTTTCCATGAACATACACCACCGATGATCGATGATCGATAGCGTATGACCGGTCGACCGCTCTTCCGCAGGACCCATGAAAGATTCTGATTGGCTGATTATATAATTTAAAGTTGCGCTGTGAAAAATCTTTAATAGAATTCATGGACCATGCGTGTGTTGGGCTTACCATCATCTGGGTCTGTGCTCGGTATTTAGGGATGCGGCAGAGATGTCCTGCACCAGTACTTGATTTGATGCTCTACTTAATGTTCTACTTCATGAGGTCGAACTTCGAGCAGCAGGACTCCGACATTCGCAGTGCGAAGTTCGGATGATCGAAGGCAACTCCAACCCGTCCTTGTCCTCGATCAACATGATTCACGCAACGACCAAGCAGTGTTGTCCGGTTTCAGCCACTGAATGACGATCATTTCAACATTAAAGGCTCAGTGATCGTCGCACCGTGAGCACGACCAGTGACTGAGTGATTAGCTAATTTTGTATTTGCTCCTCATGAGTCCTTCCTGGGCCAGTACAGTGCAGTGGTGATAATATTTTTTCTTGGCGGTGATTACTTATCAGTGCTCAGCCTCCGAATGAGAATAAGCAGGCTCTGGCAGGTTAAATTCTTTATTTTCCGAACCACGGCGCGGGCACGGCGGGATCAGTAGAGAAAGATATAAAGTATGTCCTCGAAGTTCAGACAGTGCCCCTAGTCTCCTTTGTCCGTTGGGACTTGCACTCGTCTGATTGGGTTGAAGACGCTAGACGGTTGCTTGACGGTGCGGCATTTGATTGAATTCCAATCACCCCTGAAATTCGGTGCGCCAACAAAGCCGGTTCGTTTCAAAGGCCACAGGTTCATGTCCTCCTGCAGCACACATGATACAAGTCTCTGTCGCGGCCTAACATATTTCTATCGTAGTCTTGGGTAAATCCCGTGGTAAACCAGCCTGCTCGTGCGTTCTGTTGACTATGTGAGTGTTCCCAATTGGTAGCGTTGGGATCTTCCCTAATGATTGTGATGATTAAAGCCGAACACCACTACTCTATCATCAACGCTTCTCGTCTGGCATGTCGCAGACCAATTTTGTTATTCAATCAATGCAGGGGAAGCCCTGCTCCAGACCGTCCCGGCGAGTTTCGCGTTCACATTCCTATGATCAACCTCCTCTAAACAGCCACAACATCGTGTCACGACGCCAAGGCTCTTCATCCTTCCCCATCCACGCTCGCTTACCATCGGATGCATCACATACATCGCGGTCGTTTGACTACCCTGTTTCCTCGGTACCGACTCTCTCTCCTACATCGACTTACAGGTTCGTGTATTCCAGATGGCTTTGTACTCAACGCTAAAAATCGCTTTGTATATTTGCAGCACATTGTCTTGGTCTGGAAGCTCTCACACCCAAGAACCATCATCACCCATAACTCCCGAACTCTTTTACTCGCCGTCGACTACTATCACATCTCCCGAGGTGACGCCTATAACCGCGTTTCTTTCCGAATTCTATGAGCCAGATTCAAAGTCAGGCGGCGGCACCCATACGTTGGTCCGCTTATCTCGGGACGATCCTCGACGACTGGATCTCTTCGGAGAGAGAGACGGGAAGGGCATGAGAAACACAATGCTCACAGAATCTCCAGTTAGTTGCGCAGCCGATGAATCCAGTCCGCCTCTTCCAGATGAAATGCACCTGATAGAGACTCCAACACCAATATCATTGACCGCGGCAAGCTGTGCGCCATCGAATCATGGTTCAGGGCATACGCTCGAAGTTCGCAAGTCCCGTCGTTTTGGCCGCGATTTTGGAGAGCCTGTTCGATCAAAGGACCTCATTTATGACGAATTTCCCACATACCTTGCAAAGGACTTACCGGTGACACGCTTATCCTCCTCTCCCCCATCTCCTCTGAGTCATGACCTCCTACCCCCACCTTCACGTTCAGAAGTGTGCAACCTTTTCTCAGAGGACGAAACTACTGCTGTTAGGGAATTTCTAAGGGTATGGGGTTCAAACAAGAGGGTGAAGGAGTCTCCATCGATACTGCAGATGGGTGAAGATGAAGCTCCAGGCACCCAGAGCGATGATGATTATTCATGGGAGGCGGCAGAAGTTGAGGACGGTGTTGGAGATTCCGCGTCTTGCAGTATGCTTCTTCACGAAGTTAGCCAGATGGTGGGCATCCCGCTTGAAAGATCGACGGTGGAAGGCCAGTCCTCGATCGCATCCACACCTCCGGGGCCCGATACGCTGGGTCAATTGATCCAGGATAGTCATGAAGGCTCACAGATCCTGGGTCTACCTTCGTCTTATCAGTCTGCTGCGCTTGTCAGGAGTCCCAGTGTTCTCCCGGACGGTGCCAACGTGTGCGACAGGGCTTCGTCAGGTTCCTGTCAGCGTGTGGATCAGCCTCTTGACGTCGTACCTCAACATTCAGTGACCTTTGGTTCATTCGTGGGAAGCAATGGTTCAATACGTGAAGATCAGGTTGATGCGGTAGCTGTCAAGTCGATGGATGTGCCTGTCATCCTAGCGACTACCTCGAATGAAGCCCATTCGGTGGATCCCTGCGATTTGGTTCTGCACCGACAACTAAGTCTTCGCAAGGCCAGATCTACCGATAGCAACCTGAGGCGCCGCGGACAGATCTTCAATGTGGAGAAACAAGTCATGCATGCTGCGTCCGATGGCGCAGTTGATTTATACACGCCCTACGTACCCACGAGAGATCCGCCGCCGCTTCCACCTCTGCCAGCTCCCTCGATGAGACGCGTTTCGGCACTCGACAGGCTTGAGACTAGCCTGTCAAGGCTCAAGGCACACAATTCGCATCAGCGGAAGTCCGTTGAGGTAGAAAAAGCTAACGCACTTTCGGAAGACCAAAGACTGTCTCCATTCACTACCCTACGAGAGCGCAAGCACCAGTCCAGCGTCACTGCTCGTCTTCCGGACTCTCGATCTGGACACGGGCGCCATTTCTCGAGCCCCATGGCCGATGTGGCACCGCATCAGAATCATCGTAAGGCGCCCCGCACCGAAAATGGTCCCGTCAATGCGCGCCTGCAGGAGCGCGCCGCCAAGTTATTTCCGTACCCGGAGAACCGAGAGTTGACTATAAGATCTTTCATGGAGATGGATGTGGTACCTCCCCCACCCCCTCCCCCTCGTCGGACATCGAGATTAGGGAGAGTCGCTGCTAGATTGAGTCAGGGTATAACGAATTGGGGAAGGAATATCACTGGATCTAGAGGCGTCAAGGAACCTTTGTAGGGCCCGGTGTTAAACTGGTACACGGCCAGTATGTTTGTGCATTGTTTTGATTTGTACTACGACTTTTACATTGTATCGCAGGATCTAATAGCCATATATCAATATCGTTTTTTGTAACATTCACGACTAAACTATAATTCTACCAGCTTTTCGCGGCCACTCCTTATTGAAATTTGATGTTCAAAAAGTAACTGGACGAGGAGCAGACTCCAATGTTGAGCCTGGGCCTGATGTTGCTAGTTTGAAGTTCCCCCACACCCGTCCTCATTCTGGACACAAAGCAGCAACAACACATGATATCTTCGATGAAGTGGAATATCGCAACAATGACACGATGACCTGTGTGCCGAATCCCGACGAGTTTCATGGTTCACTAGCATTGGGCACTGGGCAGTGTCTGGGAGGCGCGCGCTAGTTATTGCCCCATTAACTGTCATTATCACATCGTAACGGCGCCGGCGCCAGATTTATTCCTGGCATGTCTTGTGTCCATCGAATTAAACGCAAACTAGTCTTTTCATTTCAGTTTGCATTGGCAAATGACCGTCTGCTAATCCCACTTGACCCAGTCGCAGCCCAGTGGTAAGCGTGACAAGATGAAAACCTGCTCGACAATCTTTTTCCTTTTACCACACTTTGAACATCCGCCCAAGCATGGGACCCTTTGAATTCAAGGTCTATGTTAAGTAGTCATAGCCAACTGGCACCAGAAGTTCCGAAATATGCTCTCATTGCAAGCTTGGAGGATTCAAAACCTGCTGACAAATAATTTTCACACCTTGATATTCACTCATGGACAGTTCTTCGGAGGTCCATCTCAACTTGGGAAGCGTCCTGGACTCCTGGCTGAAGTGGCCACCACAACAGAATTGAAATCTATTTCTCTGGGACTGCGCAGGTTTGGAACTTGCCGACGAGAAGTTTTTTTTGCTATCAGAACACCTTGATATTCACTCATGGATGGTTTTGTTGGATTGCGATGTTAGCTGGTCTTAGCCAAGTGGTTAACACAACAGAATCAAAATCTGTTTCTCTTGACGTGTGTGTAGGTTCGAAATCTGCCGCTAACAAGTTTTTCTATCGGAACATGCCTTGAAGATTCGCTCATGGATGATCTCCTCGGAGGTGCATCTTAACTGGTCCTAGCTAAGTGGTCGCCACAACGGAATCTAAATCTGTCTCTTGGACTGTGCCGGCTCAGGTTCGAAACCTGCAGACAACAGTGTTGTTTTTTTCTATTAGAACACACCTTGAAGTCAATGAAGATTTGTTCATGGATTGTTTCCTCGGATAGTTAGGCGGTTACCATCGCAGAATTAAAATCCGTTCGACCTGCCAACGACAAGGTTTCCTTTTCCCCATCGGGACACGCCTTCATTCACTCATGGACAGTTCCTCGGAGATGCGTCTTCACTGGTCTTAGCCAGTGACTTGGAGTACGGAGTCAAAATCTGTTTCTATTGGACTGCGCAGGTTCAAAACTTGCCGATGACAAGTTTTTCTTCTTTGGAACACGCGTTGACATTGACTCGTGGATGGTTTCCTCGGAGGCTCATCTGAACTAGTCATAGCCAAGCAGTTACCGCAATAGAATCAAAATCTGCCTCTCTTGGCATGTGCAAGTTGGAAACCTGCTAACACCAGTTTTTTCTCTCTCGGAACACACCTTGACAAATATTCATTGATGGACGGTTCCTCGGACGTTCATCTCAACTTTGGTCTAGCCAACGTGGTTACCACAACAGAATCAAAATTTGTTTCTCCTGCACTGCACAGGTTCGAAACCTGCCTGATGACAAGCATTTTTTCTGTCAGAACCTACCTTGACATCGACTCATGGATGGTTTCTTCAGAGGCCCATCTTAACTGGTCTCAGCCAAGTGTTTACCACAACAGAATCACAATCTGTTTCTCTTGGAATGTGCAGGTTCAAAACCTACCAGACCACAAATTTTTCTCTCTCTTGGAACAACTTGATACTCACTGATAGATGGTTTCGTCGGAGGTTCATAACTGGTGTTAGCCAAGTGGTTACCAGAGTCAAAATCTGTTTGCCTTGGAGTTGGTTCGAAACCTGCTGACAACATTTTTGCGGCGTATAGATCCTCGGAGGTCCGTCTTAACTAGGTCCACATAGTCATTGCCTTTTTATGTGATAGTCTGTCCATGAAAAGGAATTCGCCTTTACGCCTCCGATCGCGAGGGTCGTTTCAGAAACATAAGATATATCCCCGAGTTGCGTACGTGCCAACCTAGATTTCCGACGGACTGACGGAACTGTCGGGGTTCGCCCCCAGATGAAAAATGTTTAATGGGGCTGAAGACAGAGGAATGCATGCAAGCCAAGGACAGAGTGAGCCTTACAGTCGGGAAAATGATGTAACCTCTCCACCTTTAGCTTTCAAGCCATCCTCGGTCACATTGGAAGGGCCAACGACCAAAGGATTGTCCATCGATGAAGTTTCAGCGGGGCTGGAAGAATTGGAAATGGCAGACCGAGCCGTATCATTCTGATGTGTGTAGTTTGCATACGCTCCTGTTTTATGTCAATGCCGAGGCGGAAGAAAAAAATTCGTGTATTAACAGTGATGTGACTTTGGGAAGGATGCAACCGAGAGCTGGATCAGCACTAGTAGTATACTCGTCATATGTGCAGAGCAAAGATGATGTGATGAAGTCCGAATACAATATTATTTAGATACAACACCGCCTCTCCACAAGTGTACTAGCATCAACGTATACAGGGGGGTATGGGTGTTTAACACATGGTAGATGTTGGTACACTTATGTCTTAGGAAGTGGTAATCGACTCGAGAGGTGTTACAATGAGTGGACATTGGCTTCCTTTTTTGAACTGTCCAGAAACATATGGCCGTGTAAGCACGCTGTCAGAAGAGGGTGTCAGAATGTATCCTGGATATGATACGCGCGACTTACACGTTGGCTTTGTAGATCCTTTTGTTTGTTTCGGCAAAGGTGAAAGTCGTCAGAAGGATATAGAGAAATGTTTTCATCTCGATCATAGAGAAACGCATCCCGATGCATGACTGTAGGTCTAAATGAGCGATGTCGACGAAAAATTAGAAGAACTTACCCTCGGCCCAGCGGAGAAAGTCAGAAGATTAGAGTAAAGTCCCGGAAGCGACAACACATCCTCCGAAAGATGATCCCATCGATCAGGGCTGTAAATTCCTTTCGTGAGGCGGTTCAAATAAGCGGGTACAAAAAGCTTACTCGAAATCCCAGGCGTTAGGTCCCCACATACCCTTGTCGAGGTTGAAAGCCTCTACTGGAACATGCACGAAGCTCCCCTTCGACACACTTATAGACTTTTGCTCCGAGATCGTGCCGTCGCTCAAGTGGACAGGGTATGATACAGGTATCTCGTCATCTTGCGTTGCAACACGGAGGGAAGAATGGACTGGAGGGATCAGACGCAAGGACTCCCGACAAACGTTATTTAAGCATGGTAAGTTTTGCAGGGTGTTGTGTAGGGACTCGATTTCTTCAGGTGACAACCGGGATATTGGAGTGGTTGGTACGATAGAGAGAAGTTCCGTGCGAAGACGAGCTTGCATGTCTGGATGTTTTGCAAGGAGTAGAAGTGTCCATGTTAGAGCGAGAGATGTCGTGTCGGAACCTGCGAACATGAAGGTATTGATGTTGTGTAATATATCTTCGTCGGAAATTCGCTGATCTGGTGGAAGGTCTGTTGCGATATTGGATTTCACTACCAATCCGTCAGCCGACTGACTGAAAGAAATGACAGTAGACTCACGCAGCAGACTCAGTAGATCTTTGCCAGTATATGCGGACCCGCTCTTCTCCCCATCCATAATTCTGGACTTCTTCTGCTGCACTAGCTTTCCTGCTACGCGGCGAATAGTTTCTTGGCATCTGTGGACAGTCTTGGCCCTCTTGTCGGGCTGAAAAGCTCAATCAGAATTACATTCATGAGAAACTGATGTAAACGTACGAAAAGGCTATTTATGATGGGAAAGTAAATTCCCAGAACTGTCCTGACTCCATCTCCTTGCGAGACGGCAATTTCGAACATCTCCTTATACGCAACAAATAGCTCGTCCGACTCGTTCTGTATAGCATTGAAGTGGTAGTCAAAGCCTGTGGGTGATGCGTAATAGTCAGGCAAAGGCTGGGTGTAAGACCCAACATGAGTTACCTGCTAGCCCGATAACGTCGAAGGTAGCTCGGCTAATCCAGTGACAAACGTCGATTTCCACTTGGCCGGAGTTCTGTTTTTCCGAGGCTATCTGCCCTTCCTTCATTGCCTGACTCATATTCATCCACTTATCTTTGAGCTCCTCTCCCTTGCTAAAAACGAGAGGCACAAGTGCTCGCATATTCTGAATGGAAAATGCAGGGGTGGCGACGCGCCGTTGACGCTTATGGATATGACCTTCTGCAGCCAGCATACCGCAACCAATGAGGCTTGTAATAAGTCTTCGAGATTGCCAAGGTTTCTCGTAGATTGTGCTGTTCTTTAGTACGTGTGCAACGGAAACAGGGTCCAGAGGGAGGAGGCGTTCATCCCACTACGATGAACAGTTATTCGCGGCTCTCATATTTTACAGAGCAGTCACTCACAGGACCAAGCCCCCTTATACGGACGTTCCTGCCGTATTTCTCCACATAGGCAGCGTGAGTCTTGGGTGACCTGAATGGACTTCATGGAAAGTGTGAGCAGAAAAGTCTAGTGAGAGAGGCGGAAAACGTACTCAAGCACAGGCGACATGTGGTTGTGCAGTGGCCCATTCAAAGGTGGTCCAGCCAACTTTCTGAGGGGATTGAACCGGGGTGCTATAATGACATGGTATAAAATATAACTTAACAGGAATAGAGCAACAGCAGACGAGAAACTGAAGAAAATAATTGAGACTGAAATCATGACGCGCTCTGCTATCACCTAGAACTTGGGGAATTTGGTGGTTCAGTGCAACGCCGTAACGACATGGATATATATCTCATGGCTATCGTAGAGAACAATAGATGATGTGACATGCGGTCACATACGCGTGTGTCACATTTACATTTCCGATCTCATGCTGAGTTAGCATGAGGCTTGTGGCAGGCTTGCCAACGTCTGTGGGGCTGAGTCCAATTTCCCTACATTAATGCCTTCAATCCGCAGCGTGTTTCCGTTGATTGTGATAGAATTGGCTAATTTGATTCTAATTTATGGACGTGGCAGTACAATGGAAGGAGGAAGAGGAAAGTCATCGAGGTCTACTGCACTGTAGCTGCTTGCCAGGGTCGCTAGAGTCATTTGGGATCCGAGGAGGTCTCGAAGGTCGGGTCGTAGGCTTGTCTCGCATCCTGGCGGAAGAAGCAGGTTTGCAATCGAGGGCGTCATCATGGTGCTATCGCTGGGAGCATGTTCAGTCTCTGTGTCGAATGGCTTGTCGTCGTCGTCGTCGGTCTCCTCATCGCCTGCTGCTTTGAAGCCCAGGGACAATAGAATAGGCTTGTCCATTTGCATGCTCCTCGTCTGAACCCTTCGCAACTCGAATATCTCCTCTCTCAAGCTTTCGCGGTCCGCGCTTGCTCCAGTGTCGAGAGTCTGCAAAGATGCCGTGGGTACCAGTCCCAAACCAGAGGGGCTTACGCTTATTCCTGTGGATACTGAGCCCGGAATGCCTAGATCCTGAGCGCCTCCCTGGCCTCCACCGTATCCCTCGACGATAGAGCCAGCCTCAACTACTTTTCGAAGGCTAGTAAATGATCTGGCTTGGGATGCCCCGTGGACAGATGATGTGATGGCAATGGAATCTAGAGAATGCTGTATGGCAAGGCCCAACGTGAGGGCGATCTCGCTGCCGCTCTGGCTTTGACAATCATCTTCACATTCCTCGAGTATGCAATGCAAAAGCGGCCTTGGATAACTTAAGGACACCGGTTCTGGCGTATATGAAAAATCCGACCACGTCGTCAGCTGCGGCAACTCTGCCAGTGATCGATCTGCAGGAATGTGTGATGCATGTGACGTCTCCGTTGGGGATTCCGCGTTCTTGCGATGCAAGCCTGCCTCAGCCTTCCGGAAGATCCGGGAGAACCAGGATGGTATCGTTCTCTGCATGGGGCGAGTCGCGTGTTTTAGATGAAGCGCCAGACTTTTCATGGACGTTGGCGAATTCCGAAGTGACGACATAGATGAATCTAGACTCTTCTCGTCAAAGACCTCCTTTCCTTTGTCCTGCGCTGAGTCTGTTCTGTCCTTGTTGCTCCCCTCTTTAGTCCCCCGACGACGTCTCCGTCGCTTCATGATCTCCCCTGTGACGATAACGCCTACCAGGCTCCCCATGACCACGATGGCGACGGCAATCGCCACTAACACATTGCCTCCTGACCTCTCGTTGGGAATCGTAGGAGGCAATTGCTGAGCAAGAATGCCTGTTGGCGCCTGCTCTGCCGTGATGAGTTGCCCGGGCAAGAAGGCACCACTCGCAGCGCTTTCCGTGTGTGGTGTAGACACCGAATGCGCTGGAAGCGTGGATGTTGGATATGTAGAGAATGAATTGTACTCGGCAAGTGTCGTATTGATTGCCCGTTCGTAGGGAGCTCGATGCGCGTGTCCGAATATGCGGTAGTGAATTCTGCGTTTTCCCGTGCCTGTAGGGAATGTTGTGGCGGTAGTTGGAGGCATTGCTTCTAATACCAGGTGGGCTGGATAGCACGGCGGGTAGGCGGTAATTCAATGGCGGAGAGGATGATCGATGAAAGCGGAGCAACCTCTGCGGTACTAGTACCTACTCACATGGTGGCTGACCCGCCCATCAATTTAAAATACAATTTTAGTTTGACCTTAGAGTTACATGTTGTTCACAAGTTATCGTATATCAGTTGGTGATCATTGGGTGATTAGAAGCCGAAATTTGACAAGCTTATGTGCCAAGATAAAACAAAATAAATTTAGCAGCAACTGGTTTCGATCCAGTGACCTCAGGGTTATGAGCCCTGCACGCTTCCACTGCGTCATGCTGCTGTTATCACCTTTCCATCTTGTTGACGTAATGTGCAAGTATCTTCACATTCACTTACTGCGCACATGTACAATAGCACGCTTACTCTTTACATCATCGCTAAATTGTCATGGACAGATATATAGTCCTCGTACCCGCATCGTTCTACCTCAGTCTTTTCCACTCAGACCGAGTCTTTTGTTTGTCTCTCGCAATCTCCCTCCGCTACTCGTATCACATCTTCTAAGCTTGGCATTGGACGACGAGGACGACGAGGACATTCAAGATTGTCGGTGTCATTCCATACGTTCCCTGATAAGTCACTCACTCAGTGGGTGTCTGCTCAAGTTTCCCCACTCACTCTCATCACCCCCGTTCAAGACGTTCTGTGTGGACGGGGATGATGAAAGTGAGTGGGGAAACTTTCCTTCAGTTTGCATCTTTCAACAAGTTCTTTCATTTCTTCTCCACGCATAATCTAATCGCGTCTGATATTTTCATTTCGCCCCCAGCTCCAACCATGATTTTGACGACCTTAGCGTAGACTGGAAGGAGGATGGTGTCAGGTTACTTGGCAGGGCGTGTTGAATTTCGATTTTCGTCAACTGATTGACTCAAAATTCGCCCTCGACCTTGGATGCGCTCCTTTATCACGCCTTTCAACAGCTCGATTCCGCCTCCGAACTTTCCCGACAAGATCGCGTGCGGTATGACTGCGCCCCACTCCGTCATCGCGACGCGCCCCAAATTGATCGATCTGGCCCGTGCAAGAGTAATAGAAGAGCGGGGGAAGTCCATCATTGATGAGGACGTCATCTTTCTCAGCGGCAATGTACATCGGCCGGTGGATTTGAGCAAATGTGCTGAGCGCAACGATACTTACCCAAGCGCCACCCACTATACAGGCAGTCCAGCATGGATTTTATAACCGATGCAAAGGCCGACCATAACGAGAGCATTGTTCGGTATGTCTTTGCTTCTGTTCAATCCCCTTATCTGTTTATACGCAGCCTTTCGCACCGTCTACAATGACACGGGTACACTTTCTACCACCCGTGCCTGCGCCCTGCTCGCTTGCGTCGTCCAACCGAATATTCCCTTGCTCTCTCGACGCTCAGTTTATCAACGCTCAATGTCTCTCAGAGCAATATACGAAAGTCCACTGTGTCCTCGAATTCGAATTCCACTTTTAGCACTCCGGAGCCTCTCCGTCCATCCTCCCTGTGCAGATTGTCCACGCTAACTCTCCCGAGCTACTGTGACATGCGTGTGGACTCAGAAGGTGATGTCGAGAACCTATTCGACACTACCGAATTTTGCCGTAGCGGAGGGTGTCCTGACACAGTCATTGTTGATGTAAAGGTCAAGAAAGTCTTGCTACTCTAAGGAAACGGTCAACGAAGAACGTCGAAATGCCCTATTCAGAAACAAAGTCCAAAGTCCCCTCTTTCCGTGATCTCCCCGCCAAAGATACCTCCATCTAAACCGTTGAAGCAGTCATAGTACTTGTATCCTCCATGCAAGGAACGACCCGAAGTTTATGTGTCACCGGCATGAGTTGGCAATTGGCTGGCCAGCCGTTATCATTGACATTATTTCTTGCCCTTGTGGTAAAGGGCCAGGTATATTACAACAAGAAGATATAGCGCCACAGCTCAGTCATTTTAATTTCAAGATACCCTTCATGTTACACCAGCATACCGCTTTAAGAGAAACAAAGTTAGCTTCTGGACGTCACGACCAAGCAAGTACTCACGCGATACCAGCAGTTTGGAGGGTTCTGCAGAAGAGCTCTCGTTACTAAACTAAAAACAGGACAAATCAAGAACGCACGAAATAAATCCACAAATCATAGCGGACACCGCAAGTTTCGCAATGACTTTGCCCCGTGACGGTGCTAAAGCGCCGAGCACACCGATCTGGATACCTAGAGATCCGAGATTCGCAAATCCACAGAGGGAATATGACGCAATCGTAAAGGCACGGTGCGACAGGGGGTTCGAACTCGCTTGGATGCTTGATAGTTCTGCCAGAATTAAGCATCAGCCACATATCCGTAAATTGGGGTCACGAGAGTACCTAAGTACGCAGCAAATTCGTTTTCAATTAGTTTCGTCGCTAACAGCTGTGAGACTCGGAGGATCTCAGCGCTGGGGACACCTAACGAAATATCAGCTTGGATGGCTCAAGATAGCAAGGATGTGTGCGGACCCAAGAAAAAGGCGATAGGATACCCGATGTATCCCAAGACTAGCTGTAAAGTAAGTTGGTGGATGCCGAATCCACGACCGACCCATGTCAAGACAGCATTGATGGTAGCGACAAGCGACAAAATCGTCAATACGTTAGTGCTATGGGACAGCTGAGTGACTTGTCGACGGCCGTTTCATGGGGCTCACAGGATTTGTCCCGCGACATTCAAGCCAAACAGACCTCCCAAAGAAAACGCATGAAGAGCGTTGACTGGCTGGTTCTTTCCCGCATCCCCACGGTCCACTACTATGCGACCACGAGTAACAGGTTCCTCGACTTCCGGAATCCGCATCTTGCTGATAGCAATGGAAGCAGGTATGCTCATGACAGATGAGGTGACAAGATTCTGGGGTGGAACACCCAGGGCAACATAGGCGGTCAAAACAGATCCGGAGATAGTGGAGAAACCTTGGATTCATAAATATTAACGTTCCGATGGTAGAATATTGTGAACAAACCAGAAGTCATGATAAGATGAAGTTCCGATGGGGTCATGATATCAACGTAGGGCTTGACCAAACAGGCAGACTCTCCTTGGCCTACCCAAGGAGAAGCAGCCGCGACGACTGCCTCAGCGCCAGACACGTTCATGAGCTTGAAGAAAAACCATGCACTACAAAAACAATGAATCTCACTCATCGATGAATGGTGTGTTCCATGTACTCACAATCCTTTGACCATCCATTGCATGGCGCCGAGCTTTGGTATACGTTAGCGGTGAGGGCTCAAAGTAGAGCCTAGTCACTGACGTAGTAAAGCATTTGAATCGTGGCGATGAAAAAAATAATCGCGGAGAGCTGTAATCTTATGATGTCAAGCGTTCGAGATTGAGGACACCACCTTCATACCACATTCACAAAAAACCATTTCTTCGCAATAGTTTCTGCATCGAAGAAGAACTCAGCTCCGACATCGGCTTCCGACAAGAAGTCATTTGCGAGATCCGCAATGTATTTGAAGAGGGAATAACCAGCGCCAGTCTTGAGCACAAAAAGAGCAATAGTTTGTTGAAGGAAAAGGCCGACTACCACAGTGGGCCTTACATTCTAAATCAGTGGATGCAGTAGGCCGAGGGGGAGGCACCAACCAGCAAATGGCAGATCTGTTCGTGGAACACAAGTAGAAACCGCACTGGAAAACAAACAACCCCAGTACTGAAATTGCTCGATGTCCATAATCACTGTTCTACAGCGGCGTCAGCTTATCAAAAACTCAAGACGACAGAACTCACGCCAGTGGGAGAGAATCCGAAAGCAGACCCAAACACAATGGCAAGAAGGCAGAGCCATCCAATTGTCAATCTTGCTGTCCGAGGAAGCTTGTACCAAGGCACCTGGATGCATGGCATCCATATGGCGGTAATAGGCTCCGTCACCACCGAATTGGGTATGAAGCGGAACGCGATAATGCTTAACAGTGCGGGTAATCAGCAAGGGGCATAACATTGCGTAGAGATCACTACTTACAGTAAGAAAAACCACGCAAAAAATGACTGCACGACCCTTGGAGAAGAATTTAGGTTTGTTAATTGAAAGACTCGGAGATCAGTCGATCACGTCATACCATTGTCCGCGTGTCGCTGTCAAAATGGTAGAAGATATCCACCACCCGAGGATGAGGGCAGCGAGGAAAATCAGGATTACAACACGGAGTCTCTTGTCGAACGTGCTCCTTGCTTGCGTCCCTTCATCCTTTTCTCCTGCACCCTCCAGATCGCCCCCAGCATCTACAACGGGTGCAATTTCCTGTTCTCTGTCAGAGTTCGTGAAGACGGACGTCTTTCTCTGTATGAACTTGAACTGATTATCTGCATCAAAATCACCTGCTGGAGCTGCCATGTTGGAGGGCCAGAAGAAATGCAGAGCGAGATAAGCGTCGATTATACGACTTGTACTTAATATCGAGTGTGGTTCCGAGTAACCTCCGTGCATGTGGTCGCATCTTTATCCGAAGAGGTCATATGCGGCATCATGCGATTAATATTGAGTCAAACAGTTCCTGACCAGAAGTCGTGAAGCAAAGCCACGGCTGCCGGATCCAGGCGAGCGCCACTGGGCTGAACACTTCCTTTGTCCTTCCCGCAGTCGTCCGTCTCCTAGGATAGGGACCTGACAGTGAAGGCAAGAGGGAAGCTAGGAGGGCGGGAAGGTACAACGGTTTCGACCCCGCGAAAGGTCTCATCAGGGGCTTGCCGCTACCCCAACCGCTCGTCCATCCAGAACTGTTTAGGAATCTCCTTCCTTAACCTATGTCAATGGGAGTGATTGGTGCGTGTCCGATGGACCAGGGGTCCCAAGGGCACATCAGTGAACTGGTGAACAAAGTAAATTGACATATATAACAATATATAGCCCGTAATGGCCAGCATCACAACAATTCTGCTATCGATTATTACATGGTCTTATTTGACTTTATAGAGGAAAGAAGAGTTGCTGATTTTCTTATGCAAGTTTGAGATCAGGAAAGGACGTAGGCATTACTCGAACTCAAACTTGAAGGAATGGTGGGTTGGAAGTTAATGATGGACCAAGAGACATGGCAATAGGGAAGTTAGGTGTACACATTCGCTGTTTCAAGACTGAGAGCGAATATCAGCAACTTGCAGAAAAAGACAATGTGTCCATCCAATGAATGAGAGTGAATTAAATCCTGTGAAGGTAATGGGTGACTATCCATAGGCAAAATAATGCGGAATAGATTATGACGGACTTTGAAATATATTTACGAAAGATAATCTGTACAGAAAACACAACCGTAACGCATCTGGAATAAAATAATTCAGTCAAAACTGCAATGGACGATCTACTACAGTATCATAATCTGGTGAACGACGGAGAAGAGACAGCATTTCTTGATGACAAAGAGGACGCGAGGATGTTAGCAGCTATGCTGGTTGCTGGAATAGAGCTTGCTTGACTTGATCGTGTCGAAACCTGGAACCCTAAGCGACTGTACCTTTGTCGTGCCCAGCTACTTCCTGACCCACATTGGAATACCCCGTGGCAAGTGTTGTACGTGAGTCAGACTGATCGCGCATTTATTACAACCATGGGCATCGATGTTCAAACATTTGAATTCATCCTTACTTCCGGCTTTGCCAGTCTGTGGTACCATAAGCCCATCACATGTCCTGATACCAACTTGCATGGCATTCCACGCCTGAATCGCCGTTCACTCGATGCTGGTGGAGCACTTGGCCTCATGCTCCACTATCTCAACTCCACCATGCATGAGACTAGCCTCCAACAAATTTTTGCATTGATCCCTGCCACTGTTTCTCGCTATCTCACCTCTGGACTGCCCATGCTCTTACAAACTCTATGCTCTATGGTTGATGCCGCAATTTGATGGCCATGGGGACCTGATTTTGAGCATTGTAGTACCCTCATAGTTGCGCGTCACTCACGCTTGCAAGGTGCTTTCGGAAGCATCGATGGGCTCAAACTCCCTGTGCAGACTTCAGATGATGTTGATATTGAAAATGCTACCTACAACGGATGGCTTTCCGAACATTTTATCAGTTCAGTCATAGCATTTTCTGCTGAAGGTGCGTTTTTTGGTCTTTCTCCAACAATTTGTACTCAATAGTTACTTTACAAAGGTGTTGTGATTGCGGCAAGGACAAATGCACCTGGCAGCTGGCACGACTCTCGTCTCGCCTCTCACATCTATACTCAACTTCGACTCGACACACCTCCTGACTACTACATTGTCGCAGATACTGCGTTCCCTCATGGGACGACTTCCATTGACGGACACATTCGCGCACCTCTGAAACATGGCCAAGTTTTGCGTGGCTCAGCTGCTGAGATAGAGGAGCATATGGCATTCAACTGCGAACTACTCTCTTACCGTCAAACAGCAGAATGGGGCATGCGAGCTATCCAAGGTGCCTTTGGAAGGCTACGCATACCACTTGACATCACTAACCAAGAAGCTCGCAGTGACCTTATCAAAATCTGTCTTTGGCTGCACAACCTGTGCGCCATATGTGTTGGGATCAATCAGATACAGACTGTGTACATGAAGCATTGGCAGGCTACTGAGGATGATCTAGATGTGTGGCGAGACTTCGAAAACATGCTATTTTCAGAGCAGAGGAAGAAGGATCGAGTCTCGCAATTCCATGTCATATTGGAATTCCAGTAGATACAACATGTAAAACTTGTAATGATGATATCAGATGAGGAATGCAATGCTAGTTTCAATGCAGATGAGATGGATGAGAAGGCAGACAGGAAAGACATTTGAGATGGAACAAGCGCAAGACGTAGAACATTGTAGCATCCAACCATCCAGTACCTGCAATGCCGATTTTGATGAAGATGATGAGATGGACGAGAGGTCAGACAAAGGGGAAGACAAGGGAAAAGACATTTGAGACGGAATGAGCGCAAGATGTAGAACGTTGTAGCATCCAACCGTCCAGTACCTGCAATGCCGATTTCAATGGAGATGATGAGACGGACAAGAGGTCAGACAAAGGGGAAGACAAAGGAAAAGACATTTGAGACGGAACAAGCGCAAGACGTAGAATGTTGTAGCATCCAACTGTCCAGTACCTGCAATGCCGATTTCAATGGAGATGATGAGACAGACAAGAGGTCAGACAAAGGGGAAGACAAAGGAAAAGATGTTCGAGACGGAATGAGCGTAAGATGTAGAACATTGTAGCATCCAACTGTCCAGTACCTGCAATGCCGATTTCAATGGAGATGATGAGACGGATGAGAAGGCAGACAGGAAAGACGTTCAAGATGGAATGAGCACAAGACGCAGAATGGTGAGAAGCAGCAATCTTTGCATGGTACATTGGTACCCTAGGTACATTGTAAGCATCATAGCACAATCAAATCTCTACTGACCCCTCCTTTTGAATGGGCTTGATAGGCTCATCAGTGAAGTCCTCGAAATATGGGCAATCAGAATACTTGGGACGTCCAGAGGGGCTGCATCTTTGAAGGCGTGGTGGCTTGGGCCCCTCAGATGCGGTACTTTCACCTTCATCAGTAAGCCACCTAATGGATCCCCCACCCTCAGGGTACCACTCTTGATGCAAATTCTTGCGTTTGGGCATCCAAACATGCTGATGGCACGTGGATCTGCTCATCTGCATCATCTTGATGCGAAGCTCGGCCCGATCACGTTCACGTTCAATGTCATACATGCGAGCACACAAATCGAAGAGTTGGCCATGCAGGGTTTCTGTAGTGGCTTGGGAATCACAGAGCTGCTGACTTTGGGTAAGTAGTTGCGTGGTGGCAAGGCTGCGATTGGCATGATCTTTGTCACAGTTGCGTTGGGTGGCTGGGTCAAATGTGGTGGAAAGTTGAGTGAGTAAATCCATAGCTGCCGCTCCTCAAGTATTGCGACGTGGAGCTGGGGCATCTGTACAAGGAGTGGAGCGGGCAATCGCTGTATGCTGAATTGGGGGGGAGGTATGCTCATCCTGGTTCTGGTCAGAGATGACAGAGTGACTGTCACCATCTTCCATGGCATCAGTAAGTCTGTGTCATGCAGGTCACGGGTTCCTGCGCACTTGTTAATGAGTTGTTTGATGTGATGGGCACGTGTGACTTCTGGAGGGCACACACCATCTCCAGTCGGCTTCGTAGTCTTGACCAACTGTAGTTCTACTTGTGAGCAATGTCACAGTCATGAGACAAGTTGAATCTTACCTGTTTGAACTTTGTTTCGAGTGAAGTGAGTTTGCAGTTCAGGCTGGTGGTTCACCTTGGCCCATTGGCCAAACTTAACTTGAACAGTCTGCCACCCGCAGTTGACTAAGAGGGAGCTCATCATGGACTATGTCAAGGAGACTTTTAACGTCCAAGGCAGTATAATTGTTGGACCCCTGAGGGCTGGCCTTGCCTTGCTCGTGCTTCCGCTTCATCATCCTCAGTCTCTGTCCTCTCGAGAATGCTTCTTTGGGTTAGCATATCCAGCATTCTTATTCTCCTTGCCTTTGCCCCTTGGGGCTTTGGCCTTGTGACGAGCGCCTGCTGTTTTGGTGGCTGGAGTATAGCTGCAGGCCTCCGCAATACTGGCAGGGTAAATCAAGTCCATATCATCAGAGTGAGGTAGGGGGAGGAGCACAGGGTTAGCTATATTCGTGGTTGGCACCTCATGTAGAGCAGGGCGAGAACTGGATGCCAGCAAGGGTGGAGGTGTGCCTTTGTGGGACTGGAAGGCTGGAGTGAGTGCGTAGGTAGAAGCAGGCTGCATGTATATAGTTAGTTGAGTCAAAAACATCATATGATACTCGACGTACCTGATAACCTGGACCATCGCCATGTTCAAACTAAAAGGACTGATCAGTTGTAAGAGTCTATAGTAAGTCGAGTATCAGCCACCAGTAAACAATCATTTGATAAGACTTACTTTGCAGATGCCTGGATGAGACACCCAAGTGCCAAAATTATGCACGGGCGAATGCACTTCCAGCGTGGTCATAGTGTAATTTGGGGTAAGATGGGGTACTACCAGGAGGTATCATCATGGATTGTGGAGGGGGAATGTCAGACATTGCATGCTGTAGTTTTAATGAAAATAATGCTTACCTTGTTGTCCTCCAATGCGTGCTTTTATACGTCTCAAAAACCTGAACTGTCAGATGCACAAATGATTCTAGATGTTGTAGTTAGTAGAACAGCCCTGTGGTGGTCGCATGAATACATTAGTACACACATGGAATAAAGTATTTAATGACAAAAAAACAGTCGCAGTAACTTGGGGAACAAATGGTTTTTGCGACTCTAGACTTATAGGGAGAGAATGGTATCAGCACTGCTCACCTCATACCCTGGCCAGTCGCAGTGGTATGTGTTGGCGTCGTCTGCTGATAGTAATCTTAAAACTTCAGCTGAAAACTTCACCAGGGAGCTCAGGGATTGGACTGTGTATATTGGAAAATGTTTGGACCAGGTAGCGACTATCGCCATGCTGAACATGTGTCAGGCAGGGACCTTCAAGTATGATTAGTCAGCGGATAGCTTGGGCGTAGTGGCCCAAAATGGTTTTAATCCGTTGTTTATAATCCGGAATAATCTGTAAGGGGGGGGCCCCCCCCTTCTAGATTTAGAGTTTGTAAGGGGGTCAGAAAATAATGTTTTGCAAATTCGATGCAAATGGACAGTGGCATTGTGGCACAATTTCCTTAAATGGTCTTTTTTATTCTATCTTATTTTATTCTGCAATATTTCAGCCTACGGATAGTCACCCAATAGTCATCTAAAGAAATCAGAATCATCAGTTCAGAAGTAATGTTCGCTACTATGATGCCAAGAGTGAAAGCCAGTATCTTTCCAACAAAAGCGACCTGTCCAACAAGTGAGCGAGAGCAAAAATACCTGCTGCTTTAAATTTTGATGCTATCAGCTTTGAAATACCTAATGATCATCAGCATAATTTCAATTGGGAATCTGTGAGAAAAGCTTTACCTTTGCCAGGAGTTGGGATTGCTTGGTGAGGTGAACTGACCAGAAATGTACGCATTGAAGCTTCATTCCCATTAATTATAGAACAACCATCCAAATCAGAATGAAAGCCAGTTGCTTCCAGGCAACAGTTGTGTGTCCTCCTCATCACCAGTGGTGCTTGTATGTACAGCTTCTGGCTTCAGCACCATGTCATTCAGACATTTAATAACCATCCGCTGTACATCACTTCCTATTCGACAAGCGTATGGTGCATTGCACCATGCATTAACATATTCGTGTGTCTTCAGCCACCACAAGAGGAGTTCTTAATGAGGACATTTGGGACCTTCGCATTGTAAGTCCTTGATTCAGCAACAAGGGACTTCAAAGCTAAGGCAGCTTCCAATCCCACGAGATTGCAATGACTGCATTGCATTCCTAGTACACACAAATGACTGAACCAAGTGAGAGGACCCACATTTTGAAGCTGAAATTGTGCTATCAGCAATTGGACTAAAAACTGCAGGTATTGTCATGAGTACTCTGTGTTTCCTATGTTCAGCCTTTTGAAACCAAGTATGTGGATGAACAATTCAAGGGGTGATTTGTGCCATCAGTGAAATGAGTAGAAGCGATAGACATTGTCATAGTTGCGATGTATTTCATACATGCAGCCTGTTGAAATCAAGCAGGTGGATGGACACCATGAGGCTTGACTTGTGCTGCTAGCAAAAATAACCAGATTCCACAGACATTTCCATAGTTGTGTTATATTTCCTGCTTTCAGTGTTTTGACACCAAGCAGCTGAATCTAAGATGCTGTCATGCTGCATGACTCATGCATACTACACTGTTACAGATGGTATTTATGAGGTCTGAAGTCGCCATAAGAGAGTGGTGTATCACACCAGACAAGGTTTCATCAAATCATCATGATATTAAAAGTAAAAATTACTTGTGGAGATGGCCAGTGATTGCTTGAAAACAGTGTAGGTAGACTATTGATAGGTATCTAAGAAGAATCAAAAGCAGCATCATCACGCTGGGCCCTCTGCCTTGCAAGAGTGTTCACAGACATATTAGCTTTCACCGTGTCGCTAAGCTCACTGCAATGTTTTTTTCCAAAAACTTTTCTAAAAATGAGTCCAGTTGAGGCTGCTTGGCAACGTAAACGATACACACCTTGTCCACCACTCAAGAAGTTGCTCAACCCTGCACCAAGCATCTCAACTGGGAGGCTTTTCAAAGAAATCCACAATAGTCCACCAGAATTGGGTGTAGTCAAAGTCACCATTGATTGAGTGCCATGAGGTAACAGATGAAAGTGCAAATTGCACCTGCATATGTAGTCATCGTTTATAAACAATTGCAACAAAAGTTACAATAATACAAACTTACTTGACAAGCGATGTACGCAATTGAGCAAGCAGTGACTTTATCCATCTTGATAATTTGTGCGACATGTTTTTTCACTTTGATTGTCAAGAATGCTGTCTTAGCACATCAGTTGTTCTCAATTACATCCGTGTCATTGCCATCACACTCGATGTCTTTTGCAGAGGATGGGGATGTAAAGACAGCTTTGTAGGCCTGTAAAATGACGTGAGATCATCATTGGGTGACTCAAATGTGACAAACCTGCAGCAAAATTTTTCCCTTAAAGATACCTTCCTCCAAATCATCAGGTTTGGCAGTGTATTTTTCATACAAAAACACTGGGAAAGAAAGGTCTGTCACCACATAGCCTTCTGATCAATCTCGAGTCCCTGCCTGTACACTAGTAAAAAGTAAGAGTTGTGAAAGATGCAAGTCTGCTACATACACTGGGTTGTTCCAGTCAAGTTCAGTCGGGCATAGTAATCTGCCACATGCATCATTGATGAATCCATGGCAATGTTTGTCATCGGGATTGACTGGGGGAGTTGGCTTGAATGCAAGATTAACCCAGTCTGAAACAAGAGTCTTTAGCTTCAATGTGTCATCTCCCTGGGTGCCATCAGCCCCTTGCCTAAGCTAAACAGTCTCAAGATCATAAGAATTGACCTGAATGGCGGTAAAACATACCATCTTCAGCATGCTGTTAAGAACCATGCTCAAAGGAGAGAGAGACTGACTCAGAGGGGCTTGGCCTCAGCTCGTATGCTGTGCCCCTTACCCGAGTATGTGCCCTTCATTTCAGAGGAAGTCCGATGATGGTCCGATGAAGTCCGGAGGACTTCTGGAGGCTGGCTACTCTGGTGGAGAGTGCAGGAGGACTTCCAGAGGAGTGCGGGAGAGTTCCGGAGGGATGCAGGAAATGCTCAGGAGAGTTCCCGCTGCAAGGTAATACTTCTACAGGAAAACAGGATGGACAGATAGGAGGTCCAGAGGTCTGGAAGGAATAGGGGCTACATCAGACGAAGTCCGATGTAGAAGCAAACAGAGGTAGACTACCCTAAGGTAGAGTCGGAGGGACAGGAAGTGGAACTAAGTCCAGAAAGAAGGTAAGTGCTGGAAAGGCAAGACTCCAGCCTAGGGAAGCAATCCCTAGACTTGGGACAGAGACATAGGGGACAAATCCGAAGGTCCGGAATTCTGGCCTAGGGAATCCTTCCCTAGGCCTTACAGAAAAGGACAAGACTCAGATGGACTGAAGTCCAGAAGATGATTGGGCAGATCTAAGGTGATAGAGTAGGAACTAAGATGATATTCAGACTGAGGACTCTACTGTAGTTGTACAGGGGTTATATACTAGAGGCTATCTGAGAGGATCAGTAAGCAAAGGAGTAAGGCTATGTACGAGCATGCGGAAACACATTGGTAAGTAAGACAGAACATATGTAAATGAACTCGGAGATGAAACTAGTACAAGGATCAATCAGCAAGACGGAAACAGAGATAACCAAGAACCGGAAAGGTGGAGATGCCTAAATGGGGATAGGTGCAGGATCTCGGATAGAGGGTGGGAATAGGTCCAGAGATAGTAACAGTTAATATCCGGAGGTCCGGAGATCTGGGGATCCGGAAGGCAGGGTGGAAACAGGACTGAGATATGTGAGGTGGTGGATGTAGTCTGGAATCCAAGAGGAGGTAAAGTCTGGATGTCTTGCTGGACGGAATGTGCGTAGGGTGGACAGGATAGGGGATCCAGGAATGAGTTGGATATGGGGTCCGGAAATAGGTCCGGAAAGCGTGGGAATATGATGGGATCTATGTCTGGCATATGGGATATGACACATGCACACATAGTTGTTGTGCTCCATGTCTGTGGTTTTCTTCAAAAACCATGGCAAGGTTCTCACTAGGATGCTGTACCCGTATAGTAGCCGATCTTGGCTACATAATGAAACCAATGAGCACACTCATCATGGCATAAATAGAGGGCAAAAACTTACTTGACAGTGCCATTAGTATCATCATCAACATTGTCATATCTCTGGTCATTTTTGGCGACTGAATCCTCGATACTATTGAACAAAGTGACAACATGCCTTAGCCCTCGTCCTTGAGCTAGATAATAATTCATTTGCCTGTTGGATGATGAGTAAAGTCGAGCCAGGAATGATGGAGTTCCTACTACTTTTCCTTCATTGTATGCCCCAACTTGAGAGCCTCTAACTTTCCTTTGAGTTCAGCAATCTTCCTTCTCTGCCGAGCCTGGGCGAACATTGACTCAGATTCTGGAGTTTGGTGAAGGCCATGGTCATTCTGCTGACCATCAACGTCCATGGTGCTGCCAGAGATTGACATGCTGCCCTCTGAAATGTGTGACATTGATGAAGAGGGACTCAGAAGGAGTGACTGTCCAAAAAGCAGACAAGGAATAAGAAATGCAAGATGAGGGAATGAAACAACCACCTGTTTTATACTCCCCTGCTGCACAACAACCATTTAAGCAAGTCTGCCAAAATTACAGGAACATGGACCTGTAGCTCATATGCATATGCTTCAGCTTGCAAGTTGCTCAAAATGGACTAGCCACTCACATCATGTTTGTACTAATCTGGCTCCAATTTGAACTCTTGCATAACTTCAAGTTGTCCGTTCAATTCAAGTTGACCCAGAACCGTACGCCGGTAGAGTTTACACCTGTCACTATAGCTTAAGTAGTAATACAAAGTAACAATGATTATTTGAAAAACTCACTGAATAGGATTCATGGGTGTAGGGTGCATGCCATCACCAACATGCGACCCAGCAGAGGAATATGCCATCATAGCTTGTTGGTAAGCAGCTTGTGCTGCCTGCTGCATGAAGAATTGTGGATTTCCAAATCCTGGCATCATACCTGGATGACCCATATACCCACCCATCATCATGGGGTTAGCACTGTTCATCATGGGGTTGGTGCCATTCATCATGGGGTTAGCACCAGCCATCATCGGATTCCCACCAGTCATCATCAGGTTCATGCCCATCATCATAGGATTGGCCATCATCGAGTTGCCCATCATATTCAGGTACTGCTGGCTGCCTCCATACATGCCCTGCATCTCCAGTTGATTGTGTTGGAAGTCGTCAATCTTGCATTGCCATTCTTCAGCCATCCTTTTTTCATGCTCACACTCCGTCAGAGCAGCACTGATGCCACCTTCGCATTTATGCTCACGCTCATGAGCAGTGATTGCACCCAAGAAACCTGTCTGAGGTGGTGGTGGCTTATTAGGAACATTGATGAGTGAGGCACTGGTTTCCTGTGCAAGTTCTTCTTGTCTCTTGGCAGACCGGTCTTGCTTGTCCTGCATCCCAGCAGATAGCAAACCATGAGGGGTAAAAGCTTTCGTCATGGAATGGGAAGCAGGTTCCAACTGAATAAAAGGGTCTTGTTGATGTGAGGGAGTTTCAGGTTGAGGATGAGAACTGGGCATGCGACCAGGATTGAGAACCTGTGTCCAAATGCCGCTCTGATGGGCAGCAACATGTTGATTAAAGTCCGCTTGTGGACAAAGGACTTGGGTAGTATATTCAGACTGTGGATGCAGGTGAGGGGCATCATCTGGCATTCACATGTGCTGATCAGAGGCGAGTTGCCAAGGTGGTGGCATGGTGTTCATGTAGTCATCTGACACACTGCCTGTGGATCATCAGCTCAAAGAATTCAACAAAAAGAGGATGCTGACCTTGAGTCAGCAGCCTTGGAACAGGTGGCAGTTTATGAGGATGTCATAGCTGCACATAGAGATTCGCATCTGTTGCTTGTTCTCCAGGTGTCACAGCACACCCTGCACTACTGGGATGCAGAGGCCTGACAGCCAGAACCGGTACAGGCATGACAAGACCTGGCTTCTTGCTCTCCAATGTTGAAGGGGGTTTCTCGTCAGAGTCAGCATCCTTGTCAGAGTCAGCATCCTCATCATCCTCTTCATCCTCTTCATCCTCCTCCTCTTCTTCATTGCTGCTCTTGTTCCACCAAGAAAGCCTGTTCCTATGCGTGACATGCTTCCCATTCACTCTCCCAGGCTTGTGAAGCACTGCCTGATGTTGCGCTTGTGCACACACCTTTTGTTGTGCAGCCTGCTTGGATGGTGCAAAGGATGACCTGTACTGTATAACTCCCTCTGAGCTCTCAGAGGCAGTGCTACCCTCAATGGTAGGCTCTGATGACATGCCTTGTTCTATTGGTGGTGGCTGGGATGTAGTTGCAGGCGGGGGTGTGACGTCGGGTGCACTATCAAGGAAAGACAATGCAGCAAGTGCATCAACATAACAGGCACTCGTGGTGGGGTTGGTAACTGGGCTTTGGGAGGTAAGGGTGGTGAGCCTGCATTATGCAGCTGCATTATAAATGTATGAGGCAGAGACAGTGCTCGAGGTGGCAGCTGTAAAACATCTTGTACATCTTGAATAGAAGGTAACTCTTTATCCTTCCCTTTGGGAGAGTAAGGCGATGTAAGACATGAAAGGGGTGAGGCAGGAGGGGGAGTTCTTGAAGCCAGTGATCTTATGGGCACTGGTGCAACAAGGGCCAACAATGACATGCCTGGCGAAATAGGCCTACCATTTCCTGAACTGGGACTTGTTGAACTTGTAGAAAATGTAGGTGACCCAGGAGATTCAGGCATAAGAGGAAGTTTGAACCTGCCAACATTCACACTCACTGCTGTTGATGGCTCCATGCTCCTCATTTGTCCAGTCTCCATGCTTGGCATAAGCCTTGAGTCTGAATGCGAGGTGGGAGGAGGGCTTCTGGTCATTGGGAGACCAGTCATCGACCCAGGTATGTTCTCTAGGACCAGGTTCAATGAAGTAAGTGGAGAAAGCATCTGCAACTGGCTATGCTTGGATATGGAACGTGACATAAAGTCCTGATGTCCGCTGCTCATCAATTACCCTACAGAATCTGGCTTCTCGCTTGACATTGAGCTGCTGATCATCATCAACTCAGGTGTGTGGTGCTCATTCAACATTGAGCGGCTCTGCATATGAGGGAAATCCAGAAATGTTTTGTGTGTTGCGCTCCATTCTGTAATGGGGGAGAGTGCATGACCGACAGTGAGGTCTGGTGGTGAGCGCAAGTCAAAATTGACCATGGGGAGCTGGGGGATGTAAGCAGGCTGACTGTTTTGTGTTTGTGGTTGGGGCTGAGCAGCATTTTGTGATGGCTGTTGCTGCTGTGGGCAATTCGGATCAGCCCCTAGACCCATGGGAGGTAGTGGGGGTGGCACAGACATCGCATGCAATTTGGGCATGCATGAGTGGAGGATATTTAGGAGACGATTGCAAATGGCAGAGGTCTGGTTGTCACGAGGGTCCATAGACTCTGCAACTTCATGGTCAAGGAACAGGAGCTATTGTCCAATAAATCAGTGGACTTGTGCTGGCAAGCAAATTGTACTAACATCTCTCCCAGGATTGACTGGATAAGCAAACATCAGCGAAACTGGATTGCGAGGATCCCAGGTGTATGCTTTTGGATGGCTGTATAGCTCAAATGCATCATGAAGCGCTAGGTAAATGGTGAGTTATCATTTTCTGCATGACTGAGATAGTCTACTCACCAACAAGCCACTTGAGCATCTCAGAAGCTTGTGTGTTCCCTGCCTCAAGCTCAGGCATGACAAGCAACCACCCCTCCCTTCATTTCATCATCACCAATCAAACCCCCAAGTTTCATGAGTATGCTTCAGTTGATCAATTCTGGGCACTCTGGGTACACCGCAAACACCTGTGAAACCTCCCTAAGCATGAGAAGGGAATGCTTCTTGTTCTTTGGCCTAGGGGATGCATAAAGTGCAAGCAAAGGCTTGGCAGAGGCTCAGGGGAGTGATCCCATGAGAAGAGATTTGACATGCATTTCTTGGGAGTAGGTGCAGTGCCAGTGGTAGTAGATGAGGCTCCAGGATCGGTTGATGAAGTTTGCGACCCAGAGATGACCATCCACATGTGTTTCCAGTCTGTTTGTCCAGCAATGTGAATGAGCACCCACCCTTCCATATGGCCACAGATGAGGGTTGTGTGGGTATCTTTACCTGAGATATATGACATCAGTGTTGAACATACTGCAATAAGGGAACTGACCTTCAAGCAACGTTATGTGTATTACTAATTGAGTGGTATACATTTCTTTGAGACAAGACTTTTCCCAAGCAGATAATTGTAGAGCTGTTGCCCATGACTCCAATGCTGGTATTGATGGACAGCTGAATAAAAGTAAATTAGAGCCTGCTGTGTTGAGAGTGAGGACATTCGTATATGTCTTCCATGGTTGCTCTGGACTCTCTGTGGGGCCAGTGACTGAACCTAGTACATGAACAAACTACAGCCAATGTCATCACCACCAGTATAGACAGAGAATGGAATAAACTCACAGCATCTGTAATATTGACATACGTAGGTGTTAAGAACCATGCTCAAAGGAGAGGGAGACTGACTCAGAGGGGCTTGGCCTCAGCTTGTACGCTGTGCCCCTTACCTGAGTATGTGCCCTTCATTTCAGAGGAAGTCCGATGATGGTCCGACGAAGTCCGGAGGACTTCTGGAGGCTGGCTACTCTGGTGGAGAGTGCGGGAGGACTTCCGGAGGAGCGCGGGAAATGTCCGGAGGAATGCAGGAAATGCTCAGGAGAGTTCCCGCTGCAAGGTAATACTTCTACAGGAAAACAGGATGGACAGATAGGAGGTCCAGAGGTCCGGAGTATGGAGGACAGGAGGTCTGGAGGTATGGAGGACGGAACGTCCAAAGGTATGGAGGGCAGAATGTCCGAAGGACAGGATACCAGGACATCCAGAGGTACAGAGGACAGGAGGTCCGGAGGTCCAGAAGGAATAGGGGCTACATTGGACGAAGTCCAATGTAGAAGCAAACGGAGGTAGACTACCCTAAGGTAGAGTCGGAGGGATGGGAAGTGGACCTAAGTCCGGAAAGAGGGTAAGTGCCGGAAAGGCAAGACTCTAGCCTAGGGAAGCAATCCCTAGACTTGGGACAGAGACATAGGGGACAAATCCGGAGGTCCGGAATTCTGGCCTAGGGAATCCTTCCCTAGGCCTTATGGAAAAGGATGAGACTCAGATGGACTGAAGTCCAGAAGATGATTGGCAAGTAGAACAGGATCTAAGATGATGAACAGGAACTAAGATGATGAACAGACTAAGGACTCTACTGTAGTTGTACAGGGGTTATATACTAGAGGCTATCTGAGAGGATCAGTAAGCAAAGGAGTAAGGCTATGTATGAGCATGTGGAAACACATTGGTAAGTAAGACAGAACATATGTAAATGAACTCAGAGATGAAACTAGTACAAGGATCAATCAGCAAAATGGAAACAGAGATAACCGAGAACTGGAAAGGCGGAGATGCCTAAATGGGGATAGGCGCAGGATCTCGGATAGAGGGTGGGAATAGGTCCAGAGATAGTAACAGTTAATATCCGGAGGTCCGGAGATCTGGGGATCTGGAAGGCAGGATGGAAACAGGACTGAGATATGTGAGGTGGTGGATGTAGTCTAGAATCCAAGAGGAGGTAAAGTCCAGATGTCTTGCTGGATGGAATGTGCATAGGGTGGACAGGATAGGGGATCCAGGAATGAGTTGGATATGGGGTCCGGAAACAGGTCCGGAAAGCGTGGGAATATGATGGGATCTATGTCTGGCATATGGGATATGACAGTAGGAGGCACCTCAAGGCCCTTCTTGTTTGCTTCCTTGATCTCCTTCATGTCCCATATGCTCAACGTTGTGCTGCTGAGCTGTGCCCAGACATCAACCCATCCATCATCTTTGGGATGTTGGCCATCCGGTTGGCACTGTACGTGCTTTACTAGTGGGCCACTGAAGTAGACCTTGCAGGCATGCGCAACAGTGAGCTGAACAATGGAGTGTATATTAGGGTGGAGAGGGGGGACAGAGGTAGAATTTCTGCAGGCTGCTAAAGCCATGTCGGACTCTTGGTCATCCTGCTTCTCTGGTGAGGAGCAAATTGAACCCATTGTTTGAGCGTGCTGTTGGTTGTTTTATGGTGCAAAGTCATGGTCTTGCACGCCGGTGCTTGGGCATCAGTTAGATTGCTGCTGGTCATGGTGATCTGTATTTGCATCACTTGAATGCTGCAACTGTTTTCAAAAAGAAAAGAAAGACAAAGTGTGAATGTGCGACATTGTATTAGTGACTGATTGTTGTTGAGCAGGTCTCAAGACTGACTGGTCCTCCTATTGAATTGTTAGTATTACAACTCCAGCACTAGGGTTGTGGTTGTTGCCTGGTGGACTTGTTGCAGGTAGTCATGCGTGAAACTTTGTGTATGTAGATTGGTTCCTCTGAGGCACGAGTGTGTGGAATGTTGATATTAATGCAGGGTTTTGGACTGATCTGTCATGGCGCAGCACCTCAATCTCAAAAGTTACAATAGATGCCAACCCACAAATATTTGAAACTGGACCTTCTTTGATTCCAACAACACAGGGAAACCTGCTTGCTTTGGTTGAGAGGCTGTAGAAATATTTTGTGGTAACAATATGGTAGTACTATACAATGAAGCAAGCTGCAAGTCGTGATCATGACACAAACACTATGAAACCTTTGAAAAAGGGCGGATTGAACGGAATGCAAGCAGATAGTAAATGATGTTGCTGGTATGAAACTACAGAATGTAGTACCCTCCATTCCCAAACCCTCCTTGATCATTGTCAAATTCAAAATTTAATGGTGTCGGTTCAAAACTAAAGAGCTCGTCACCAAAATTATCTGCTAGTGACAGTCCTATGTGCACTGACCTGGACAGCATACTAAAGTCTGTACTACTAGTAGTAGCCTCAGACAGGTGCACAGTCAAAGGTGGGGCAATATCTGACTCAGGTCATGGAAAGACAAGCTCTTCGAGGGAAAGACAAGCTCTTCGAGGGAAAGAGGTATGTAAATGGATATGGAATAGTCTGGTGTCAAAGGCCTGTGTGGCCCTGCTGTCAAAAAATCTTGACTGATCTGCAGTAACAGCAAACCCATGGTCCATGTGTGCTGTAGTGCCTCGGATATGATTCACGAATCCTCCTCCATTGGAAGATGGCTTATCACACTTGTGGGTGCTTCCAGACCCATCGAGCAATGGAGGGCACTACTGAAAAAGTGTGAGCATGACACTCAGGTCCAACATAGTGAGAATTACTCACATGCCTCTTTGGTGCACATTTAACATATGTGCTTCCATTGCAGGCCCATGGGTGGCAGACGACAATGCCAGCAACATTGCTTCATTGACTGCATCCTGCTCATCAGCATATGGATCTGTCGTGAAGTGGAGGGGGGCTCCCAACAGTGACATTTTTCTGCTCACAGCGTGTCGGATTGCTAACCTTGCCTAAAAATCACATGTCAACATATGAACACTAAGATTAAAATCTTGAACTACCGAGACCGCCGATTCTGAAAACATCTGAGTAGGAGTACTTTTGATCTCAAGTCTCATATCCTCATCTCAGAGGGGGGAGTCTTTGCCAGTGTACCAGTGTGCTATATGAATCTCTTCCACTACCAGGTTTGCAAACAGAAGCACGAAAATAGACATATTGGTAATTTCCTGACCATGAAGGTAATAGGATAAGGGTGAAGTCAAATTGAACAATGAATTTTGGCGATGATCCTTGAAATCCTGATGCTCCATGTTTGACAAAACAGAGTCCAACAGAGGTTGAACATTGAAATAATCAATGAGATCCTCCAAGGTTCTCAAGAGTTGTCAACGGTTGAGCAAGAGGGCCTTGTAGATGATATCTACTACCTTGGGTGACATCTCTAAATCTGGATTTGTGAATGAGTACAGTCACAATCCAGGATGGCAATCAGTAGTATGTACCGCATCTGAACTTCAGGTTGGCCTGATTGATGATCTCTACAATATAGTCATTCATGGCTCATTTTTCTGCTGTGGTGATGTTTCACAGCCAGCCCATAGTCATAGTGGAATTGAGAATCATGCGCTGTGGGAAACACAACAAGAAGAGAACTGGAAAGTAGACTTCTAATGTTGGGCTAAATGTGCTATGCCTAGCTGCTATTCAGCCCTAAAGGGTTTCTGGACTAAGCTCAGTGCTCAAAGAGGATAGGAAATCATGCTAATAACTCTTAGTCTCAGACTGGTACTGGTAGGTGGTGAAAACTATGATTATTACATAAGCACCAAAAGTGCGAACATAACACTAAGCAATATCTGCCTATACAAGCCCACAGAATATGAAATCCCTACAGCACCTTTTAGCCCATGTGAGGGCAACCTGTTCATTTGAGTTGAAATCCTTGAACCACTTTCTATCCAGGTCCATACTACTATTAGTGCCAGCCGCTGATGTCAAGCTGGTTGATACTACTGATGTGGAATCAGAGTGCCTTGAACTTCCACCATAAGTGACATGGGCACTGCTAGTGCTATGGGAGTAAGGAAAAATGCAATGCGATAAACCTGATATGAGAGGCCACACAGCTGACTGCCATCTGGTGCAGCTTGATGGATCATTTGGGTCATATGAGAAAGCTTGGAAAGACATGATCATGGGCTTGGACTTGGAGGAAGAACGAGCTTTAAAAGATGTGTTAAATAGTGGGATGTCAGGAAATCAGCTATGATTGAAAAAAATAATATGGCCGCACTAACATGAAATCATCACTGATCCAAGACGAGAACGGTCGATGAAGTTGAGCTGAGGCACAATGTTTCCAGCCAGTCTGGCCTGGAACTTCACATGTCGAATGGACCTTGTGCAAACTTACCAAAAACCTGGCTATAGGGGAATGATGTTAGGGCATGAACATGTAAAATACTAGGCAGTTTTGACAGTGATTACTGCCAGCTGCTCACATAACATAACTTTTATGCACCCACCTTCATTGTGACTCTCAATAATAGTGATTACAATGTGACAGTAGGATGATGATCTCCCCTGGATCTCTGAATAATCTCCAATCAAAGCTGCTTGTTTGGTAGAAAAGGCTTCTGTATTCGATAGGATTTCAAATTAAGCATGTGATTAACTCACTGAGAGTATCCAGCACTCTAAGATGTGAAGGGTCAATAGTATTTGTCAGGTCAGGGGAGAATGATGATGAGATGATAAAGATTTGGTCTACTGCGCACTAGTATTTAACATTAGGGGCATGGCACTGAAGTGAAGCAATGATACCAAATATGGCAGCTCACCTTTGACAACATTGCACAAATGGTTACTTCTTCGAACCCATGAGGCTTGTTATAAGCTTCAAGCCTTTTGGAAAATTGCCAAGGGAAACAGAGATCAGTTTGTGTTAATCTTCACTTTAGTATTGAAAATTAAACCCACCGTGTGTCTGCAAATAATGAAGGACAGTGATGTGATCAGGCAGAATGATACTAATTGTTTGAATTTATTATTTCATTGCTTATACTCATAAATATATCTTTTCACTTACGTGCAACAACAGCGAGTGGAAGGACAACTTGAACCTACCAGTGTAGGTTCTCCCCTATTGAATAATTCAGGATCTATAAATAAAGACTCCATTGATAAAACATACATGGTTATGAAATATAGAAAGCAAGATTATTCCACATCTGACGTACAAACTGAATCACAATGAGATCCAGCCTGGAGGACCAATGGAGCAGGCCTAGGCTTATCCAAGTCCGAGTTATCAGATGAACTTTCGCACCAAGGCCCATTATCACCAGGGTCAAATCTACAACCATTCTTGCCTATCACCCCAACTCCTGCATCCTGTAGGGTGTTGCAGATAGAACCAATCTGCACATCAACTGCCTTCAGATGTGCCTGGGCCAAGTCCTGTTCATCCCCTAGGATGGTGTTCATGAGATCTAGTTCATGGGAGTGAAGACGTTGATACCGCATTCTTGTGGTAATAGCCCAGCAAGTGATACGTGAAAGTTCGAGCATGTGCTTGTCAACTAAGATTGCAACTTCTGGTGATGGCGCAGAAGTTTGGTTCCACTTTTGAGAGAAAAAACAATGAATATTAGAATGTCTGAAATTCCAATGAACATACCATAGTTTGGAGGGTCTTGAATTTTTTTGTAGGTGGGATTGAGTCCTCATCATGGATGCCACCTTGAAATAAGCTATATGGAATGGCACACTTCTGGCGACCACTGTTACCCAAGGTCTTCCTTGGCACTGTCATGCTAAACTCATGAATTTGAAGGGCAGGACCATCAGTAGCAGTCTTTGTGTGTGATGCAATAGGAGAGCTACTTGCAGGAGGAGAGCTACTTGCAGGAGGAGAGCTACTCACAGGAGGAAAGCTACTTGCAGGAGGAGAGCTACTCGCAAGAGGAGAGCTACATTTGGGAGGGGAACTACTAGGTGCCACAGATGTAGGTGGTGTGGTCGCTGACCTACAAAATATAGTGAGTGCCAAGGATGGTGACTGTCTGTCATTGAGTTAACAAACCTAGGCTTATTAGAACCTCTTCTTGATTCTGAAGAGCTGCTCATCATATATATCAATGCTGTTGGGGTGTGTCAGGTTGAACCTAAACTAAGGAATCAAAGGGATGGAATAGATGGCAACCTCAGGCTATGGCAACACCTTCCTCAAGCTGGTGTTCAAAACATCATGGTCAGTCATGAGTGTGATGAGTGCTGGGGAAGCATCATGTGGTGGGGTATGGTGTGGATCATGTGACACCTACCAATAAACACATTCTGAGTATGGTACTTAGTACTAGCTAGGACTTCATACTAGTAGAGTCAGGCTGATATCATGATATACACATAAATGTTTCTGAGGAGAATGAGAAGCTTAAGCTTTGAATAATGTGTATCGCATTAATAGGGAATTTAAAAAGATGGCAAGTCATTGAACTCATCCTCAATCTCATGCCCATCCTCTTCACAGCCATCTTCAATTTCACTTCCCTCATCTTCCCATTCCTCTTCCAGTTCCTCATTGCTAAACTCTTCATCGCTTGCTTCCTTCTCATCATCGTATCCTTCATAGCCCTCACTGTCACTATCCTCTCTGTAACCAACATCCCCCTGGAGCACGACACTGTTACTGTTGTCTACAGCGTCCACAATGCTGGATGGTGATTCATTTCTGAGAGAGTCTCTAGCTATCATGCACAACATTGCTGGGTATCCCACACCCAACTGTGTATACCACATAAACATATCTCAATCTACGAAACTTATGTAGCGGTTAGGAGCAGGACTGCGGCATAGATGAGTATTCACACTCACATGCCAACACAATACACCTCCCAGTCATCTAGAGCTCCATCTGGACGTGCCAATGACTTCCCACCTCGAAGCGAACTAACACCACGCCCCAAATTGAAGGCTGGGATCAGATGCGCTCCTTGAATGACCTGCCCTGGATCAAGAAATCCAAATGTGTCTGTGTCCGACTCATCCACAAAGGCCACCCTTGGAAGATGAGCACATTTCATACCAGATTTATGGTTCCTCAGCAGGGCCAACCATCTAACCCAAAGGACCTCTAGGTGATGCTTCACAGGTGTGCCCCTGTTGTTGAGCCACATTTCCATATGATAGATAACCAACATGTGGGCATACCAATATGGGTGGTTAGGTGCAGTCTCTCCCAAGAGTACCATGATGTCACCATGTGTTCTGGGGTTGATTGTGTCATACTCGTGCCTCATGTCATATGTAGTGTAATGTACTTGCATCGTCTGAACAGCATAGATTGTGTTGTTAGGAATAATGACCAAGTTTCACTCTTCGTCTGTAAACACGTGGTTGCAGTAGCTGATATCGAGCTTGCGCAGCCTATACAAAAGGTGATCTTTAAGTTTTGGTATAAAATTCTGGAATCCACTCATGAGTACAATGCATTTCAAACAAATGCAATATTACTGCTACCTTGAGAGCCAGATTATCAGTGTGCTCTTGAAGGAGTGTGAATAGAGGGACTGTATTGTTCTGACTGACCGCAATATGGTGATGCTTTCCAGAGGAGGGTGCATCCACTGGAGATAGACTGATAGAAGGGGATGTACCCCCCACTTCTGCAACCCGCTGTAGCACATGACGCCTGCACTCGTGTTTAGCTAACTGCACGGGGGTGTCAAGCTTGTTGGTGAGTGGATAGAAAGCCTTTAGAGCTCGGTGTGCAAGTTCTCCCTGTGCAAAGACTTCAGGTTTGAATTCATGGAATGCAGTCGATACACATGATTTGGGTGGTAAAGGAGTCAGCAGTTCCAAAGAATCTGATAGTTCTAACATAGTCTCCCATGGCATGAAACTTATAAGTTTTTAAATTGAACTTCTTCCCCCTGACCTTACTTGATTCTGGAGGAGCATTACCAGTTTCGGAGTGTTTTGCCAACCATTTTGCTTTCTCCTTTGGTAGCTCTGTTGTGTTAAAGGCAGTGCAAGTGTGAGCCTGAAACTTCCACAAATTTCGAGAGAGTTTCTTGAAGATTTCGTCAAGAAAAACCAAGGTGGAGTTGCAGTGTAACCTGAGTTTTGTGAGTGCATGCCATTGCACAAATTGATAGAGAAGAGACTGGATAGCTGCATCGTGGTCAGGAGGAAACAGCCCTTCAAAAACTGGAATAGCACACTGGTAGGTATGTTAGCGAGCATAATATAAAATTCACAAAACTGAACCTGTACCTGTAATATGTCTTCAAAATCATGGGCAGCCAACTTTTTCATCTTGGAGGTGTTGATGGAAAATTTGTATATCACTCCATTACCATATGTTGGAACTTGACGAAATCTAGGGTTGGAATGAGTTGGCAATGGTTAGCAGGCAATAACACTCCATACACATTCTTCATACCTGGTGTCAAGGGTCACAATAGCTTGAGCACCTCCAGGAAGGGCATAAAGAAGCCTCAAAAGGTGCATAAATAAAGCTTTCCAGGTCCCCAATTCACACTCGTGCATAATGTCAACAACGAGCATATGAAATGGATCAAGGCTGAGCGGTCCGAGTTTATTAATGAACTGATTCTGGGAACACTGGTTTGAGCTAATCATCCCACTATGGAACCAGTCTCATTTACCAGAGTAGGCACCCAGGAGCCCTCTCTGAGGGCGTCTTCAACCTTGGCACCATCTACAATATTTCCCAGTTGATAGATAAACTCACGAGCTTTGATAACCTTGGCCATGGCATATACTTGAAGGTTGGTAAGGCGGCTTCTCATATCCTTCACAAGACCAAGATAGTCAAACAAGCCTTTTGGTACGAGGCAGCGAGGGCACAGGCATGAACCCATATCTTTTATGGTTGCAATTAGAACCCTGGAGATCTATGAGCCATGTTTTTAACTAGCGCAATAAAAACATACTTCTCCAGATAATTGGCAGAATACATGAAGATGTGAGGGTATATTCTCTGCATCACTCCATCAGCGCATTTCAGAACAAGACCGTGTCGATATGCATAAACAAAATCTTCATCCAGTAATATTTCCCAGCACACATGGAATAACTCCCTATGGCAGTAGGTGTGGATGGAGGCCATGCCTGTTTTTGATACTCAAGGCAAGCTACTGATAACATCTTTGATTTTATCAGGGAGCTGATGAGAAGAGTCAATGTCCACGTCAACCAAGGACATGCAATCAAAATACCCACTGATGGCAAGAATCTGATGAGGTGACACACTCCTGATATTGGTGATGAACATATATATTTTGTTAGATTTCCGAAGTACACATAGAGTGGCCAAGCTTTTGCGGTTCTGAAGTTCACCAGGTGTGTTGCATCGGAAAAGAGCATTAGCCCTGTGATGACCCATTCCAATGAACAGCCAGGCTCCTTTGGTTGCTTGTGAATACTGTCCTGCACTTCCAACCAGACATCTGAGGTGTAAAGTTCATCATATATCCACTCTTTGTGTCCGTCCAGAGGGCCCTTCCACAGATGTTTGAAGGGCATGAGATGAAATGCTGCTGCTTGAGCATCTCTGAATGCCCCACAGATAACATCAACCAGAGGGCAGTAGTGAAACCTGGGAATGGTATAAGGCCTGGGACTATCCCCTTTTGCCTTCATTGGAATGTTGATAGTGACAGACATCTCAATCCAGTCATCCAGAAAATTGATTCTCTTCCCACTCTCGTCTTCATCTAATTCTCACAAGCTCTGCCTTACTGAGAACCCCTGAAGGTGTTCAGGGTCAAAATCCTTTGCCAGCATTATGTCCTTGATGAGGGACACAACTTTAGATTCCGATACTTGACTGCTACCAGAATTCATCCAGGAGATGAGCTGATAGATCATCATATTTGCAAAAGGATATGGGGGAGCATAGACCTGCGGTGGAGAATCACTGCCTTCAGCAGCATTGGGACATGTCCTTGCAAGTAACAAGGATGAAATGAATTTATCCAGCTCAAAAGAAGGGTGATGAGGGTAAAGTCTGCAGATACCAAATGAATTAAAGGTGGTCTGAAGTGTATCTGTGAGTGTTAGAAGAAGGCATTGGATCCTAGCTTGAGCTGGAAGGGTACCAGAATTTTGAGTCAATGCATTGTGATTGTCAGCATTATCAGAGATATTGAGATCCTCTTCGGAGCGATTGATGTTAACATAATGCCTTGGGATTCATCTGACAGGGCATGCCCATTCATCTGAATGAGTAAAGTGATTAGAAAGCTATGACTGCTATTCAAAATCATATGAACCAGAGGTATCTATGTCAATATTCATCTCAATGTCGTTATCGTTTTGTGGGACATCTGTTTTGATGCAGTGCTGGGGGTCTGCAAGACTGGGTTCAGGTGTATCAAATATGTGAGAAGCAGACCCTCTCCTCTCCTCTGCCAGTGACCGGTAAGCAGCAATTGGTTTCAGATGGCCATGTTAAGAACCATGCTCAAAGGAGAGAGAGACTGACTCAGAGGGGCTTGGCCTCAGCTCATACACTGTGCCCCTTACCCGAGTATGTGCCCTTCATTTCAGAGGAAGTCCGATGATGGTCCGACGAAGTCCAGAGGCTGGCTACTCTGGTGGAGAGTGTGGGAGGACTTCCGGAGGAGCGTGGGAAATGTCCAGAGGAATGCAGGAAATGCTCAGGAGAGTTTCCCACTGCAAGGTAATACTTCTACAGGAAAACAGGATGGAAGGATAGGAGGTCCAGAGGACAGGAGGACAGGATGTCCGGAGGTCTGGAGTATGGAGGACGGAATGTCCGAAGGTACAGAGGATGGAACATCCAGAGGTACGGAGGGCGGAACATCCGAAGGTATGGAGGACAGGAGGTCCAGAAGGAATAGGGGCTACATCGGACGAAGTCCAATGCAGAAGCAAGCAGAGGTAGACTACCCTAAGGTAGAGTCGGAGGGACAGGAAGTGGACCTAAGTCCGGAAAGAGGGTAAGTGCCGGAAAGGCAAGACTCCAGTCTAGGGAAGCAATCCCTAGACTTGGGACAGAGACATAGGGGACAAATCCAAAGGTCCAGAATTCCGGCCTAGGGAGTCCATCCCTAGGCCTTATGGAAAAGGATGAGACTCAGATGGACTGAAGTCTGGAAGATGATTGGCAAGTAGAACAGGATCTAAGATGAGAGAGCAAGAACTAAGATGATATTCAGACTGAGGACTCTACTGTAGTTGTACAGGGGTTATATACTAGAGGCTACCTGAGAGGATCAGTAAGCAAAGGAGTAAGGCTATGTACGAGCATGCGGAAACACATTGGTAAGTAAGACAGAACATATGTAAATGAACTCGGAGATGAAACTAGTACAAGGATCAATCAGCAAGATGGAAACAGAGATAACCAAGAACCAGAAAGGCGGAGATGCCTAAATGGGGATAGGCGCAGGATCTTGGACAGAGGGTGGGAATAGGCCTGGAGATAGTACAGTTAATATCCGGAGGTCCGGAGATCTGGGGATCCAGAAGGCAGGGTGGAAACAGGACTGAGATATGTGAGGTGGTGGATGTAGTCTGGAATCTGAGAGGAGGTAAAGTCCAGATGTCTTGCTGGATGGAATGTGCATAGGGTGGACAGGATAGGGGATCCAGGAATGAGTTGGATATGGGGTCCGGAAACAGGTCCGGAAAGCGTGGGAATATGATGGGATCTATGTCTGGCATATGGGATATAACAGGCCAATTCTCTGATGTTGAAGTTTGTGTGAGTTAAGAATGACCACAGCAGCTAATAGGATCACTTACATGTGAAGGGTTCACAAATGGCCATGGCAGGTCACAGTTGAGAGCCAAATTTGCAGCAACAGACTCTTTGGCACATTCCCATCTTTGTTGAGTTGCAAGCAAGCTAGACTTCTTGTAGAAATGACATGAAGTGTGGTGCCTGCTGAGCCCATGTGCATCTGTTGCCTTTTCCCAAGAGCAACCTATAGAACCACACGACACCATAAATATAAACAAGCTTGAGAGGACGGCGACAATCCAAAGAGATCCTGCGAGGCCCAGACACATTGCCCTTTGGAGTTGCTAGCAACTCGATGATGCAGCTAGCTTCAACTCTGAGGCAGCAGCAGTGGTAGTAGTTGGTCAAGTCTCTTAGATGCAATGTTGTTTATGGTTCTTCAAAGTTGGTATTAGTGCTAGCTAAGGTCTGATTGAAAAATAGTTTTGAGCTCACTGGGACTTACTTGTTTTGTACTGCCAGTGCAGTTATGGTAGTGGTGACAAGTCGGTAATGCTCAGGCTATGACATTCTATCATGCTGCAGTCGTGATTCCTGAGGAATGATATCACAATAGTCCTGCCTTGAAGCCTCTGCATTAACTGTGTTCCTCACTGCCTACGGGCAGTGCATGAAAAAATGTTCCAAGCACAGTCACGATACTCCCAAGTCAATGGTTCTGGTGCACCCAAATCGACTTGAACTCCCCAAGAACTGTGGCAATGTACTACTATTAATACAACTCGAGGCTGTGCCTACTACTGTCAGCTAGTGAGTATTTGAAAGCCCATCAAGCCACAGGATGACTCACCATGACCACAATTCCCTTAGTATTGGTTATTGGTAAGATGAAGTGGGACTCGGACTCAAAGTTCGACCATTGACGTGAGTAGTCTCCATGGTCGTGTTCTGAGTCTGACCATTCCGCAGTTTGTAGATTCTGGCGATTGAAAAGTTGTTTGAATGACTTTTTGCGCAACCGATATCGTAAACCGGTGGATGAACGAGTCCTGCACTTTCAAGGCTACTACTTTCACTTGGATGAGTATAGACCTCAAGGAGTCTAATACTGAGTTAGGGTTAACATATCCGAGGTCATTCCCTAGGGTGAGGACTATGATAATTTGAGTACCTCCAATTAATATTAACACTTGACTTTTGAGATTCTGATACGAGTGCTTGCTTCTCATGCAGGAAGTTCAGATGTTGCCGACTATTCCATCCCTCTGATTCCTTCTTTGAGGTTCTCACAACCTGATACACCACAACAGCATTAAGATATTCCTGATGAGCAGCTCTTCAGATTCAAGACGAGGTCCTAAAAGGCCCAGGTTTGTTAACTCAATGACGGACAGTGCACCCCCACTCACTACATTTTGTAGGTCGGCATCCACACCACCTACATCTGTGGCACCCAGTAGTTCCCCTCTCAAATGTAGCTCTCCTATGGCATCACACACAAAAACTGCTACCAATGGTCCTGCCCTTCAAATTCATGAGTTTAGCATGACAGTGCCAAGGAAGACCTTGGGTAACAGTGGTCGCTGGAAGCGCACCATTCCATATAGCTTATTTCAAGGTGACATCAATGATGAGGACTCAGTCCCACCTACAAAAAAATTCAAGACCCTCCAAACTATGGTACATTCATTGGAATTTCAGACATTCCAATATTCATTTTTTTTTTTCAAAAGTGGAACCAAACCTCTGTGCTGTCGCCAGATGTTGCAATCTTGGTCAATGAACGCATGCTCGAACTTTCATGTATCACTTGCTGGTCTATCACCGCAAGAATGTGGTATCAATGTCTTTGCTCCCATGAACTAGATCTCATGAAGTCCATCCTAGGGGATGAACAGGACTTGGCCCAGGCACATTTGAAGGTGGTTGATGTGCAGATTGGTTCTATCCACAACACCCTACAGGATGCAGGAGTTGGGGTGATAGGCAAGAATGGTTGTAGATTTGACCCTGGCGATAATGGGCCTTGGTGTGAAAGTTCCTCCAATGACTTGGACTCAGATAAGCCCAGGCAAGCTCCATCTCAGGCTGAATCTCATTGTGATTCAGTTTGTATGTCAGATGTGGAATAATCCTGCTTACCTATATTTCATAACTATGTATGTTTTACCAATCAAGTTTGTATTTTTAAATCCTGAATTATTCAATAGGGGAGTGCACATAGCCTGGCCACTGTCTGCTGTTACTACCATTTCTGGCAAGTCAGTGCTCAGTTCTTGCCTAAATGTCTTGTTTGCCTCACATTGCACTTCAGTTGCCTCTTGGCGGTTTTTCACAAGGTCCAAAGCTACTACAAGGGTTTGAAGAAGTAACTAGTTGTGCAATGTCGTTGAAGGTGAGCTGCCATATTTGGTATCATTGCTTCAGTTTTGTGTTCAACAATTAACTTTAACTTTGAAATACTAGCACGCAGTTCTGGCCGGGTAGGCCATGTCTTCCCATCATCATTCTGCCCCTACTACTAGTAGTACCATTAACTGTTCACATCATAGAGTTTCAGATACCCCCAGTGAGTCAAGTGCATAATTCATTGGAAATCTTATTGAATACAGAGGCCCCAGATATTTTCTACTAGACGAGTCACTGAAGATGATTTGGAGATCCAGGGGAGATCATGATCCTACTGTCACTATCATCATATTGAGTTGTAATGGAGGTTGGTGCATAAAACTTATGTTTGGCAGTAATTACCATCAACAGCGCCTGGATGCCTTCAGGCTAACATCATTCCCCTATCATGATAGCCAGGTTTCTGGTAAGTTTGCATGAGGTCCACCTGACATGTGAAGTCCCAGGCACACCTCAGCTCAACGTTGTTGACCTTCTCATCTTGGACCAGTGTTTGATGATTTCATGATAGTGCAGCCATACAGTGGCTCAAAAAACTGTCCACATGTTTTTGCATTTTTTACTATTTACAATGTTGTGTGAGAATACAAAAGACCTCAGTGACATGCTGGTACCATATTGTAGTGCTGCTTCAGGGCTTTGGATTGAGCACCACATCGTGAGAATCAGAGGAGATATGGTGGATATACAAGGCTTACAAAATCATGACTCATGCGGACAGTTTTTTGAGCACATATTAAAACTATATAAATCATCATTTATGACACCATAACAATCATGCCACCATTAAATAAATTATAAAGTGGTGTCATTATGTCATTTTAAAACCATATCTAACTATACAAACCAAAAATTTCCATATGTCATGGTTATATTCACCATGAAAGCCACCCCCCCTGCTCAAAGGGATAATATCCTCTCTCTTTCCTATTCTGGCCTCTCTGCTTGTCAAATTTCCTCTAGAACTGGAGTATCCAAGTCCACTGTGGCCAAGTTCATCAAAGAAAGTCACACAGACAAGGAAGATTTCTGTGAAGGGCATCCATCCAAGCTCACCTCTACTGATAGGAGGGCTATTATTCAACATATCACTACAGGAAAGGCTGATAATGCTGTCCAGGTCACCTATTACATCAATTCCACCATCACATTCCCTGTCTCTTCACACACTGTGAGAAACATTCTCAAGACAGCTCATCTCAGGTCAGTAACAAGGAAGAAAAGGCTCTCCTCTCTATCACACATATGCAGAGAGGACTAGCACCCTTCTTGTTTCACATATATACCTTGCCATCTGACCCAATCCTATTTATTGTGGTCTTATATGATCATATAACATGCTTCCAGTCCATGTAATCCAATTCTGATGGGCTAAGGCAAAGGTTAGTCATCTCTGTTTATGTGTGATAGAAAGGAGAGCCTTTTCTTCCTTGTTACTGACCTGAGATGAGCTGTCTTGAGAATGTTTCTCACAGTGTGTGAAGAGACAGGGAATGTGATGGTGGAATTGATGTAATAGGTGACCTGGACAGCATTATCAGCCTTTCCTGTAGTGATATGTTGAATAATAGCCCTCCTATCAGTAGAGGTGAGCTTGGATGGATGCCCTTCACAGAAATCTTCCTTGTCTGTGTGACTTTCTTTGATGAACTTGGCCACAGTGGACTTGGATACTCCAGTTCTAGAGGAAATTTGACAAGCAGAGAGGCCAGAATAGGAAAGAGAGAGGATATTATCCCTTTGAGCAGGGGGGGTGGCTTTCATGGTGAATATAACCATGACATATGGAAATTTTTGGTTTGTATAGTTAGATATGGTTTTAAAATGACATAATGACACCACTTTATAATTTATTTAATGGTGGCATGATTGTTATGGTGTCATAAATGATGATTTATATAGTTTTAATATGTGCTCAAAAAACTGTCCGCATGAGTCATGATTTTGTAAGCCTTGTATATCCACCATATCTCCTCTGATTCTCACGATGTGGTGCTCAATCCAAAGCCCTGAAGCAGCACTACAATATGGTACCAGCATGTCACTGAGGTCTTTTGTATTCTCACACAACATTGTAAATAGTAAAAAATGCAAAAACATGTGGACAGTTTTTTGAGCCACTGTATATCGTTTATATATATATCAGCTGATCTACTGATATCCCACTATTTAACATGTCTTTTCAAGCTCTTTCTTCCTCCAAGTCTAAGCCCACCATTATGTCGTTCCAAGCTTTCTCATGTGCCCCAAGTGATGATCTCTTGAGCTGCACCAGATGGTGGTCAGCTGTGCAGCCTCCCATCTCAGGTTTATTGCATTGCATCTCTCCTTATGCCTGTGGCACTAGCAGCTTCCATGTTGCTTATGGTGGAAGGTACTCTGATTCTGCATCACTGACATCAGCTGGCGTTACTAATATGATCACATATAGAACATGGTTCAAGGATTTTAGCTCAACTGAACAAGTCACCCTCACATGGGTGGAAAGGCACATGATTCTTAACTCAGTCATGACTACGGGCTGGCTTTGAGATATCACCTCCACAGAAAAGATAGTTGCAGTTGACTATATCACAAACATCATCAAGCAGGCCAACCTGAAGTTCCGATGTGGTACATACTACTGATTGCCATCCCAGATTGTGACTGCACTCATTCACAAACACCAGAGTTAGAAACATCACCCAGGGTTATAGAAATCATCTACAAGACCCTCTTGCTCAACCGTCGATGACTCTCAAGAACCTCGGAGAATCTTGTTGATTATTTTGATGTTCAACCTCTATTGGACTCTGGTTTGTCGAACTTGGAGTGTCAGGCTTTCAGGGATCGTCATCATAATTCATTGTTTGATTCAACTTCACACTTCGCCCATTACCTTCATGGTCAGGAACTCACTGATATGTCTGTTTTCATGCACCTGTTCGCAAACCCAGTGTTGGAAGAGACTCAAGCTCGAAACTCCTCAGAAGTTGTTGTCAGAATAGGCGGTCTCAGTAAGTGGCTGACTAAAATTTTAGTTTTCATATGTTAACGTATGATTTCCAGGCGAGTTTAGCAACCTGACGTGCTGTAAGTGGACAAATGTCACTGCCAGGAACCCCCCTTCACTTCTCACCAAACCCATATGCTGATGAGCGGGACGCAGTCAATGAAGCAATGTTGCTGGCATTGTCGTCTCCCACCCATGGGCCTGCAATGGAAGCATGTATGTTGAATGTGCACCAAAGAAGCATGTGAGTAATTCTCACTACATTGGACCTGAGTGTCATGCTCACACTTTTTCAGTAGTGCCCTCCATTGTTTGATGGGTCTGGCAGCACCCGCAAATGTGATAAGCTATCATCTTCCAATGGAGGACCATTCATGAACCATATCCAAGGAACTACTGCATGCATGGACCTCTGGTTTGTTGCTCCTGCAAACCAGTCAAGATTTGGTGATGGTGGGGCCACACGGTCTTCCAACACCAGACTACTCCACACCTATTTCTATACCTTTTCCCCTCAAGGAGCTTATCTTTCCATGAGCTGAGCCAAATATCACCCCACCTTCGACTGTGCACCTGTCTGAGGCTAGTACTACTAATGTACACTCTACTATGCCATCCAGATCAGAGCATGTAGGACTAGCATATACTTTTGGTGACAAGTTCTTTGATTTACATGAATGCAGCACCCACTACTAGATATTGAACTTGACCAGCATTCAAGTTCAGGAGATGGACTTGAAGGGTACTAGTACATCTTGTTATATAGTACCAGTGACATGTACTACTACTATGACCTCACACTCACGTTCAATCAGCGAGCTAATACCTTTTCATAGTTTGCTTTTGAAGTCTGCCAGTGGCACCTAAACTAAGTCTGTGATTATTCCTTCTGTCAGTGCATGCTGATATAATTGTTGCTATTTCCGATGGTCTTCAAAGCTTCATTGCTGTTCCTTTACATATACCAGTGCACCGTGAGTTCGTGACAATGAAGCCGAAAATGATAGAAGACTGACTTTAACATAAGCCACGTGATGTGTGAACTGCCTTGGCCCGCAATTTGCAAATCACCATGGAACACATGGAAGCTTCAAGCTCAAGCTTTTGACCAACTTGCGACATTTGTATTCTATGACTTTCTGTCGCCCTTTGCTCCATGTTGCATTCCATGCATATCTATTGAGGTTTAGCTAAATTTGACGTGTATGGATAATGAGAGCCTTTGATAAACGGCCATTATATTGGAATATATCAATGATCATGTATTTCTATTATGTCAGTTTGAGGAGAGTAGTAAAGGATGTTAGGTACAGGTGTGCTAGCTGTGATTGAGTAGTGTGACAAATTTTGTATGAACTCTTTGGTTGTAGTCGAGATTTGCAGGTATACCATAGCTCAACTCAACTTTTCGTGGCATAAATACCCTTTTAGTTTCAATATTTAGTCAAGGAGAATGAGCTTACTCAACAAATGGGACACATTTTCACTATCATCCCTCACTGGCCATGATGTGTGATGTTGTGACCTTGCCACAAACTCCCATGCTTATCTGGAGTTGATGGAAAATGTCAAAGACACTTTCCAGGAGAAAGGCTTCAATAGCCTTGTGGTTCAAAACATTTATAAGAGAAATGAAAGCACCCAACAAGTTCAATACAAATACACTAACAATCCTTACTGGGGGCGATGATACAACATTGTTTTGTTGTTTTGAACTACTCATTGTAGTTTACATTTGCTGGCATTCATGGCTATGTACCCACAGCAATAGTATCTCGGAGTATAAACAGGCATATTTAGGGGGAGAAGAATTTTTTTATTCTATAGTTCACATGGCTACAATCTCAAGGACTGTTGAATTCACTGATGCAGGAGTCGCATACCAAGAGCCTGTTGGCTTTTTCCATAGCTTAGTCAGCAAGCAGCATAGGTTCCACGCTGTTCATAGTGTACATTATCATCATCATCACTTGTCTGCTTTGCTCTAGGCCTAGTCCCCTGGCCCCTGCTCCAATGTGGTGAACAGAGAACATTTGAACCTTGCCAATTACATTGCATTAGCATTTACCTCAGCTTGCAGTCTCTCAGTTGCACCTTAGTGAAGAAGCCTTAGCCATCCAAAATAGCATATTTGGTTGCAAGTAAAACACCAAAGACAACATGTTCACCAGCAAGCACACATCAAACAGCAGCCCCCTCATTTACATCACATTATGCCTAGAAGGCTAAGCTAGACAGTAGGTGTCCACACCTGCAAAGCACAACAAAGGGCTGTACCAAGCCATGATTTACATGGATTATCATCAGAAACTGATGAAACACAGCTTAAGGACTAGAAAATCTGACAGACATGCAACAACAGAAAAAGATTTAAAGAAGGCAGGCTTGTGCAAAGCAAATTTGTCAACAGCAACCTCAGAAGAAGGACTGATCATGGTCAAATTAATGGTCATGCACAGGCTGACCAATCTGGCACCATGCCACATGCCACCCAAACTGAGAAAGGCCACCCAAACAGAGGAGGACATGACCCCAGGAAGATGCTTGGAAATGGAGAAGAGGCAGTGGGTGGACATGGGACAAGTGCTTGACGTCATAGATGAAAAAAATAAAGCATTTTTGAGATGCTGACAAGCTTGAGCCACTGCTGGGTGAGGTGGGAGATCCTTGGTGAGCTAAAGTCCAACCATCTGGGAAGATGCTGAACTGACTGCAAATTTCCCATGTCAGACTGTCAATCTACTGTCTGGACAGTGCTGAGGTTTTGGTGAGTACCTGTCTTTCCCTCTGTGAAAAATGTGACCATCAGGCTGATAGACTGCAAATTGACAGTCCCCAGCTTTGCAGTCAAGGCAGCAGCTGCCGTATGGCCACTCAATTTATAATACAGGTATACACTACCACATCCTCCTCTTCTTGTCCTCCTCCTCTCATCACCATCACATTCACAGCCCCAGCACACAACCATCTCTCTCAGAAATGCAGCAGCAGCAGCTTGTCCTTCTCTGGCACCATAATGGGTGTCAATCATCTATGGGAGGTATGTAGTATGTGCACCCTATTTTGCTTGATTGAGACCTCATGCCCTGGCTTCACAGGTGCTCGAGCCTGCTGCAATGACAGTACCCATCATGTCCCTTGCCCTCTCAGATCGATACATGGGACCTGCCCCTCACTTTCCCTATGTCATGGGCATTGATGCAAGGTTAGTGACCACATTGTTGGGTGTGTCTGTGTTTGATGCTAAAAATTCTCCCTGCTGTCTATGCAGTGGATGGTTTGAACAATGTTAGCAAGGAAAATGGCACCATGCGCACGCTCAGACTGGAATGGACCCTGCCCTCCAGACCTTTTTATTTCACCTGGGTTGGCTTGCATGGTTCCTGGTGCAACTCATCTTCTGTTATGATGGCAACCAGCGGCCAGAGGTCAAAAGAGGGCTCTGTGTGTCTACAAGAGACCATTGGATGGTCAAGCCCACACAATGTATCCTGGATGCCTTCAACACACAATGGATCACTGTGCATCCTTTTTCTTTCCTCCTATTTGCTGTTGATGAAGTTTTCTGCTGTCCCAGGCTGCAGGGGAAGCTAAAGTGCAGCTAGCCTTGATGAATGATGCAGGGATTGTCGATGCTGTCATGACTGATGACAGTGATGTCTTTGTCTTTGGAACTAAGACAGTCCTTTGAAAGTAAGTTTTTTGTTTTTTGTGCAGGCAGCTTTTACTAAGCAGGGTGTTTATCAGCTTGACGTTATCACCTAATGCAACTATCAAGATGTACACCATGAGTGCTATCCAAGAACATATAGAACCCTGCCTTACTGGTAATGCATTTGTGACAATGGCCATCTGCCGTGGTGGTGACTATGATATGGCAGGTCAACTATCCTACAGACACTTTTCTCACTAACATCTTTATCAGAATGGTCTTGCTGGCTATGGCCCTGAAACTGCTCTCAGTCTCGTTTGCTGCATGAACACCAGCATGTTAGTGCATGACAACATCCCACTAGATCAGACCCTGAAGCAGTGGCAAGATGCTACTTGGTATCACCTTACTGATGATCCCACAGGGGAAATAGGTCAAGGTCACCCTGCACTGGCCTGCTTGCTTGCTAAGTCATTTCCTGATCCTTGTGTCATCAATCTATACACACAACCTGCTGTCACACCAGTTGCAGAGTAACCTGTTGTGCAATCTCCCACCCCACCCAACCTTGCTCCACTGGCCTTGATTATCTAACAACTCCTGGGCTGGGAGCTAACAAAACTTGTCAGTACCTTTTGTTCTACCATCTGGCCCATCATCGTCTTACATGAAGTGCTCAAGGACCTCACTAACAAGTGACAAGGTCTGTTTTCATGGTCATTCTACACTACTTGCCATGCTGATACATACTGTGTGCAGATTGATCTCGCCTCTTGCTACACAAGGGCCATGTTCCAATGCTGTGCCAGGTGCCCAAAGAAAGTTGTTGCAGGGGTTGCAGGACATGATAATGATGTACCTATCTACAATCTGGAGCAAGCCACACTCCAGCTGCTCAAAGGACTGGCTGGAAGCTCTACTACTTGGGTCAATGAGACATCTAAAAGCAAGTATCTTCAGGTGTGGCTTGCAGACTGGATCTACAACTGCTGGGTACAAACGATGGTCCCACTGTCTCCAGGACCTTCAAATACTCATGTGAATGATTCAATTGGCCTCAGACCACACCAGGGCCATGCTTCCCAACCATCTACTCCCACTGCCTCCTTGGCTACCACATCTTCTGTGGATATCATCGACCTCACACTAGATGAAGGGGACATGGCAGGCGGTACTATTGATCTCACAGGTGAAAGTGGGGACACCAAAATCATTGACCTTACTCTCTGACCATTTGTCATTTATCTACTCTCCAATTCATTGAAATCTACTGTGTATTAGTATAGTCTTAAGCTCAATGACAGGTTCTACCACAAGCATGGCAAGGGTCCTTCATTGGCCTGTTAGGATTCATATAGTGCTCTCACTTCTCCCAAGGATTGTTATTCCATGATGGCAGGTACTTGAATATTATACCTGGATTGTCAAAGTTTTCAGCCCATCCTCCCCAATCACAGATGTCCCTGATGTCCCATCTGCATACCTTGTATAAGAATTGACATCCACCTCGTCGGAAGGAGTGAGTCCCATAAGGATGCAGGTCCACGCCAATATCCAGGAGCTTGTTATGGAAACATTTGAGGAATGCATTGGAAGTCTAAGTTATGTAAATTACAAGCTAAGAAGAGAAGGATGGCAAACTCACCATACCATCAGTCAGATTGACACTAACACTGTCTGTACCAATTTTCTTCTGAAAAATGAACCCGTCAAGATTCTTGCACCTCTCCCTCGCTAACATCCACCAGACTGCAAATGTTTGCACCAAGCACATCCATGGACATTGCTCGTCAGCATATATGTAGAATGGTGCTATCCCTGTACAGTTGTTAGTTAATTGCAATATGTCATGCATCAAGAAACACACCTCTGTATTGATGTGTTTTTCTGAATGGCAGTTTGAGTCTCATGTAGAAGTCACCAGGTCAGAAGCCCTTGCCCTGGAGTAATAGTTCCATGGAAGCATCGAGCCAGTTTCCTTCAACTGACTTATCCTTGACTTGGAATGTGATATCTGCCCAAGTAATCTGCAGGGCCTTGTCATAGTGCAGGAGACAGATCATCGAAACCAGATAAAGTAGCAGAAGCATACTGTGGATCATGAATCCTGCCCACTCTGCTGGATTCTCAGCTTTTCGCTTGCAAGATGTTGGTCCATACTCCTTGCATGGTGTTGCCCAGACAAAATCCCACAGGCACTTCATAGTCACTTCATCCATGGCTCGAGCACTTGTGACTGCTTCACTAGACTGTACCTGGAAATTTATAATATTAGTTCAGAGCTGCAAAGGGAGATGTGTGGAACACTTGTCCTTTCTGCGATGAAGACTGACCATGTATTGTGAGACTGTGACTGAGAGGATGGGTTTCCAATTGACTTTCCAGCAATTGTCAGATGTTCTGACCATGGCTGTGTGCCAAGCTTGTGGTCACAACCAAACTTGTGGCTCACAGCAGCTCACATCTTCTGTGTGGTGCCATATATTGCATGTGGGACATTTGGAAGCTTTTCCTTGCCAGTCCAGATATCATTTTCGTCACATCTGTGAGCTCCAAGTCAGTCATGCATAGCACAATGTCCATGTAGTATGACTTACTTGTCCATTATCCAGAGTGCAATCCACATGGGAAAGTCAGCAGGAAGATCAGGATAGAGGCTGTCAACATCATCAGTTGACATGACCTTATTTATAGTTACACAAAATTCCTTGAACTGGTTCCAGTACCTGTGCTGTGCCTTAATAAGAGTTACAGAAAGAATATGACATGTACCACTGATAGTCTGAAAGAGTGGTGTCAACAATGATGCCTGCTGAGGCTGTTTTGAGGCTTGCTGACAGTTGGTCGTGGTGTGCTAGGATGGCAGCAGTTGTCCTCTTATGTTTCAATGGCAGGGTGTCAGCTTCATTTGTGCTGATGTGCAGTGTGCCACAGGTGGCCTGATTGTCAACATCAAAGCTATTGAGGAGGGATTCTACCTCCTCATCTTGGTCTTCAGCTGCAGCTTCAATACTAATGCCTTGAGAGTTGACAAGATAAGCAGTGGCACCCTTCAGTTGAGCTAGAGACATAGCAAGTGATAAGTGTAGGTGTGAGACAACTTAGACTTGTTCACATGTGGATGCTTCCGACATAATGCAGAAACATTTTGGTTCAATTTGCATTTAACTGTGAAAGCTACTACTTGACACACCTTACTCTCTGGGCAAAATAATGCCAGAATCTGGTGATGAAGAACTACACCTACCCATTCTTGGCCAGGAGTATACACCTGGAAGACCGATTGTTACCTACCAATTCCTGGTGTAAGTAGATGTGAGCCCCTAAGATGTACACAGCATACTGATACATTAATTGAACTTACAGAACCCAAAGAATGACAAAGGCCGATATCCAAGGAAAGCTTAAGCAGTATGGAAGGCCAGTGAGTGGTAACCAGAAGGAAGTATTGCAGCGCCTTCGAGTGTTCTCTGAAGATGAGAAGGAATGGTTGAGGTGTGCACCATCAAAATCAAGTAGTATCTGCCAGTTAACCCATAAGTATTGCAGCTTGTTCCAGCCAAAGCTAAAGCAAAAGCGGAGGGAACATACCTCTCATAAGACGTTGTCCTGCAAGCGGGTTGAGGATACATTTGGGGTAGCGTCACCAACTCTCACTTACAAGAGCAAAAAGAGTGCAGACTGCACTTAACATGCTCTAACTGATAAGGATCACACTGCAAACATATCATGGGTGAGATCTGTGCTGAAAACCATAAAGAAGGTATTGCTCACTGCTGCTGTGCTTCTGTTACGGCAGGCTACAGCCATCTTCTTAGCATTTGGAATGCCAGCTGACTTTAGTTGTGTGCCGTCACTTCCAAAACACAGATGGATGCAGGTAGAACCAGTTCAACAGACTCTTGAAGTGCTGGCAGACTTGGAGCTGACAGGGTCTGGTTCCCTACATGAACAGGTAGATTCTGTCAGTTATTCAAGAAAACATGACCTCACCACCTGCTGACTTATGTAGGAGTCATTTGCTGTTTGTATGTGGAGAGTTGAGAACAATATACAGTCATTCAGAGATAACATATACAACATTGAAGGTAGTATCAACAATGCGACTGCTCATGTCATGGATGTGAAGTCATTGGTCTGCTGCTCTGCACTGTCTCTGGTTCATGAAAACTACGTTATTCCTCACCAAGCACAGCCCATGGGTCCAGCTGCTCATACAACTACTGCAGTACTACTGCTGTCAAGTCAGCAAGTCAGCTCACCTCATTTGGATTTTCATGCCATACCTCAACAGTTCATCCCCTCAGCTAAGCTTGGAATTGCTCTGCTTGGCGATGAACAGTTTAAGTATGACAAAACATGGGTCCCAGAGCTGCCAACAATTCACCTTTCAAAGGATATTGACAGGTTGTGTGAGGAGTGGGAGAGTTCAAACTTGCTCTGTGTGGGTGGTCGTGGAATTCCTGTAAAATACTGGGGTGAGTTCTACAAGAGAGTGAAGGGGGTCAAAACAACAGCCTGGGATGCTCTAAGGGTTGAGTAGGGAAATTGGAAGGTATGTTCTCACTTTAATTTGCAAGTGTCACTTTCTTGATTAATCTAATTCATTGCCAAGGAGCGTCAGCGTTATCCAGACACTGCTTCATTCTGGCATGTGTTCATTGATGGAAATGGCAAGAGGTTTTCTTACCAGCAAATCCTTAACTGTATCATGGAGCAGTGGACTTCAGCAGCAGCTCAAGATGCAAATAATGCACACATGTTTTTTGGTGGAGACCTCAACCATCCATTGGCTCAGGGTGCATTCTGCTATGCCAAAGGTAGCAAGATGTATCTATTGAGCAAGGATGATGCTGTTGCAAAGAAGTGGCATGAACTTCTCACCACACAGCCAGACATCTTGAGTGCTACTCAAGCACTTTGACTGTTTAATCCTCCCTACATAGTACATCCAAGTATTAATCACTGAGCACCATCCATACTTTATTAGCAGGCTTGCTGTTTACCTATGACTATGAACATCAGTTCTGTATTCAAATATCCTTGTGCCAAATGTCATCAATTACATCTAATAGTTGTCTGCACAGTCAGAGAAAGAAATGACCATCACTGAACTAACTCACCTGTGATATCCTTGATTTCCTCTCTGCCCAGCACCATCCATACTTTAATCACTGAGCACCATCCCTACTTTAGCAGGCTCACCATTTACCTATGACTATGAATGTCAGCTCCATATTCAAAAGCACCATCCATACTTACTGAGCACCATCCCTATTTTAGCAGGCTCACCATTTACCTATGACTATGAATGTCAGTTCCTTATTCAATAGCATCATCCATACTTTAATCACTGAGCACCATCCCTACTTTAGCAGACTTGCTGTTTACCTACAACTATGAACATCAGCTCCATATTCAAAAGCACCATACTTACTTACTGAGCACCATCCCTACTTTAGCAGGCTCACCATTTACCTATGACTATGAATGTCAGCTCTGGTTTCAAGTATCATAAATCTTACTTACTTACGACTATGAATGTCAGCTCCGGTTTCAAATATCCTCGTGCCAGATGTCATCGATTGCACCTAATAGTTGTCCGCACAGTTAGAGAAAGAAATGACCACCACTGGACTAACTCACCTGTGATGTTCTAGATTTCCTCCCTGCCTAGGACAGCATATCCTCACATAGCATGCTGCACACCTGAATGCACAATTAGACAAAGAAGAAGAGGAAGGACTGATCAGTGAGCATATCTTTGAGAACATACTGACAACACTCACTATCTACATAACCAGTGAGATACAATAGCTCGTCTTGACCTGGCATTGCCCAATTTTGAGTCTCTGACACCTAATCATGCTGATTGTGTTGATCACTGGTGGTTGAGGTCTTGGTGGAGCATGATTGCAAAATGAGCCCAATGAGGAAGGCAGCACTGTGGCTGAGTCATCACATGTCATGTTTGCAGTTTAAGTGAGACTGCAAACTGTCACCCATTGGACCATCAATTTTTCACATGAAGTATCCTCCCCACTTGACACACCAGAGAAACACTCCTGTAGCTCATCTCTTAGCTCTCTCAGTAGTATTGGAGAACATAGTACTATCCCCTTCCCAGAGCTCAACATCCCACCACTGGACTTTGAACTACCTGAACCTCATATGGAATTATTGCTACACCACCCAAAGACAAAATCACTCACTCTTGCTTCAACAATCCCAGACTATAATCTTGACAAATTCTCTGCACTAGCACAATGCAGGAACACCATGCCAATGGAAGCACCACAGATCTTCCATGGAGATGGACACAAGTTGGTGTGAGAATAATACAAGTTGATTTCATGTGGATCTATAACAAATAGATACTCTGAGACAAGTAAGCATAGGTAATAGTAAGTAGAAACAAATGTCTTACCTCAGATTGTGCATGCGAATGCAAACATCTAAGATATACAGGCTTGATACTGTGAGTATAAGTATGAATGAAGCTCTTGTAAGTAGAGGTAGGTATCTGAGACCAAGAACAGCTCTGGGTTAATGTACATAAAAGATTCAGTAGACACAAAAAAGAAACATATCATAAGAGCAAACAATATAAAGTACAAGTCAACAAGACAATAATGAGAGTGCACATTGTTCTGTTGTCAATGGACGCAGTGCACACTTGGCTAATTCCAACAGTTGGAAAATCCAGCAGACTTTCTAAAGTCATTTAACCACACCATGAGGCAACAGTCCATCATAATCATTGCTGAGAAAGTAGAAGTGTTTGGTGACTACTTAGGAACAGGATCAGATGCTGAAGTATGGTTACAAAGAGTGAGACTGCCACATGTCAGCAGTGCAACAAAGGAACCGAATCAGTGTATCACTTCCTCCTCAAATGCCCCACATACACCAGACAATGCAACAACCTCAGAAGAGAAGCAGGAACAAAGGCACACCATGTTAAGCACCTTTTGAATGAAGAAGAATGCCTAAAAGCACTGTTCAAGTACATTGCAAGCATTAAGTGGCTCAAGTCAACCTTCAGAGATGTTATGCCACCAAAAGAGAAAGGAATGAGATAGGAAAGGGACAATGAGCCACAACACACCCTTTGTATTAACTAACCATATCACATTAAGCTGGTGTTAATGTCTGCACCCTGGCCAGGACCATTGTACAAGACCAAACAAATCACAACATTAGATACAACAGTTAACAGTACATATAGTAGGTATTGTCTACCATGGACAATAAACAAGAATTTTTTTTTAAAAAAAAAGTATGGTTCAAAGCACTCACACCAAGCCTAAAAACAAGTTTGGCAGCATTCATAGCTACATTCAAAGTCTGTTGGCTACTGATTGTAGTCGCAGAGAAGACTAAAGCAGAGTATGAGAGAGAACTAATTGAGCACCTCATGTCAGATGCAGAGGTAGGAATGAAAACTACCTTGCATGACAGAGAGTGCTGGACACATGAAGCTTGGGCAGCCAAAGTGTTACAGCTAGCCTCAAGAGCAGGAATCATAGCAAGCACCTTGATGATCTGGCAGGTCAGAGGATGGCTGCCCAGCATCATTAAAGACTTGCTGAAAGCTGACAAATATGTGGACTGGGCTGTGTTTATGACAGAAGTCAAGGAGCTTAAGGGAAATAGAGTCCTAGAAAAGAAAGAGCAGCATAGCAGGCAGGAGCACAAAGTAAATATGTTACACACAGAGGTTGCATGATTGCAGCAATGCAACCCCACACAGAACTTACTTACTGCGCTCTAGAACCAGTTCATACATATGACCATCAACTCCACAAAAGCACCCAGTGTACCTTTGAGCAACAATACCATCATGCACATGCCTACCCTCCAAGCAACTCAACACCTGCAGCCTATGTTTAGCAGGCAACCAGCATCAGCTCCTCAACCTCTCATGATAATGGAGGACCTTAAGAATGCAACCTGACAACTTGTTTCATCATTCATACACCACCCCAATACCCCCACAGGTCATGCAGCATACACATTGCAGATTGCACAGTGGAATGTAAAATGGGAAGAGTGTTAAGGTTGAACTCAAGGCTAAATGGATCCTAAGGGCTTCAGCCTCAGCTCATGCACTGTGCCCCTTGCCCAAGTATTGCCCCTTATTTTAGGAAGACAAGACTAACACATCCGGAGAATTAGATGAGTAGCATAGTGGATCTGGATGACTTCCAGATGCAGGATAAGTGTTGTAAGGCTAATCCAGATGAGTCTGGACTAGAAACTAATGGTAGTGGACTGTAATAGACAGAGGTGGACACAGATAGACTATAGGAGTCAACCCTAAGTCTCGGAGGGTGATGAGAGTAGAAATACTCAGGTCCAGAGGACAGGAACAAGCAGAACTAAGATGATATTCAAACTGAGGTGTTACAGAGATTTACAGGAGGTTATATACTATAGGTATCTAACAGAATGATCAATCAGCAGGATCCAAGGCTATGTATGAAGCATATGGATAGTCTATTGGTAAGTAGGAACAGATCATAAATAATGAAATGGAAATGAAGCATAGGTAACAGATCAGTGAGCAGGATGGATATACAGATAACCGAAATACTGGAGTCAGGGGATTACCAAAAGGAGATGAGTACTGGTTGTGGATTCAGATGAATTGTGGACTGGATTGGATGAGTGGACAGATTGGATGATAAGATGTTAGATGGGGATAAGATGTGGATCAGATCTGAGATCCAGATATGTGAATATGACAGAGAGTACACAAGAGTTACACTGGAGACAGGGTACCCTCTAAAACCAGGCACAGCAGCAATTGCCTCAAGTGAATGCTTCAATTGTGGAACCCATGGGCACAATGATAGAAACTGCATACTACCAGCAGACCATGCAGAATGACTCTCATGCAAAGAAGCCACCTGAAGAGCAATAGTAAGCAAGGTGTTAGGGCTGTTCAACTGTGCAACAGCCACCCCAATCTCACTTGTCACTAGCTACATGTCACAGTACATGTCAGCCTGGATCAAAGAAATACTAGAGCAGGAGGAGGGAAAAGTCAATGGGTCGGCATAGAAAGAGGCACTATGCTGACCTGAACCACTGAAAGCATTATAGCTGGAGCACTTGTCCTTGCACATGAAGAGGCACCATGCAAGGACCACCACCCACCATTTTGCCCTAGATCTTCCAATGAGCCTGTAGCTATGCCTCTAACAACTGTACTTCCATCCTGTGAATCCATCTCAGTCGTTGACTTGTACTTGGTGGGGTACATAACATCCACTAAGTGTTACAGTGCCCCACTCTTTTTCTCATCATCACTGCAGACTCCTATATGGCTGTACTTCTAACACTTCCTTTTCACTGCGCTGTTTCCTCATGGTCTCCCTTATCTTTGACTCATACCTTGTTTTTCCATGAACCTTCCTTTCTTAGTAGTCATTACCCTTTGCCCAGCCTAGTCTGTGCACAATTCCCTTACGTATATAAACCCTAGTTACCACTTGTATTTTCTCTAACTTAAATCTACTCAGTTCTCCTTGATACTTGAACTCTAGCTCCTTGGGAAGGAGGCTAGCCATTGTCCCATTTGAACCTTAGATCCTGTGGGAGTCTAAGTGATCGCTCCTGAGGGAGGCATTGACTCAATAAGGCTTAAGTCCTTGATCGACCTTGATCTTGATTCCTTTATTGGAACAACGCTCTATCCGAGTTTGTAACACTAAGGATCAGTTGGATAGCAAAGAGGCAGCACTGTTCACTCATGCCATCTCATTAGAAGGACCCCAGGGAGAAGCAGTAAGAGTTTGAGGACTGTTTGATGACAGTGAAATGATTAGCACAATGTGCATGTTGATCTATAATAAGGTCAAACACTGTTTAGATAACTGGAGCCAATCAACTCTGAAACTGCAAATGTCAAATGGGAATATTGTCAACTCACTAGTAAAATGGAATGGTATCATTAGCATCAATGGAGTAAAGATGTGAGGAGACTTTGAAGTCTTTGATAGTGGAGGTGGATGGGGATTCCTCTTGGGGAAACCAATGTTACAAGTGTTTGAAGCAGTCCATGACTACAAGATGGACACTATCAGCATATTGGACAAAAAACACTCAACCACAATCAAGAACCAAATAGCATACCCAATTGTACTACACTGAATAGACAGCAGCATCAGCCTAACAGCTAACATTAAGCAGTGGGAAATCTTATGGGGGATATGGAAACACCCTCCTTGAGGCAAGTCATTTTAAGCACCAGGTGTGACAAAATAACACAATCTAACTACAAGAATGAGCATCCCTGATCACAGCAAATGAAACCATCAGCAATCATTATGGGACAATGGACACCCACATTCCAAGTCAAATCTACCAAAAACAAGAAAGGAAAGCAAGCAGCAGTAAAAAGAGAAGCCATAAAATGAGAAGAAGTAATAGGGAGCAGGAAGCTCCCCTTGAGGGAAGTCCAGAGTGCATCAACCTGCCCAAACACAAACAGGCAAATTGACAAACCTTTCCCAGTGCCAGAGGTTACCAAAGCAAAAGCCCAGCCATACAAAAAGCGAGCTAATGAAGTGGGGAGCATCAAGCTCCCCTCAAGGGAAGTTCAACTGCAGTTGTCTGAATCTGAGCAACTAGACATTGACACACCTGATCATACAGTCTGCATAACTGACATTAATATTATCATGGAAGATGCAGACACCCAGTTGCTAGAAGACCTACCAGAACCAATGTCACCATCTGTACACCACTCCATCTACACTCAGCAGACAGACCCATTCAATGCCACAAGAGTAAAAGAAATTAAGTAGCAAATCAAGCTAGGAGATGACCTAACCAAGGAGGAATTAGAGGAGCTGAATGAGTTCATAGCAAGAATGCAGACATCTTCACACTCACACTGAAGGAAGTATTACTAATACCAGGCACACTATTGAACCTCAACATACCAGAAATCACAACCTTCAATACACAAATCCATCAGTGACCACTAACACTGGAACAATCATGTTTCTATAATGAGTGGATAAGTGATATGCTAAGTGCAGGTCTTATTGAATGAGCCTCACCATAACTGATTAAATGTGCCACAACTACAGTCATTGCCCAGAAAGCACATAATGTGGGAGGCCTCCCATGGGACGAGTTGATGCAGAGAGTCAACAACCAATACCAAACTGCAGGACTTAACCCAGCATTTGAACTCCTGGAATGAGAGACTACTATGCCTCCAGCCCCAATAAATGACTAACAGCCTAGAAAATGGAGAATTTGTCAGAACTTCACACAGTTAAACAAAGTTATGGAAGTTGTACCAATGGCCCAAGGAAACATCCTAGCCAAACAGCAATGACTGAGTGGCCACTGATACATCTCCACCTCTAATTTTGCAGCAGGCTTCTATGCAATCCAAGTCCTGGAAAAGTGGCATCCATATCTAGTGTTTTATGTTGAAGGCAGGGGATACTTCTGGTATAAGTGGATGCCCATGGGAATTACAGGTGCCCCAACAGCATTCTGTGACACACTTGCACAAAGACTTCATGACTTCCTTGTCACCTATTACATGGAGTTATTCATGGACAATGGAGGATGTGCAGCTGATACCTTCTGGGAGATGATGAACAAATTAAGCATAGTGTTTGAGCATTTCAGGGAATACCAATTCTTGATTATGCTGAGTAAGACCAAACTTTGCATTTCAGAAACAGTGTTTGCAGGTGGCACAGCAGGGTGAGACAGTATCAAACCTGACCTAACAAAGCTCACAGCCATAGTGGACTGGCCACAACTAGAAGATGCTATGAACCTAGTGTCATTTCTGGGCCTCACAGGGTTCCATCAGTCCCTCATCAAAGCATATGCAAAGCAAGAAGGCCCTTTGAGGAACCTCCTCCTCAAGGTACCAATGAAAAGTTTGACATCTAAAGCTGCATATAGACAGGCAATGAGCAATTTCAAACTGGGACCACACTGGATACTAGAACACACCAAGGCAATCCTAGACTTAAAGGCAGCAATCACCTCCTGTCCAGTACTACAAGCACCTTGCTACAACAGCTCACACTTCATCATAACCTTGGATGGCTACATTGACAGATTTGCAGCAGTTCTGTCACAGAGGGTTCACACATTAACACTAGCAGATAAATGGGTAGAACACACACACCCCATAGGTTTCACATCCAAATAAACATCAAAGACAGAACACAAATACAAGTCTTTCTTGCTAGAATTCATAGCACTAAAGTTTGGCCTCAACAAATTTTCAGGGATCATTTGGGGATTTCCAGTTGAAGTCAAGACTGACTGCAGCACCCTGCTCAAAACAAGCCTAAACCCAGTATATGTCACATGGCAAGAAGGCATATTGTTATATAACATAGTTGGCATCCAACATGTACCAGGTTGGCTAAATGTTGTTGCAGACAGGCTTAGCAGAACAGGAGAAGGCCAACCCAATAAACCAGGTGATGGTAGTAAATGGATGGTTAGTGAGAACTGGAAAACAAGAATAGGTATCATCAACGATGTACTGCACATCTCAGTAGCAGACTCACAAGCCAACAGCCTTTGAGAATGATTCAAGGACGAACTGGTGTTTAGAGAGGTCATAGAAGTAATCTATAACATAGACCATGGAGTGGAACTATGAGACAAGAAGAAGGCAAGACACCATGCATCACAGTATGTGGTTGAAGGAGAGAAGCTATGGCAGCTAAGAGGAAGCACAACAATGAGAGCAAGAGCTAGAGTGGAATGTGTCATGAAAGTGGAAGCCCTGGAACTAGCAATGCAAATGCACATGGAAGGCAGGCACTGGGGAAGGGATGCAATCAAAATCACTCTCTTAGATCAGATATGCAGCCCAAAATTGGATGCAACCATCCTAACAGCAATCAAGGATTGTACAAAGTGCAAAAATTTCGGACCCACTCATATCCATTTCCTTTTAGAACCTATCATGAGGCGCCACCCATTCAAGCCATTAGTGGGAGATTACCTATCATCACTGAAAGGAACAAATGGGTATGATACCTTAGGAGTATATCTTGATGTCTTCTCACAACATGTCTAGGTGTTCAAACACAAGGGTGCAGGCAAGGCAAAGACAACCATTGAAGGTCTAACACAAATTTTCAGCAGGTTCATAAACCCAGAAATGTTTATGTCTGATGGTGGAAAACACTTCAATAATGAAGCTGTCAAAGAGTTTTGCAAGTTGAGAGGGTGTAAACTGCACATAGTCACAGCATATTCCCCATGGATCAATGGACTGGTAGAAGGAACCAATAAGCTCCTATTGCACATCCTCAAATGACTATGCACACCAAACCTTGGAGAAGATGAACCCCATAATGCCTCTTGGGATAGTCTCCTGACAACCTAGTCTGAACACCTCAATGATGCAGTGCATGCCCTCAACAACTGTCTACTACCAGCCCTGAAATTGTCCCCCAAAGAACTATTGCTCAGCTTCATTGTCAACACTAAGCCCATGCCATTAGCAGAAAGTTCCTCAGTGCTAAGACTGTCAGATGCACTAACCCAGATCATGTATGTTGAACAACAACACCTAGACTGTTATGAAGAGATAGTCCGTCATGCCATTAAGTGCAAAGCAGCTTTTGACAAAAGGATATTGCAATGTGCACCAGGTGAAGTCCTTTTCAAACCAGGCCAGTTAGTCCAGGTCTATCCCAATGACCTAGATTACACTTCAAAAATGAATGAAAGCTTCTACCCAAATGGTCAGTCCCACAATGAATCAGATCTAGACTCAGAAACTGCTACAAATTGGAGACATTAGAAGGTGTCCTACTACAAGGAGAATACAGTGCACAGAGGTTAAGGATGTTTACACTGGGAGCAGGAACCACATTGGTGAAGAAGCAAGAAGAATATGAGACAAAACTAGAAGGAAGAGGAACTGAAGACACCCAAAAGCAACCAGAAGTTGAAGAGGTTAAAGAAGAAGAGAGAGAGAGATAGAAGAAAGTACCATACAAGACAATGAAGAGATAGACAAAGAAGTGGATGAAGAAGATGAAGAAGAAGACTGAGTGGAGGTGTCAAGGGCAGCATCATCTCTTTTTAGGGGGGTGCATGGACCAGGGGTCCCAAGGGCAGGAGTTGCACACCAGGAGCCTGTTGGCTCTTTCCATAGCTTAGTCAGCAAGCAGCATAGGTTCCACACTATTCATAGTGTACATCATCATCATCATTGCTTGTCTGCTTTGCTCTAGGCCTAGTCCCCTGGCACCTGCTCCACTGAACAAGCAGCACATCAACACTTGGGACCCATCAATGGGAAAGTGTATGGTTGGGTAGTTCTGTCATCCCAAGATAAGACTCATTTATCTTGGAGCCAGTGAGCCTGTAGAACACTGGACTCCTGAAGGGAACTGACACATAGTAGTTCTATTCCAATCTTTTGATCCAGCAGGATGTTTTTTCAGTTTCCATGCAGTAAGATGAGCCCTGGATTGGGCATGCATGTTTTTTGAAGTCCAAGATTATATTGTAAGTGTGGACACCAGAAAAAAAGGAAAACCCCATTGGAGCTATACATTCAACAGTCTCCAATGGAGGAACAAATTGTGACTGGCTTGGATTACATAGTACCAGCTGAGGGAGATGCGAAATGGATGAGGTGGATCCAGTCTATTTATATTCATGTTCAGGGGTGTCCTTGTGGGTTCAGAACATTTGAGTGCATCAGCAAACTAGGAGGGAGCTTGTATAGATTCACATCACAGAACCTACAGCTAAGTCCCCCTTGTACAGCTTGTGAATTTCAGAGCACAAATGCCAAAAAAAATGCCACCATGCTATGTAATACACTACATGTCACATCACATGGTGAACTTGATACAAGTTAATTTACCATCAGCAGGGATTGAACCCAAGACTTTAGCAATTATAAGTGCAGTGATCTTCCTACCAAGCCAAAAGACCACCATTGTATTCTAACAATAATAGCAATAGTGGACTTCAAAGTAAATTTTGAAACCTTTGAAAACTCACTTAAATGCTTCAAACTCTTGGCTAAAGTTTCAAAAAACTTGCTTAAGAACAGTTGAATTATGCTCAGCACACATTGGCACGAAGTCAGACATTCAAACACTTAGGATTTTCAAAGCATGCTACACATAGGGGACAGTCATACTTAGTAGAAAAAGTAGCCAGGGCATAGATTCACAATGGGTATATCCAATAGACTTTGTATTGCAAATGATAGTGTCAATGAAATTGTAAAAAAAAATGCTCCACAAGCATGAAATCAGCAAGTACTGGGTGGAACAAAATAAGTGCTGGGTGAGATGGACTGGGGGCGGGCGCAGTCATGGAACTATAAGCATTGTGTAAGCAGGTCAAAAGACGAGCTCACACACAGCCTGAGAGGGGGGGGTGTGGTAGAATGTAGGATGAGTTGGAGGGAGGGAGGTGCTGGGTGGTGCAACCCACCTCTGCATCTTCAGCTTCCAGGGATCTGATGTACACACTTGGGTCTTCCCACCGCTGCAAAGGATATAATTCATCATAATTGTCGATGGTGCCACAAGATGAGCAGATGAGCAGCTTGCCAATAAAGATATGGTGTAAGGTGATGCAACCTGCCTCTTCATCGTCAGCTTCCAAGGATCTGATGTACATGCTTGGGTCTTCCCACCACTGCAAAGGATATAATTCATCATAGTTGTTGACAGTGCCACAAGATGAGTGGACGAGTGGCTCGCCAATAAAGGTGGGATGCATGTGGAACCTGGAATAGAATAGATATTCTGTAAGATAAGGGTATATGTTAGTTACAACTTCCAATAGGTAAAAAAAATCACTTACTTTGGGTGGATGGTACCCAGAAACTTGAAGCATGATGTCCTGCTCAGTCCTGCAGGTGGGCATTGAGGATGTGAGGTCAACAACAACAACAATGTACTCAGTGTGAGATGAAACATTGGAAATTTCCGAAAATTAAAACTCTGCCACATTCAACATCACATATGGCACCAAATGCAAATGGATAGGAGTTTTGATCCCCTTAAATCCCACCTCAGTATGCCTCACACATCTGCACACAAAGAGCTCCTCAATGCTGTTAACAAGGCTGCCCTTGCACTAGCCAAGTTACAATTCCAGAATGAACTGCTTGATGATTTGTTGGACTTAGACTCTGACTCTAATTCAGACACCAACTCACTTTCTACCAATGATGATGACACAAATATGTCTGTCACAGACAGCTCCCAAACCCTGCCCTCCTCAATGGCCTCTCTCTCTGGCTCTGGCTCCTCTGATTCTTCTAGCAATGAAGATGAGATCACCATCCATTACAATAGGCTCCAACATACCATCAATGCTTTGTGTGATGAGGTTCAGAGGGCACATGTAATCCACAAGCCCAATGAGCCTCTGCCACGAGCTCCTCAACTTCACATGCTAGTTCACCATGAAGAACATTGCCCTGAATTGTTTTGGCAGAAACTCCGCATCAATCCAGAGATCTTTGATGATATCCTCGATCAAATCTCTGATCACCCTATCTTTCAGAACAACTCCAACAATCCTCAACTCCCCATCTCCATCCAGCTCCCCATCTTTCTCAATCATGCTAGCCATTATGGCAACACCATTACTGTCAAGGATGTTGCTTAATGGGCAGGTGTAAGTGTCAGGTCAGTGGTCAATTGCACTAATTGTGTGATGGTGGCACTGCTCAAAGTGCACAATCAGTCTATCTCCTTTCCAGAAGATAATTCTGAGGATGCCCACCTTGCTCAGAAATTTGCTGAGGTGAAGACATGTCTGGTGTGACAGTCAAGTTTTCCTTAGGCTTAGATTTACTTACTTTACTTACCTTCACCTGTCCCCACTTTCATTAGTTTAAGTTCGCATTTTTGCTGCTTACTTAAGCATGTATCTCTTCCACTAGTGTCAGTACTAGCCTGAATGACAGTCCCTTTTGATGATGATTTCTACTCTCTGAGCACTGAGCCAAGTCAGAATCCCATGGGCTGAACATACTGCTCTCCACTCAGCAGCTTGGCCAGCTGTTTTATGATTCCCACACTGGAGTGGGGGGTGGTTATCTAGCTGTCGATGGCTCAACAGTTGAACTTTTCACCAAACCTGGCTATTATGGGGAGATGTTTTTTGACAGGAAATCCAATTATTCCCTTGGTTGTCAGGTAAAGTGTTCTTTCTTATTTTTTTTGGCAGATAATTTAATTTAATTCTAGGCAGTTATTATGCCCCACAATCTCTTGATTGTGGATTATTCTCTTGGACATCCAGGGAGTGTTCATGATGCATTCACCTTTCAATCCTACTCGCCTCCATGAGGAGCACAATGATCTTCTTCCTGATGGCTACTGGGTTTGGGCAGATAGTGCATATCCCTTGGAGCCATGGTGTATTGTCCCTTTCAAGAAACCATGCAATGGATGGTTGACAAAGACCAGAGAACATTCAATTATCATCTATCTAAGGTATTTGTTTGTTTTATGGCAGCTTTTCAAATAATTTAAATTTATTGAGATTCATGTACATGTTGAACACATGTTTGCTGCTTTAAAGGGGCGGTTCCAGTCTCTTTGAGAGCTGCAGTTCAAGATTCAGAAAGAGAATGATCTGAATTTTTGTGTGCAGTGGATCAAGTGTTGCATAATTCTCCACAACATGATCATCCTACTTCAAAACTCAGTGTCACAAGCAGGATGGAACATATGCAAGCACTCTGAAGTGGGCTCATAAAGAGGGTCAAGATTTCATTCCTCAAGATGTCAAGGGTCCAGATGGTAATGATGTTGTGGGTGACAGGTCATATGAAAGAACTCCTGGTCAGATCACTTGTGCAAAGCTGATGGATCAGCTTTTTGACAGTCCTCAATCAAGTGCACAGCAGAGGGAAGGGTAACTCATGCTCATATTGAAGTACTACCAGCAGTACACTTGTAAAGTAAGATGTATGTAACATGTAACAACACAACAGAACAATGACACAACAAAGATGCTAAAAAAATGACAGCAGCAATGGCAATGAGACATCAATGATGACAATAACAGTGATGAGAAGATGATGACAAGATGGCAATGATGAAGACAAGATGACAATGATGAAATGATGGTGATGACAAAATACTCAAGTGCTCCTGCTACTACCCTGTATCATTTGCTGATACTGAATCCAAAGATGCAAGGTCTCTGCCTCCTTGTTGAGAACAGTGGAGTGTGCCTTGTGCACTCAAATATTGGCTTCACAAAGGTGAATTTCTGTGGCTCTGATCTCCTGCTTTTGCTGATGGGTGAGGACAGCTTGAGATGCCTTGTGCATGCACATATCATGAAGCCAGTTGTATTTATTGGTCTCCCACTCATTTTCGCTCTTTGCCAAGAGCTTCACAATGAACCGCTAATGCTTGGAGTGCCAAAGGGACATGACGTCAGACTGAATGCTCTTGAATTCCTCCATCAAATTCTCCACCTGATCCTGCACATCCAACTTAGCTTTCTTCTTCTTCTTGCCACTATCCAGTTGGGCTGATACTAATGTCTGTGGGGTTGAAGAAGATGATGGGGTCATGTTATGAGTTGTAGATGAAGGAGTCAACAAGTTGCATGACATTGACAGCAGTTTGTGATGCCCCTGGATGAGCAGCTGACCAAATGCAGCATGACTGTGGTAAGGGTTGGTAGGTGCCTTTGTGAGCAGGTGGAATGGCTGTGGGTTAGGAGGGGGAGACGGTGAGGGCGATGCAAAACTGTGCCACTTTTTCCCTGTAACTTTCAGGGGGCTATTATAGCCCATCATGTCATCTTGCATCAAGTCATTGGTGCGAGAGAGGCTGCGAAGGTGGGCCTGTGGAGGGTCAAAATGAGGAGGGGGGGCGTGGTGAGCAGCAGAAGGACCAATATAATTATTGGGTGGAGGGGGACCAGTAGTGACATCAGGGCCAGTGGGTGAAGGGATATCGGAGAGAGGAGGTAAAGGTTGGAGAAGACACGGGTCAATTGGAGGATTGCTGCCAAGGGACTGAGTGCTTGTGCTGCAGGAAGTCTAGGGCTGGGGCTGGGGCTGAGTGGCACCTGGTGCACATCTCAAGGTCCTGCCAGCAGTTGCACCACGTGATGGTTACACAAGTGTGTACATCTGACCAGCATGATCAATGCCTGGCCTCAAGGAGTGCAACACCACTGCAAATGCAGGGTTTGAGTGCTAGATACCATCAAGGTCTGCAAACCACTTCCATTCAGTGCATATTTCAACTACAAAAATGAAGTCAGACAAAGGCAAAAATCAGCAACAGAGGACTCATGCTGTAGATTCGCATACTTGTCACCAGGTAGTACACCAGGTCCAGTGGCACCTAATCTAGCCTTGAGTTTTTTGTATCTAACCTTGAGACTGAGAATTTAAGCATTGATCAGCATACATATGTAAGTATAAATAGGAGACTACATACCCCACAATGTGGTTTGCAACTGAATTACAAAATTTCTTTGGATTCCAATGGTATCCAGTGCCATATTTGGCATGATTGGTAAATATGAGCTTGGAAAGGACAGCATAGATGTTGCTCTTGTCCTTGCCCAATGCCTGTTCACTGTCAGTAGAAGCCATTTTCTTACCCTTGGAATAGAAGAGAATGCAACTATCAGCAGGGTGAGATATTATATGATCTACAAGGATATCAGTGAGAGCATCTTCTTTCTGCCACTGAACTGTGATCCTGGGTCCAGGATCACTTGAGACAGATTGAATGGATGAACTGGATGGAGTGGGGGGGGTCCATTTCCCTCAAGCACAGACAGGTGTTGGCTTGAAGTTGTGCAGACTGGCAAGCACATTGACTAACAGCAGGCATGTGTTTCTAAACTCTGATGGACTGACTTTCAATTGCAGGTATTGCATGGCTGTGTTTTGTTAGAGTAGCCAAGTTTTCAAGACATTTTAACTGAGCTTCAAGATTTATCCTGAGTACCACTAATATATACCAAAACAACATCTAAAATGCGAAATTCTCATGTTAAAATACAGTAGTCTAAATATGATACACTGTACACTATCTCATAATGCATAATGCTAGGACCCCCTTCACTCTGGAGATCTATGCATTAGCACATATGTCACACTTGTGACAAATTGTGACACTGTATGTGTTCACACTGCAATAGAGCAATGGAGTATATATCTAATGAAAATAAGGATCTATTGTAGTCTGTGTCAAGTGCAGAAGCTCCTCACATTGCAGGTCAGTGCAGAAAAGACAGATCTATGTCAACAACTCAAGTGAAATTGTTGAATAGGCATTTTTGAACACATTCCCTTAGCTTCTGCAATAAATTTCATTGTGTAAAAATAAAAGCCCCTGTTTGGAGGCTCTTGAAGTGATTTACAATGTCATGTTGTGAGACTGTTAGGTGTGCATCAATGTATGCAAAAACTGTCAACCAGTCATTGAGAGTGAGGTTTTAATGTGCTGAAGTTATTGGAGTACTTTTGACCTTTGGTTTGTTTTGCTGTCTCTGGTATGATAGGGGTGTGTCTTGAGGTTTGTATTTCTGAGAAGACTCAGTGTGAAAGAGAAATAGCTGCTAGGCTTAATAAAATACTAGCACTACTTATCCTGAAGGGTGTGAGGAATATATCTGACCAAAGAGGACTGCTATTGAAGCACTTCCTTCAAATATGCAAGGGAAGTGATAGCACAAAGGACTTAAAATCTAAGGTGACCTAAAAAAACAAGAGTGTGACAATAGTTAGCAAGTATTAAGGATTGCACTGTGTGAATGAGTGCTACTAAAGTTACACTGGACCCTTGCCAGTATGAAGAGCAATCAAACTTAGACCAGAAGTCAGCAAAAGGAAAAACAAGGTAGTGACTAAGTATAGTGCAACTACTGACAGTGGTTTGGCTTTTGTGATGGACAAGTATAAGAGACTTAGTGACTGTGAATTCAGAGTGGTTGAATGTCATGATCAAGAGAAATGAGTAAGAATAAGTTGATTGTGCAAGTCTGAGATATAACACTAAGTGACTACTCTACTCCTGCAGAAGATTAGGGAAGGGGAAGTGATGAACTATATGTGTTGCTTGGTATTTTATCATAGTGTGTGAAGGCTCAGAATACATAGGTGAAAGTAGTGGCAGGATAAGTGACAGCGTGCTGAGTCTGTAGGTAATAAAACATGCCATGCTGTGGAACATGAGGATGCATGTAATAAGACCTGTGACTGATGAGTAGTGGCAATTAAGGACCAATAATGCACTAGTGGAGATAGGTAGAGATAGGTAGGACATGAGAGGATGAGGTACCTGGGAGTCAGACCAGACCAGTGACAGCATGTCAGATTCCAAGAGTGTGCTATGTAGGCACATGAATAGCACTAGTGCTCATACAAGCCCAGCAGAAATATGTTTGTTACATTGGACATGGTAGACAGGGTGATCAAGGTTGGTTTCTTTGATGACATGACATAAATAAATCATTTGCATGCTGACTCACAGACCTGAACAAGATCACAGGTATGACTTAACCAGCCAAAAATGCTATCTCATAATACATAATGGTCCCATAGGTCTATGTATTATGCATTAGAGTTCAATTTCTCACTGGCCCATGGTAGGACCTTCTGAAGTTGATGCATTATGAGATAGTGTACTGTAGTTCTAATGCAATAGCTTGAATGTGCTAGTCAAATACAATAGTCTTATTATAATAGTCCTAGTGCAATAGCTTAAATACTATGATCTATGTTGTGATAGCTTGAATACAATAGTCTAAATATGATGGTCTTAATGTAATCAAATGAGATAGTCTTAACCTGATAGCTTAAATATAATAACTTAATTATCATTAGACCATCACATTGGGACTATTATATTAGGACTATTGTATTTAGACTATTGTGTTTAAGCTACTGCAATAGAACTATCATAATAAGACTATTACATTTAGACTATTGTAATAAAACTATCTATTAAGACTGTACTCAAGGACTAATTCTGAGGGGCTTGGCCTTAGCTCGTACACTATGCCTCTTTCCTGAGTATGTGCCCCTAATTTCAGATAAAGTCCTGGAGAGTCCAATGAAGTCTATATGACTTCTGGATACATGCTACTCTTAGTGAAGTGCCATGGACTTCCAGAAGAGGTTTGTCTAGTTAGTAGGAAGAAGTCTACAGACTATATAGGATAAGTCCCTAATAGAGGAGAAACTGCAGGGGACAAAGTCCAAAGCAGGATAGGATAGAAGGAGTGGTCTAGAGGAGGATTTATTGAAGTAGGATTCCAGAGATAGGAGGTCTGGAGGTCTGGAGGTCTGGAGAACCGGAGGACTGGAAGGATGGAAGGGCAGAAAGGCAGACATTGTATTAGAGGCTATAACAGATGAAGTCTGGAGTAGAAATAAGCAGAGGTGGACTACACTAGGTAGAGTTAGAGTTGATAGGAATTAGACTAAAGTCTGGAAAGAGAGTAAGTGCTGGAAAGGCAAAACTCCAGCCTAGGAAATCAATTCCCGAGGCTGGATGGAAACAGAAAGGTCAAATATAGAGGTCTGGAATTCCAACTTAAGGAGATTACAACCCTAAGCCTGAGACAGAGACTGACAACTTGAAGGGCTTAGCCCAAGTCTGAGAAGAGGGTGCAAAGTCTAAAGTGACAATAATGAGCAAATCTAAGATAATATTCAAACTAAGGAAAGTAACAGGGGTTCCACAGAAGTTTATATACTGGAGGAAATCTAAGAGGATCAGTAAGCAGAGGATCAAATCTATGTATGAGCATGTGGAAACAAATTAGTAAATGAAATGAAACATAAGTAAATTAACTTAGAGATGAAGCTAGTACAAAGATCAATAAGCAAGACAGAAACAGAGATAACTGAAAGCCAGAAGAGTGGAGATGTTTAATGGAGAAAGTACATATATGAACATAGGTCAGAAATAAATCTAGAGATAGGTACAGATGAGATCTAGAGGTCCAGAGGTTTAGGAGTTCTTGGTAGAGACAGGACCAGGATGTGATTGCAAGATGGATATGGTCTAGTGTTAAGAACTGTGCTCAAGGAAGGGAGAGACTGACTCAGAGGGGCTTGGCCTCAGCTTGTACACTGTGCCCCTTACCCAAGTATGTGCCCTTCATTTCAGATGAAGTCCAATGATGGTCCAATGAAGTCCAAAGGACTTCTGGAGGCTGGCTACTCTGGTAGAGTGTGGAAGGACTTCTGGGGAAGCACAGGAAACATCTGGAGGAGCATGGGAGAGTTCTGGAGGAGTACAGGAAATACTTGCAGGAGTTCTTACTGCACAGGAAGTGAAGAGACCCCAAGGTTATACATCTAGAGGAAATAGGATGGAAAGATAGGAGGACAGGAGGTATGGAAGACAGGATGTCCAGAAGGAATAGGGGCTACATCAGATGAAGTCTGATGTAGAAGCAAACAGAGGTAGACTACCCTTAGGTAGAGTCAGAGAGACAGGAAGTGGACCAAAGTCTGGAGAGAGAGTAAGTGCTGGAAAGGCAAGACTCCAGCCTAGGGAAGCAATCCATAGACTTGGGACAGAGACATAGGGGACAAATCTGAAGGTCCAGTTTTCCAGCTTAGGGAATCCATCCCTAGGCCTTATGGAAAAGGATGAGACTCAGACAGACTGAAGTCCAGAAGATGCAAGAGCAATTCTAAGGTGATAGAAGAGGGACTAAGATGATATTCAGACTGAGGACTTTACTGGAGTTGTAGGGGTTATGTATATACAGTGGCCCAAAAAAGTGTCTGAATGTTATGCATTTTCAAGTAATTGGATAATTACAAGCCAGCACCTGAGTACAATATAGAGGCATATGGACATATTTAAAAGCTTAATATCATAGCTATAATCTGAGATATATATTGTGAGAAGTATATCATATATGGGCAGGATATGGTAATTCTAATCACATGACTCATTTGGACACTTTTTTGACTTTATATCCAAATCACAAAATCAGACCATTCACACATAATATTCTTAATGGAAATGATGTAATAATAAATATTTGGTCTGATTTTAATATGATTTACATATATTTACCCATATAACGTCATTCACTTTAACATAATCATCACAAAGCCCATCTCCTCTGCTCAAAAAGAAAATATCCTTATTCTCTGCTCCTCAAGTTTATCTATGAGGCAAATTGCTTCCAAACCTGGTCCTAGCAAGTCCACTATTGCTATAATCATAAAATAGAACATACTACTCTCATCATGCTTATTGGATCATTCTCTATGAAGACTGTAGGACATGCTAGATCTATAGACATAGTCAACTACCCTGGCAATTAGGTGGTAGCGAGACTGGTTATTGTTTGCACAGGACACCAAGTTGGCTAAGTGTTCTGAAAGGATGTAGCAGGAGGACCCTTCATTCATCCTCTACCATTCCATGTCCTTTATCCAGAATGTTGTGAATGATTAACTCTCAAGCAGATCTCAGACATAACATAGCTGCTAGATTCCTATCAAATACATTTAACATTGTTAACACACATTTCAATGAATATACAGGAATGCCACAGCATACTGGAGGATCCATAGGCAGCACAAGCACTTCAATTAGAGAAATATTGATGGCATACCTTATGAAGGAGTATCTGGACACCTTACAGAAAGTGTCAACCACTGGAAGGAGTGACAAGACTATGCAGAAAACAGCTAATGGAACAGAGCCTTGATGTGATATTAGTGTCTGTTACAGAGGTAGGTGGAGAAGAGTCTTCATGGTTGGCTGTGCACCTACAATAAGTGTAACCTACCACTTTGAAGAAGTGAAGAAATTTATGAGGAAGTTGGTATGTGCATCTGTATAGATTGCTATAACTGACTTCACTTCAGAGTAGTTTATGCTGTTGGACAGATCCTGATTCTTCATCTTCATAAATGTGAGAATTTCTGTAGCAACCTATGAAAGTATGTTATATAAAGGAGTAATAGTTTCTCCTTTGAGCAATGAGATTCCTTTTTAGAGGAAGTGAGAAAATTTGCATATCTCTCAAAACTTTCTCACCCCTTAATTTCCCATGATGTACTGATTATCTGAGGCCACTGCTAAGCCATATTTTTTAGTACATGGTTACTAGTCATCTAGTGTAGTTTCACTTCATTCTCTTTATGACACAGGAAATCAATTCTGTGGGAAGAATCTACATATTTTAACAATTGAGAATGACAAATAGGGCTTATACTTTAGTCAACAATATTAAGAGCTTGGCCTACTTTAAGACTATGTTATAGAAATGTACTCTGTTCTAATCCTGCCTCAAACTCCATACAAGTGTCTGAGCAGTAGAAAGGCTGGTTTCAAGGCCATGTATTTGATTGATATGATTGTATCTAACTCTTAGTTTGATCTCCTCTGATTGTAGGAATAAGAAGTATCCAAGACTGACTCACTGTGTACTGTCATTCTGTCATTTATGGTATTATAGCACTGCATCAAGCCAGTAACTAATTTGACTACACTCTGTAAGTCCATATTAGTCCATTTCTGAGTTTCCTATGTGATGTATCATGCTAGTTAATGGCAACTAACTTCTAAGTACAGGAAGCACTGTATCAAGCCATTTAGTGGATTCCTTTCTTGAGATTTCTCTAAGATCCTCTCCCCTTTTAGTCATTGATAAATTTGCTCATGAAGAACTCATCTTAATTATACATCCACTATGATGAATGAACACATTATTAACCATTGGAATTTGTCTGAACTGTTAACTGTGGAGGATAGTGAAATTTGGTAATTTTAGTGCCTTTTGCATCCTGGTAAGATGGTGCTAGGTTATCATTGGCAGAGGGAACTGCAGGGATAATACACAGATGGATATAAGTGTGAGAATGTTGTTTGTTACTGCAACAATGTATTTTTGCCAGTGTGGACTTATTATCAGTGCTCCATGCAAAAATGAAAGACTAATAATATTACTATGGAAGATTTATCAGAAGTCAAGTCTTCCAGGCGTCACACTTAGGCTGTCATGTGGTTCCATGATGAGTTAACATTCTATGTGAATGACTCAGAAAGTACCTTACCTTAACTAAAAGGGAAGGAGGCTTCTTTAATGATTGTTAACTTTGTGTCAGCTAATTACAGCTGGCTTCAATCCTGAGATGGAAAGGAGAGTGCTTGCTTTCCAAGATTCTCAAGACATCTCATTCTAGTATTACAAAGTTTGAAGTTGCATGGTTTAGTGATAGTTATTTCCATTGTATAATCTATGGTCTGGGACCATATATTGCAGACTATGAAGAACAAGTCTTATTGATATGCATTATGTATGGCTGGTGCCCAAGGTATATACTCTAACTTTTTAATTTATCACTTAGATTCATTATTAGACAGATATTTATTGACATGCATCAATCTAGATGAATCAGCTAGTTAGTATTATTATCATTATATAGAGGAGGGGGCCCTAGACATATTATGGGATGAGTATGGTATTGTTGATGATCTTGTTGTAAGTCTTATATTTTGCACTACATTTTCTCTAACCCCTGACCCTAATGAAAGAGTACTGCTATGAAGATACTAATGCAGATGTGCCATATGATCCTGAAGCATTTCCTGTTAGTGTTGCTACTTGCTACATACAAATATGATCATCAGTAGATGGAATATCTGGAACCTCTATAGACCTGTAACTATCTTCAGATAGACTTGGAGATAGACAGTGTGATGCTTCCATCTCCACAGGCATCTGGTCAAAAATCCTTTGTCTCAAGCCAATCATGCTACATAGGAGGCATTGAGGTTATAGATGAGGACCTAAATTGCCTGCAATATTCTCAGCAAAGGATCAATGCCACTGTCATGAATGCATATGCCAGTCTTTTATCTGATAGAGACCCTAGCCTGATCAAAGCAGGATGTATTATTCTCAGTTCACTGATTCCTGACTTGATACACCATGGCAAACATTTAAAGATAAAAAACCTAGATAGTAACATATTTTTGGTTAGTCTTTCCATTTAAGCAGAAATTTATAAACTCAGTTTCATTCTGACCTTTTGTACCTAGATAACCAAAACAAAGATGCTTGCCTTCAGATATTGAGCTTTTCCTCTGTGTGGAAGAAGTCCCTCTCACTGGATCCTGGGTTGGGTTGACTGGTCAACTCATGAAATGTTTCTTTAATATTACCTCCAATATCCTTCACTAGCTCATTAAATGTACATTTCAAGACCATCTTGTGGTCTGGGTCAAAAAGTACCTTTGCAAGACACATTCAAAGAAAGGGGCTAAGTGCATCATAGATGATATCAACCAAAGGTAATGTTTTATTTGCTTGATAATATATAGGACAATCTCACTAGTTTTGTCTAGAATTGCTACTGTTCCAGCCTTTATTGGTATTTACCCTCCACAAGGACAAGGCTTTAAGCAATAGATGTATAATAACTCAAAGGTGCTCATAAAGGTATGTTTTTCATGGATCGGTTTACTAACATCTCACTGACATATAGTGATAGGTATACTTATCTACCATCAAAGGACATATCCCTATAAAATAGTTTAAACATTTCAAGCCTTCCTGTAGTTTTGTTACCTTGTCTGATATAGCACCATTACAGAGAAGACTCTTGAACAAATACAAGAGGCCTTTAACTGCTTCTATCAATATTGAGAGATTTTTGAAACAGTTGGCATTACATTTTCACTCCCTTACCAATACTCATATCAACACTATGTACTACTTACTCATTTGTTTAGGGCCCCAAATGGCCTGTGCTCTTCAATCACTGGGCCTAAGTACATAAAGGCTGCCAAAGAACCATGGATGCACTCTAGCTGATACAAGGCACTTGGCCAAATATTGATCACAAATAAATGCCTTGATAAACTTGCAGCATCATGTGTTGATTTTACCTAGCCCAAAATGCTTGATAGCACAGGTCTTTCTGTGGCTGCACTTGCAGTAGGTATATAGGTAACATGTTTTGTCATTAGCATGCTCTTGCTAATGCCTAAGTAGAAAAAATCTGTACTATGAACCTTGAGCCAAATGAAGCAGACCTATAGGAAATCAGCTGCACACTGCACTGTCAGTGCACAGACTTAGATGACAGGGATGATAATGCTTATGAAGTTGGTAATGGGTCAATAAACATTGAAGCATACATTGAGTTGGTGAAAATACCTCATAAGTAATCCAGTCTCTGTTTTATTAAACTGATCTAACATATGATATAGAATGCAAATGTGCTTACATAGTCACTGCATTAGCAGTTGAATTGTCAATCACCTAATTCCCTAACCTTTACATCATTTTCTATTCAGCCAATTTAATCCAGACAATCCTCACAACCTTTCTGAAGTTCTGCTCACTCATTGTCTCCCAATATGACAGGAAAATAAGTGTTTTCAACTCCACATTCAACTTCACATTCAACTCCACATGTTTGAAGTTCTTTGCCCTAAGTGATCTAAGTGATATCAGGGGCATGCGTCATGAGTATATCCAATGTGGGGAAAGAAATGAGGGGTATGAATGTTACATGAGTGCTAACTTTTTTCTTTTGTATATAGGGCTGAATTATACCCATGTGTAGTTATGAGATGGTTAAATATCATTGGAGATTCACCTGATGAAGACACTGGATTGTGGATGGTACAGCCTGCTCATAATACCAACAACCCCTCCCCCCTACCTCTATCAATTCAATTTCCTGTGCTGCATGCTTTGTTCCTGTATATAGTACTAACCTATTTTTCTGCAATATCAGCACCATCAAATTCATAATGTTTTCCACACATTCTATATTAACAAATACACAGATCACTATGCTTTTAAAATCACATTTTAGACTTTTTGCACAGTTCTTGCTTGTTATACTTAAATTGAACTTTTTTGACTTCACACATGAATTTGTTTGCACACTTTCTGATAAGTAGAAAAGCAACCTTCAAGGTAGTTCAAAAATCTTGTTCACAAGTATTAAGTAAAGTAAGGCTAAATCAGGATCCAGTGAAATTACTGATGATACTAGGTACTATCTACAGACTCTCACAAAAATCTAGCTCTTGAAGTGCATGGATTCCAAGATGCGTGATTTTAAAGGACAGGTACAACCACTTACTAATAGCATGAGCTACATCTACACTACAAAGGCTGCTGCCTTGGAGTGTAAGATTTCTAAGGCAAACATTAACCATTATAGAGACTCATGCTGGGCCAGGCTTAGAATAGCCTATATTATAACTTGCTTTATTTGACTCATTACCAGTGTCATCCTATTATACACTATGCAACTCTAACTGTATCCCTAGTCAATTCTCTATATAGTGCATTACTTTTCTGCACTAGCCACTGCATTCCTGTGAGTGCACCTTGTGCACTTTCCCATGCTTGAAGTGCCCTATGTTACCCATTATCTAAAAGCTTCCATCTACTGTCCAACCAACTCACTGTGACAATCATGTTCAGGCTAGCCTGCTAGGACCCCATTCTGTGATGTATGACAAACCCTATCCAGTCTGCATGTCTCCTATCCATCTCCAATGCATTGGGCCCATTCGGAGATCCCATGCACTTGTCCTACCATATCCAGTCCAGTCCTACTTATTCCCACTGGTGCATAGTCAGTTATTTCTCATTACTAATTGAGTAGACAGCATTATTACATGGATTCTCACAAGCTGCAGTACCTCATGGCCTTTTACCTACACATCGTCAGATCCATGTTTTTGCTACTACTTTCACCTATGGACTCTGGACTTTCATGTAGTTAGTTGTATAGGATTGGGTGACCAGGATTACAACTACCACTTAGTAGGGGTGAGAAATCCCCAATACTGGTCACTCCATACCTGTCCTTAGAATTACCCTTGCCAATATACCTGTTTACCCACTCTCCTTGACCCAACACTATTGTCACTCATTCATTTGACATTCCTTAACATCTCCAAGTTAGTCCTGATTCTTTCTCTTCCTTTCTCTTACTCTCCTGCCATCTCCACATCTTCACACCTATGGACCTGATTTCCCACACATCAGACATTGCCCCATACCTTCAAACTTTTGACTCCTTGTGTAGTACTGATTATTGAACTTGACTAGACAGCAGATCCCTCAGATCAAATGTTCTTGCTTGCAAGTGTAGCAGCTGGGCAGGACTAGTATATATATATTGGCTAGGTATTCTAACAGCTATCTAGCCAAGTTGTGTTATCCACACCACCAGTGCATATTACTCTCTATTTTCATTATTCCCATGCTCTTACATAATTACCAATACTGTATGGCACCACTTTTTCTAGGCTAAGCAGGCATTACATAGCACTTACCTTACCTTAGTTCATTTTTACTTGGAAGCTGAGGAGGTGCTACTTACTTACTTAGAGACTACCTCATGAGTTTGTACTACTATAGAGAGTTCATTATGGGCCAATTAAGCTGCTTTTTTGTGCTTACTCTCCTGCAAATTTTCACTATGGAGAGCCTCTCATTTTCTGGTCTTGTGTTTAGTAGCAGTCCCCTTTAGGGTTAAATATGCTTGTTCTACAAATATATCAGCCAGGTGCAACACTGACCTAACATTTCTAAGGATTCCTATTTTAGAGTCCTCTTGTTGAACAACCTTCACCATCACCAATGTGACATAGAATTTTAACACAAGTGGGCCAAGAAGAAGTGTTATGAGACTGCTATCTGTCATATCCTGTATTCCAGACCCTAGATTCCCACACTTTTCTGATTATATCTCCAGTTCCTGTCTCTGACCTATTTCTTGTTCTTCCTCCATCATATGCTCCACACCTCAGCAGAATCCACACCACTATTAGTTATGCCTAAATTCTAGACTCCTGGACATCCAAAGCTAGCCTGCTTCCTCCACCTTCTATCCAATCCATGCTGAGCATATTTCATCCAGAAAGACATCCAGACTTTTCCTCTACCATGATTCCAGATGTCATATCCTGTATGCCAGACCTAGATCCCATGATATTCCCACGCCTTCCAGTGAAGGTGAGGACTATGAACTATGAGAGAAACTGACTACTACTAAGGAAACTCTACAGCAAGACCTGGATGCGAGATAGAACTTGACCCAAAGGACAGCTACTGAGAGAGAGTCCTTGAAATGACTGAGGGAGACTCTGAAACTGAATGGGTGCTAGAGGACATGTGAAGTGTGATTGAGATGTGTGCGAAAGTGCACATGATGGAGGTCTAAAGCGTAGAGGCATAGGCTACCTAGAAACTAAATCCAGTGAAGAAGGAATCAAGCTGGTGTGAAGCGGTCATGTCTAGGCAGGTAGTGCATGAATTCAGACTTTTGGGACTTTTAAACTTGCTCTAATGCACAAACTACTGCCAATACACAGAGATGGGGAGTGCTAGGATAGGGTATTCTAAAAAACTATAAGTCCCTTCTCTATATTGAGCACTAGGTGACACTTGTAGTGTGGAAGCAAAGTGAGTAGGTAGCAATATTTATATGTAATGGCACTTAAGTGTGAGCATGCATGTTTACAGTGCTGTAATCAGTCTGGAAGATATGTCAGAGTGATAAGAATATAATAAAAACACACCAGTGGACTTTAGTGAGGACATGGATGGGTGGACAAACTGTAGTGAAGGACCTAGAGCAGGCATGCGGGACATGCAAGTGCATTTGCATGTGCATGGCAGTTGCACATCAGCACATGATAGCATGAGTGACTTATCCTGAGGGTCAGAGCTGGAGTATCAGTAGGAAGGGGTGGTGTATTGTCCTATAATGGCCATAAAGAGGCACAAGTCTCTATACCAGACCTACATCTGGACCCCACCTCCGACTCATTCCCAGATCCCCTTCTACTTACACCTCAGCAGGATTAGCTCCCCTATAGAATTACCCCTGAGCTCCAGACCTCCAGATCTTCACTACTAGCCTGATCTGTACACCCCTATCCTGTCCACCCTATACACATTCTGTTTAGCAAGACATCCAGACTTTACCTCCTCTTGGATTCTAGACTACATCCACCACCTCACATATCTCAGTCCTGTTTCCACCTTGCCTTCCAGATCCCCAGATCTCCAGACCTATTCCTACCCTCTGTCTGAGATTCTGCACCTATCCCCATTTAGGCATCTCCACCTTTCTGGTTCTCGGTTATCTCTGCTTCCATCTTACTGATTGATCCTTGTACTAGTTTCATCTCCAAGTTCATTTACTTATGTTCCATCTCACTTGCTAATATGTTTCCACATGTTCATACATAGCCTTACTCCATTGCTTACTGATCCTCTTGGATATCCTCTAGTATATACAGTGGCTCAAAAAACTGTCCACATGTTTTGACATTTTTCACTATCTATGATATTGTGTGAGAACAAACAAATGCCTCAAGGACATGCTTATACCACATTGTAATATGGCTTCAGGGCTTTCATTTGAGCCCTACACCGTGGGAATCGGTGGAGATATGGTGGAGATACAAGGCTCACAAAATGGTGACTCATGCGGACAGTTTTTTGACTCAAGTATTTTATAATAATAACCAGGTATTCTAGTATTTTGTATGATCTCCCTTGGCTTTAATTACTGCCTCTATCCTTCTAGGCATACTCTCAATCAATTTCTGGCAATCCTCAGCTGTGATCTTCCCCCATTCCACTGCTACTCTCTCCCAAAGCTCCCATACTCCTTTAGGGGGGTTTTCATAGGCTTAAAGCTTTTTCTTGAGTGTTCCCCAGAGATGTTCAATGACATTGACATCAGGAGACTGTGCTGGCCAGTCAAGAACATTGATGTTATGTTCTTCAAACCATTCCTTAGCTCTTCTGGATGTGTGCTTGGGATCATTATCCTGTTGGAAAATGATATCTTCTTCATCAATCCCTGATTCTGCCAAGCTAGGCAGCAAGTGGTCATTTAAAATGTCCACATACTGCTCAGCATTCATCTTCCCCTCAACCTCAGCAAGCATTCCCACACCATTCCATCCCATACAGCCCCATGCCATTAAAGAACCTCCTCCAAACTTGACAGTCTCATTAACCTCTCTGTCTGTTAGGCCATCTCCCTTCTTTTTCCATACATATACCTTCCCATCTGACCCAATCCTATTGATTTTGGTCTCATCTGACTATATAACATGCTTCCAGTCCTCTACAGTCCAGTGTTGATGAGCTAAGGCAAAGGCTAGTCTTCTCTGCCTATGTTTGATGGAGAGAAGAGGCTTTTTCTTCTTTGTTACTGCCTTGAGATGAGCTGCCTTGAGAACATTCCTCACAGTTTGTGAAGAGACAGGGGTAGTGATGGTGGAATTGATATAATAGGTGGCTTGGACAGCATTATCAGCCTTTCCTGTAGTGATATGTTGGATAATAGCCCTTTTGTCAGTAGAGGTAAGCTTGGATGGACATCCTCCACAAGAGTTTTCCTTGTCTGGGTGGCTTTCTTTGATAAACTTGGCCACAGTAGACTTGCATACTCTAGTTCTAGAGGAAATTTGGTGAGCAGAGAGGCCAGCATAAGACAGAGAGAGGATATTATCTCTTTGAGCAGAGGAGATGGTTTTCATGGTGATTATGACTATGATACATGAGATATTCTGGTTTATATAGTTAGATATAGTTATAAAATAACATAATGACACCACTTCATAATTTATATAATAGTGGCATGATTTATACATGAGTCATCATTTTATAAGCCTTATGTCTCCACCATATCTCCACTGATTCCCACAGTGTAGGGCTCAAATGAAAGCCCTGAAGCCATACTACAATGTGGTATAAGCATGTCCTTGAGGCATTTGTTCCTTCTCACACAATATCATAGATAGTGAAAAATGTCAAAACATGTGGACAGTTTTTTGAGCCACTGTAAGTAAATGAACTTGGAGATGAAACTAGTACAAGGATCAATCAGCAAGACAGAAACAGAGATAACCGAGAACAGGAAAGGCGGAGATGCCTAAATGGGGATAGGCACAGGATCTCGGATGGAGGGTGGGAATAGGTCCAGAGATAGTACAGTCAATATCCAGAGGTCTGGAGATCTGGGGATCTGGAAGGCAGGGCAGAAACAGGACTGAGATATGTGAGGTGGTGAATGTAGTCCAGAATCCGAGAGAAGGTAAAGTCCAGATGTCTTGCTAGACAGAATGTGTGTATGGTGGACAGGATAGGGGATCCAGGAATGAGTCAGATATGGGGTCCGGAAATAGGTCCGGAAAGCGTGGGAATATGATGGGATCTATGTCTGGCATATGGGATATGACAATCACCTATACAACAGTCTATCATATTTGATTCAGCAGAGGTCCATATTACCTACTAGGTTTAAGTTAAGCTGACAAAATATATACTTCTCTTTACTATCAAGAAGTGATCTAGCAAAGAAGTAATTTATTACCCTTTGGCCACCCACAAACAACATGTTATCAACCAAGAAGTAGAAAATCCATTGACCATGAACTTGAGGAGCTGGCACCTAAGTCTTATTGAAGTACAATTGTGATAGTCATTGTATCTCACCTCAACTTATATAAGACCCTCAAGTAGTAAGACACCACACCTTACTTGCATCAGCTCTGCATTGTGGGAACATGCTTAGTTGGCTTTTGCATGTTAGCATTCACATTTTTATCAGTTAGTTAGCTACCACTTAGTTGGCAGTTAATATCCCTTAGCATCCCTCAGCACAGTGCACACTTTTTCAAGCCATAGTCAGTAGCATTTGGCAATCACATCCTATCACCATCACATTTATCATTCTCATGCCCATCAGTATCAGCCATCATCCACCCTTAGTCTTCATTGCATTCCTAGCCCTTTGTGCACTTTTGCCTATTAGTGTGCGACTTTCCCACGCTTTGCGCGCCCTACCACTCTCTGTGCACACCTTCACCTCCATGCACGTGATTTTCCCATGCTTCATGTGACCTGTGGATGTGTTGCACTTGCTTCCCCTTGGGTCGAATGCACTTGCCTTTGCAAAGTATAGCAGCCTAGGCAGAGCTGAGACAACCACACATATACTCTGACTTGGTATCCCTTGTAGTGCCATAGCTTAGTAGTTGATTCCTTCAATGCTGATATGAAACAGGCTGATTGATTGGCATAACTATAGTACACAAAATGTCAGTGTCAAAGGGCTTGTGAGTTGAATGACTTACTATTTGATCTGGAGAAGGGGAACATCATTGAGACATGCAATGACATTGTGCTCCATCTACTCCACATCACAGGTTCATTGACTTGAACAATACCAGAATTTGATAGCACCCCAGTATTATTCTATAAAATTCTATTCACAGTGAAATTTTGGATAGAAGTTGCAGATATGACCTTGAGAAGTGATGTACTCTTTAAGCTGGGACTTGTGAGAAATAAAGTCCAGCTGGCAGAACAGAATGTGCTGGTGAAGGAATCAACTACTCAGCTATGACTCTACAAGGAATACCAAGTTAGAGTATATAGGTGGTCATCTCAGCTCTGCCTAGGCTGCTATTGTTACAGTCATGTCACCCCCCTATCTCTTTTCTTCTTACTTGTATTACGTCATGACCGCGTTTCCTTGCGCCATCATTAGACTGACTGCTTACCACACTGTATTACATCACGACCACCGCAGCCGTCGCTAGATGACTCATTTCCTTATCTCTGACTCGTCTCGATGATGTAGCTTCTCCTTATCTCTGACTTGTCTTGATGATGTGGCTTCTTCTTATCTCTGACTTGTCTCGATGACGTACGCGTACTGGCCCTAAAGCCAACCATACCTATATATAACTAGGCTAGGTACTTAGCAGATCTTCACTTTAATCTACTAGGTTTTCACCTGAACTATCCTTTGCTTAGGACCCCCAATCCTAAGTCGTCTGATAACCGATATTCAAGTCAGAGACACTCTCTCCAACTTGTCTTAAGAAGCCTTACATTTGTGAGGTCTTGATCCAACCGCAGACGTTACTCTTATCAAGTATCTGTCATTGCGCCAATCCTAGTTCGTCGTAACAGCTATACTTCACAAAGGCAAGTGTGTTCAACCCAAGGGGAAGTGAGTGCAACACATCCTCAGGTTGTGCGAAGCATGGGAAAGTCATGTGCATGAAGGCAAAGGCACATGCAGAGAGTGGTAGGGCATGCAAAGCACAGGAAAGTCATGCACTAATAGGCAAAGTGTGCAAGGGGCTAAGAATGCAATGAAGACTAAGGGTGGATGATGGCTGATACTGATGGGCATGAGAATGATAAATGTGATGGTGATAGGATGTGATTGCCAAATGCTACTGACTATGGCTTGAAAAAGTGTGCACTGTGCTGAGGGATGCTAAGGGATATTAACTGCCAACTAAGTGGTAGCTAACTAACTGATAAAAATGTGAATGCTAACATGCAAAAGCCAACTAAGCATGTTCCCACAATGCAGAGCTGATGCAAGTAAGGTGTGGTGTCTTACTACTTGAGGGTCTTATATAAGTTGAGGTGAGATACAATGACTATCACAATTGTACTTCAATAAGACTTAGGTGCCAGCTCCTCAAGTTCATGGTCAATGGATTTTCTACTTCTTGGTTGATAACATGTTGTTTGTGGGTGGCCAAAGGGTAATAAATTACTTCTTTGCTAGATCACTTCTTGATAGTAAAGAGAAGTATATATTTTGTCAGCTTAACTTAAACCTAGTAGGTAATATGGACCTCTGCTGAATCAAATATGATAGACTGTTGTATAGGCGATCCCTGTAAGATAGTATACAACCAATCTAGACTGGAAATACTATAGTTTTCAAAGGCAATCTTGAGGCCTTCACTTTCTTCATAATCTCACACTATTGAGACAGAAAGAGGGAAAACTCCTGCACTTCAAATCTTATGAATCTCACAGTTTGAGACAAGAAAGAAGAGGAAACAGTACATACTTGAATCCTGGACACTTGGCATTGCATCCTGCCTCAGGCCAGAGCACCCACTTGCAAATAATAACCTTCATTCCTTTGAACCATCCTGGCATTGTTTGGTGCTCCAGTGGGAAGTAGAAGTCCTGCAGGAGATCTCTGAATGAGCTGCTGTGTATTTTTGGCCCATTTTATGTAGGTGTCTGGCCTGCCTTTGACTGTTTTGGCATTTTTTGTGCAGATACCACATCAGGTGCGTGTTTTTGATGACTAGGTGCATCACTGAACATAAATAAACCAGTAGCAAAACCATTGGTTTTGCATTCAAATATATCTATTGCCTGTTCAACCTGGACAAGCAAGTCTTCAGCTGAAAAATAACCATCTTGATTTTTGCCAGCTTTGAAGATAATGCAAGCCTCCCTGTCAGTAGGTCACAGGTTTATCAGTACTAATCAAACAGGATTTTGAATGAATGACATACTCCTCCTTTAACCTTCCCCAGTTGAGTGTCACCATATCTGGTATCATCAAGGATGGCCCCTCATCCTTCTGCTCTGGTATTGCCTTATCACTAGAATGATTCCAGCAGTTTTTTGTTAGTCATTAGCATAGAATGTTGACTCATTGTGTGTGACAAGAACAAGGCAGAAACGAGACCCTTGAGCAACAGGGAATCCAGATGGACTAGTGAGGACATTACTATCATTATCATATGTTACCATGCACTTCTTGTATTCTTTCCAGCATTGCAAAAATTCCTCATGGTACTTCACTACATCCTCACACTCATGGCTGTCAATATACATCTCATTCCATTTCTTCCCATATTGCCAATCCAACTTATGGATCCATCTTTGTGCAGTGGCCAGTGAGATCCTGGTCTTCTTTGAACCAAGCTTTCCCTGGACTTCTGGTCTTGTGATATAGTCAACAATATATTGTGTGCATATGTAGTCATGCTTTGCAACCTCCATAAGATGAAGCTGAATGTCTTGAGCAAAATCTTTGTCCTTGAGGATAGTGTTTGAATAATGGCCATAATGATGAAGAGGGAGTATTTCATAGTGGAGAAAATTATGAATCCAAGTGCATATATTGTGGGCATGGCTCAATCCCTTGCCATGGGATTTTGCAACCAGTAATGAAGCTTCACACCATGAGCATGACAGTTTAGGATCAAGATACAGGTTGAGAGCACCTGTTGTGGCAAAAATGCAGGTCCAGAAAATCACATCAAGCTGTTTACTTTTTGCTTGGACTATCAGTTTTGCCTGCACATGTCGCAGTGTGGGAAAGTCCTTGTAACTCAGTGCATTAAGTGTAATATCTGTGAGTGTCTCTTGATCATTATCATGGGGGTACTGTCCATTCTGGAGATCTTGTAGCATCTCCTCAATTTCTTTTCACTGCTCGACAGTGATTGCTTTTGGTAGGAATTCCCCCTCTAACTTGCTGGGTTCACTTGAGTCTGATTCATCTTCCTCTTCTCACAGATTTGTTGCACCCTTCACAGAGCCCTATAAGATTTTGAGGTTCATCAGTGGTCTTGACTGCCATAACCAAGAGAGTAGGCGTTTTATAACTTTTATCATGTGATTAATGTGCATGTATGCACTTATACCATCTAGGCTATATCAAAAATCCCACATCTTGCCAAATTTGAGTATGGCTGGCCTGTTAAAGAACTTCTCCAACAGTATCTACAAAATTATTGAGACTATGAGAAACAGATGGGGCAGTGCAGTAAACCCTTGAAATTAAACATACAGGTGATGTTCTATCATTCAACGCTCTGAGTTTAATTTAGTAACATAATGAAGGCAGCAGGTTGCACCAAGCAACCAGTTCCTGCCACCATGACTTTGGTGACTTGTGAGAGTGTAGCAAAAAGTCCAAGGTCAGTTTTGATGACAGTGGCTCAATAATTACTTGAGTGAGTCACATTCACATTGAAATTTAGCTGCCAGCACACTTAAAAAGCATCTCCCCTCACTCACAAAGTGCTAACCTGTGGGCAGTGACACTGTGTTATACCCATCATCAAACACTGGCATGTCATGTTCTGAGTTGGTGGAAACTGATCTTCCCAACTCACTAGCTTGCTTTCAACAGCAAACCAAATCTCAGTGTGTAGTATAAATAGTGTTTAAATCCGTGCTCAATGACATTTACTGATGGTCTATCTTCAAGTTTGCCCAGAACCCCAAGTGTTCATGGGCCCCACATGCTTCCAAAGATGGACCAAACAAGAAAGAACACACCTACTCCAATATTAGACCCAACCATGGAGGACATCCAGGCCAATTGGAATCCAGTGTTCAGAAAGCATGCCCAACACTAAGATGACTTGGACTTGACAGGTGAGTACTTCAGACTTGAGCTTGTGCAAGTTAGCTTGAATTATCTCAGGCCTTGGCAGATACCATCTTCAACCACTGCATGCTAAGTAGTTAGAAATCAACTTCAACTTCAACTTTGGTCATCATACTTGGACTCCTACTATTGGACAGTCTGGGCTATTTACCATTCAATGATCTAAACTCCTGTACTAGCACTTATTGTGATCATGCATTTGCTCCAAACATGAAAATTTCATTTGAAGCTGCTTGACAATAAGCCAAGTGGAGCAATTTGCAAGCATGTTTGGGTTTGGTAACTTGAGTTTTGGGTTGGCATATTTACATTAAATCAGGGTCAAACTTGTTCAACCAAGTTCAATCAATTCGTGACACTGGCCGACCTTATGACTCTGTGTCATTTGAGGCCCCTTTTCCTATCTAAGATATAAGTGTCTAACTGATATGTTCCATTCTGCATGTTGCACACTTGTCTACTGAGCACTGTCTGCTCATGCACATTCTGCACCATTTTTTGGTGTCTACGTTGAGTTTTCTTTCACCAAATTCAGTCATACTTCTAAAGCATATGTCAGGACTCACAAACTCTAGCAATAATGCCAGCAATTCAATGCAAACCCAATTGTCACTTAGGGGACCTGGAATGCAGGGGTCTTTGACTGAAATTGAATCTGATGGAGTGCATCTACCCTGACAAGATGTGGCAAAGAGATACCTTGACATATTCAGAGATTTTAGAACTGCTAAAAGCACAAAATTTGAAGCCTCCTTTTGCATCTCCAGCATCATCAAAGAAAATTTATCCAGTGATTCAGGAGAGAATGCCATTACTATTGCATCTATCTACCTTGCCATGCTCAAGTCCTAGTGATGTTCCAGCCTGGCTTAGGCTTGGCTTGGAGGGGCTTGGGCTCTCCAGAATTCAAGCCTGAGCCATGAGCCCAAGCCAGCCAAAAGCTGGGGCTTGAGCCAGACTTGGCCATGGCTTTGTTATCTGCAAAGTTCCAGGACCCTATAAGAGTACTGGTTTCAGTGGTAGAGATGTGAACAACCAATCATCCTGGACCTTTTAAATTGTTTATTGATATTTGTTTGGAGTAGCACTTATATGTTCTCCTGTCTCTTCTTCATCCTCTCTTCACAGATATTATGGCAAGTGCCTCTTCATTGACACTTTCTCAACCTGATTCCCTTGCTCATCCTGTCACTTTGGTAGTGTCTGATGAAGAGCTTCCCAATGATGGCCTTTTAGTTGTCTCATTGTGCATTATGGAGTGTCTCATGATCATCTTCTTGTTAGCTATCAATTCCTGTCTGGAGATTTGCTGCCAGTGACTGCCCCAAGTTTGGCTCACATCATTGAAAATTTCTCATCTCTCACTTGTGAGCAGTATGTCAAAATTGCTTGTGCTCACTTGATTCATGTCATATCCATTGATTGCAAGGATTATATCTGAGATCTCCTAAGGGTGCATGATTGTACTGCTCAGTGTGCTCCGAATCTCATTGTATATCAGCATCTGTGTGTTGCCAGGTGTGACTTCTCTCATGTAGTGTTGCTGACTCCTTTTGAAACTGATGACTTTGCACAGCATACTGCAGCTCAAGATGCCATGCACAAATGATGCAAGGTGCAGCAAGTTGCTGATGTTGTTGGCACTGTACACATTGTTGATCCATTAAGTGATGATGACACTGACAATGACTCTGAGTTTCCAAGTATATGTACTTTTCAAGAGGAGGTCAATATCATTAAGGATTAGCTTTACTATGGGAGATGAAAGACAGCACCAGGAGGAGGAGTGGAAGAAGTGTGAGGTGGAGGAGAAACAGAAGTGGGAGGAAGAGATGTGGAAAAGGGAGGAGCAGTTGAAGCAGATTGAGCTAGTGGAAATCCAGGTCCAGATGAAGAAGGAAAAATGTTGGAAGAAGGCTGCTGCTAAGGTAAGGATCTGAATTCCTTAGTGGATCCAGATTAATGAATTTCATTAGGCTGCTAATGCAGACACCATGTCCACTGACAAATCTGCACCCCCTATTCCACCCTGCAAACTTTGTGTTGCTAAGGATAAGAGGTGCTGCTGGGATGATGCAAAGGTGAATCTGTTGGTGAGTAGAGTTTTGGATGGTATGGATCTGTGTTTTCTGACATCTGGACAGGTCAAGTCTTGTGATGCCTGCTGGGCAGCCAAGATCAAGTGCCCTGGAAATCTGGTGTAGAGAATGAGATTCCTCCAGGCATAGATCATGCATATTTCAACTCATGATGATTGGTATAGCACACAACTCACTCTCTATGACTTTCCTGTGAAATGCGCCGGAGGTGTGACACATTCCTGCACACATGCTTAGCGTGCTCTTCCCGTGCTTGGTCGCACTTTGTTGCACAGCATCCTAGAGCATCCATCCATCATCCAACCAGTCCCCTAGTGTCCCTTTTTGTTTATTCACACTATCTGACCATTTCTGGTATCATACAACATATTATTCCATCATGGACCCTTATTTACCTCACTTACATACATAGAGTGCTCCCTATTCACTTCTGAGCCCTGGGAGCATGCCTAGGCACAGCTTACCTGTGGCCTGGGAAGTTTTCATACACCTACAACCATCATACAAAACAACCACCATCATGTCAGTAGTCATCCAGTAGTGAGAATCTTTATCTTCAGCCAGCATGCATTAGTTGTTGCCCTAGTCCTCAGCACAGTCTACTATCATCAGTCTCTATTCAGCAGCCTCAGCACACACCTTCATGCCTTTTACCAGTCTATTATACGTCCACACACAACACATGCCTTATTCCCATGCTTCACGCTCTTATGCACTCAACATTCCTATGTGTGCACTCCCAGCACACTTCACCAGAGTTGACCTAGTGTCACCCAGTGGATCTTGCTTTCCTTACTTCCCTTAAGGGTTGAACACATTGCTCAGTGCACTTCAACCAACACTTAGAGAGTTAGTAGGCTTTTATCTCACTACCAGAGTGAGAGCCCCTCTTTCTTTCTTTAGCTCTACAGCCTAGCAGAGTTGTTGAACCTTCACCAGACATGTTGCCCAAGACTCCAAAGGGCAAGAAAGGCTGTGCTTGGAGGGAACTCTGTCCCCTAAGGGCAAAGGCAAGCAGCACCAGAAAAGTCCCACTCCAGAAGACATGGAAGTGGAGATCCTGACAGATCCATTGGCTGGATTCAGCACAGAGGAGGAAGTTGAGTATGGTGACCAGGCCTGGGTTGCTGCTGCCAACAGCATTGTGGAAGCTCTGTCCCAGACCAATGAGCTCTTTCAGGACAGTGTCCAGGCTGCAGAAGGAAGTAGGACCACTACTGAGTGGTTGAATACTAACTTGGAGGTTTTCCTCCAGCAACAGAGGGACTTCCAGGTCCAGCTGCTTGAGAGCGTCTGGACTGGATTTTGGATCTTGGATACCGCAACTTCCAGAGATGCTGAGAAGGGTGAAGAAGGGACTGGAGAGTCTGGAGGTGGAGTAGAGGCTGGTGGATCTGGAGGTGAAATGGAGACTGGTCTCTAAGGATTTCTAGATGTCCACTTCTGCCCTAATGTACCTATGTCTAACTTATATTCAATGTAACTCAATAGGACCAGGTTTGTTTGGATATGATGAGTGAAAGTCTGCAACTAGTTCTGATGCATTTCTGAGTTCCATGGCTAATAGCCAGGATGTTTCCTTGTCTGTTCCTTCATATCAGGACCATCAGATGAGATATAGGAGTTGACATTGTCTTCTCTATCAGTCTAACTTAGAGTCCAGGATTTCAGATATTTCATATTCTGGTTCTCCATCAACTTCTACTGGAGGTGGAGGAGGCTGGATTCAATTAGGAATGGTATTCATTGTTGCAGGTTCTAGTTGGGACACATGGAAAACAGGATGGATGGACTGCTTGGAATCCAGAAGTCAGACAGTGAAGGAATGTGTTCTAGGATGGGCTATAATCTCAAATGGACCTAAGTTCTTTTCCAAGAGTTTCTTTGATGGATGAGTGGAATAGAAGTATTTTGCT